TAAGGGGTTGAAATAAAAAAGGGGGGCTCTGTAAGACAAACCCACAACCTCTAGGTCAAGGTAAAGAAATTTCTGTGGGAGCCTCAGGTCACCTCTCATATCGAGCGCCCGCGAAACATTTTTTTTAGGAATTTTATTTCTTCATTTCGCTTCATTGCCGAAGAATCTTCTATTTATCACGCTCAAAGGCGGAAGAAAGAACGATAACGAGTTTTAATTTTTATTGCTCGCTCGTAGGCGCTTCATTTCAGTTGATTGTATCTCTTTGGAAACCATACGCATTACTCATGATTAAGTTGTTTGACGAAGGCTTCACCTGGAATAGAAGGTATAAGAGTTTCAAACATACGTTTGGTCGAGTTCAGAGAATATTAATTACGTTTGTTTTAACCTTGAATGTTTACCCGTAATCAGTTTAAAGGCACACAAAACAAAGGTTAATTAAATAATACGAATGCTTTTAATCACTTTTTTTTTATTTTCTAACCTTTTCGTTTCGGTCGTCATAATGAGTTCGGTGAATTACGTGTGAATGTTATCGCGATGTCCAAATTTCGGTAAATGTCGACTTGGTCCATTGAATGTCAACTTAATAATCACGTTTAGTCTATGTGACATTTTTTTAAATATTATTACTACTGACTTAACCGGTAAATGTCAACTTTCAGAATGCATTGATTTAAAATATTGCCAGAAAAATTGCAATTATCATTTTTTTTAATACTTACAATCTTGTCGTCTGTTCGGAATGTCGCGTTTACTAATGTGACTATAAATAATGATAAATAGGAATGAGAATTTTCGAAAAATTAACTTTAGTGAATATTAGATATCCACATTTGCCGGGCTGTGTAAATGAGAAACTTGAAAAAAAATTATAAATAATGATAATGATAAATATCGATATGTAGAAATGAGAATTTTCTAAACATTCACATTTAGTGAATATTATATATCCTCATTTGCCGGGGTGTGTAAATGAGAAATTTGAATAACAATAATAAGTAATGAGAGTGATAAATAATGATATACAGAAATGAGAATTTTCTAAACATTCACATTTAGTGAATATTAGATATCCACATTTGCCGGGGTGTGTAAATGAAAAACTTGTATAACAATAATAAATAATGAGAGTGATAAATAATGATATATAGGAATGAGAATTTTCTAAACATTCACATTTAGTGAATATTAGATATCGACATTTGCCGGGCTGTGTAAATGAGAAATTTATCAACATTTAACTTTCCCCCTCAGTGCATGCTGCTTGTTGGCATTTCCTGGTTTAAATGAGAAATTATAATATTAAATAGATACTTCGGAGCAATGCTCATCGGGCGATGTTGACCATCTTAGCGTCTATGGGACTGTCGATATTTATCGAACATCTTCAACAATTTTAATTTCAATTTTTCTCACAAACAAATTTATTCAGATATTTTTATGTTTGTACATATTTTCGAAGAAATTGTTTGTGTAAAACTGTATTGATATTACGAAAGATTTGAATGTTAAGATTTTTTTAAAAAAAATCTGGATTTTTAAACAACAAAACAATTAATAACAATAATGATTACCTTTATAAATAATTTCCCTGATAACGCAATGCCATTTTGTGTTTGGTACAAAATACTTGCTTCTGAAACTAATATTTACATTCAATCATTCTTAATATTTATTTACTTATAAAAAAAGGGAATNTAAATAATGATAAATAGGAATGAGAATTTTCTAAACATTCCCATTTAGTGAATATTAGATATCCACATTTGCCCAGCTGTGTAAATGAGAAACTTGAAAAAAAATAATAAATAATGAGAGTGATAAATAATGATATATAGGAATGAGAATTTTCTAAACATTCACATTTAGTAAATATTAGATATCCACATTTGTCGGGCTGTGTAAATGAAAAACTTGAAGAAAAAAAATAATGATAGTGATAAATAATGATATATAGGAATGAGAATTTTCTAAACATTCACATTTAGTGAATATTAGATATAGACATTTGCCGGGCTGTGTAAATGAGAAACTTGAAAAAAATATAATGATAGTGATAAATAATGATAGATAGAAATTATAATTTTCTAAGCATTCACATTTAGTGAATATTAGATATCCACAATTGCCGGGTTGTGCAAATGAGAAATTTATCAAAAAAATACTTAACTTTCTCCCTCAGTGCATGCTGCTTGTTGCCATTTTCTGGTATAAATGAGAAATTATAATATTAAATAGATACTTCGGAGCAGTGCTCATCGGGCGATGTTGACCATCTTAGCGCCTATGCGATTGTCGATATTCATCGAACATTATCAACAATTTTAAATTTAAATTTTTTGCACAAACAAATGTCTTAAGATATTTTAATATTTGTACATATTTTCGAAGAAATTGCTTGTGTATAACTGTATTGATAATACGAAAGATTTGAATGTTAAGATTTTTTTTAAAAAAATCTGGATTTTTAAACAGCAAAACAATTCATAACAATAATGATTACCTTTATAAATAATTTCCCTGATAACGCAATGTCATTTTGTGTTTGGTACAAAATAATTGCTTCTGAAATTAATATTTACATTCAATCATTCTTAATATTTATTTACTTATAAAAAAAGGGAATTTATAGATTGACTTCCTAAATTATTGTCGATTGTCATTTGATTAAAATTTTACATAATTTAAATTATCTGTATTTAATTTGGATCGAAAGCCTGGTGTAAAAATGTTCTTTTCTTATTTCTAATACTTAGATTCTTCTTTATTTAAAAATGATACTAACTGTTTGAGACTTCAGTGACAAACTCATTACGTCACGTAACTTAATTTTTTTCCCTTCAAATTATGTAAAACCTGCATAAACTTAAAGCTATTATTTAGACATTTAGCCACAGAGATATTTATGGATAATTTTAGTGGCTAAATGTCAAATATTAAAATGCTTGAGGTATTCCTCAGATATTAGACCTAAAAAGAAAGCACATAATATCCCTTTCTCATCTTAAGACGTAAATAAATTTCAACTAATTACGTTATCAAGTTTATCAAATGTGAGATTAAACTCATGAAAATTTAACTATTTCTTGAATTATAACAACAAATTCAATTTCTAACGTATCTATAAATTGACCTAAACATAAATTAACGTACGGAATACAACGCTCACATAACATAAATCCTACCGTGAATATCTTAACAACGTCTTAGGGATAATTCCAAAAAGCTGATTACAATATTTTGAGAAGTTTATGTACTCCGTTACATTGCAATGAATTGTTGTAGATAAAATGGCTTTCATAACTGCATTATTAAAGAATATTTACGGGAAGTTACACTCTTCTTATTTTATTGTACTTCTTACAGCAATGCTAAAGGTGTTTTGTTCTTTTCATCGCGATTGAAAGGGTTAAAAAAAAAATTCTTAACAGCATTAGATCTGAAAAGAAAAAGCATTAAGAATAATGAATGGACTATTTATGCGCTTTAGGCTTATTTAGGGCTTTATAAAGTTTGAAAACAACATTAAGAATTCTGAAGCATGAAATGGATGTTTTCCCGCCTCAAAAAAAGCATTATCGTCTGCAGGAAAGAACTAAACCCAATGACATGAACTGTTAGAACAAGATGGGGGAATCGACATATCGCTGACATGATCTGAACCGCAAAATTTATTCAATAGGAGTAATGTTTTCGTAAAAGCATTTTTTTATGGCATTAAAAAAAGAATGCTTGTGTGACATCCATAACCGAGTGAAGAGATAGAGCACCTTACGGGAGGAAGTTAAGAGGCCAAGTAACACCTTGGAGGCATAAAATGGCAGCGGTAACGGGTGAAAGTTTAATTCTCAGCCATTGGCAGCGATCATCATTACTATACTTCCGCATTAGTGATGTCAAGCTGGGAAGAGAGCATTTCATTTATTGTTGGAGCATTTGATACATTTTTTTTAATCATAAATTCAATCATATTGTAATTCAACTTGATTTAAAGTTTCTAATAGTGTAGCTGTTTATTCTTCAAAAAATGCAAACTTGACAAGAAACACTTAAAACGTTATTTATTGATTGGAAAAAATTTCATTTCCTTATATTTAAAACATTCAAATATTTTTTTTTTTCAATTTTAGCTTTTTGTGAAAATTTAGAATGTTAAGTAAAAGGAAATTTTCCAGCTACATCCCATTGTCTGTCATGAGGTCATAGAGGTTAAAGACTCAACAATTTCATGGCAAAAGGTCAAACTAGCATTTAGCATTTTAAGTCAAACTCAAACCCAGAACCCAGCTACCATAAGAGACAGGAAAAATCAAAATTTTTCTCGACATATTAAACGTATATTTCAGTATAAACTTTTTTTAACTTACATATTTGTTTTTATTCTTAACGTCACGTGACGCAGTCTAAATAATTTTTTCCCTATAGTATTGCTATAAAAAGTAATTTCCGAAATAACTCTACAAAAGAGCATTATTTGAATATTGAAATAACTATGAAGGACTAATATTGCAATAAATTAAAATGCTGATACATGCTTAAATATCGAATAAAAACCAAAGTATGTTTTTTTTTTCATTATCAGAGCGATGCTATCTTTCTAGAAAAATAGGTAAACTGCAAAACCATAATACGGATACCATAAACAATAATCAAGAGCAAATTTGTTACGGCATTAATAAAGTATTAAATTGAATCATGTTCCATTCAGTTTGTACAATAATATTGTGTTATCATGTTTACGAAGTACAGTATTGTGGTTATATACAATATGCTATAACACCATATTGATATTTAAGTAAATTTGAACTATAAGATGGTTCAACACCTTTAAAAAATTGTAGAAAAGAAAAGATTAGGAAGTATCACTAATATACAGTTGGAAATATATTTTATCAGCAGTATTTTGTAAAACAAATTATGTATTTTGTCCTCTGCAAATGTTTGCTTTATTTGTTTATTTTTGTTGACAAAATCTTCTTCCTTCTCTTTCAAAGATCCTGTCAGATTATGCGAGTTCCGCAAATTGAATGGAAAATTGCTGAAGACAGTGGACGCTGTTTACCAGGATGTCACCTCATTGGACGAGTGCCGTCAGAAATGTCTCAGCGTCAATTACAGGTGTCAATCCTTTGACTACGGTGATCCAAGTCAACATGTTTGCAGACTGTCACATCATTCCACGTCAACCCTAACACACATTCAAGATCCTTACTTAGATATACCTGGTGTCACAACCTATGAAGTTTCAGCCTGCTACAACGGTATTGTGAATATTTTTAGTTATATCTTGTTTCCTTTATCGTTGTAAATAATATTTCAAATTATGTGTTCGCCAAAGTAACACTTTTGCCGCATTATTGGTTTAAAACAACTGTACTGCGTCCATTAAAAATATCATAGTTACAATTGTATATTATAACAGTTTTAATTAATTCGCAACAAAAATAATAATGTTCAATGAGTGCACCATTAGCTGTTTGGCAAACATCCGGCCTTTAGATAATTCTGAACTTCGGTTACACGCAAGTAAGTGAAAATAATTAGAAGTTAGGTTGGACGTTAGCCATTATCTTAAAGTGTACGCTTTAAACATTTGTATGAAAAACTGGTCAGTTTATGAATCAGTTTGGTTTATGAATTACTGTAAATAGTTAAATAGTTAAGTAAAACATCTTGTTTTTCAAGGGGACAAACACAGGAAAGAGTAGAAGATTTATATATCGGTACCTGCACCAAAATTTGGTGACAATCAGGCAGCGACACGCCTGACTTGAAAGAAAAAAAGAAAAAAGAAAAAACACATAGGGAGGCAAATTCGAAGGGTGTAATTCGTAGCTACAAAGAACAAGTCATATTTTTATTTTGTTATTAGTACAAATATCGGACGAATGGTACTTTAAACGAGAAGATAATTGCTGTGGCCGCAAACGAAACTGAAAATGAGAATATTTCTAAGATAGTGATTCAAAGACTGGCTATTTAAATCCATAATTTCCAATTTTAATTACACCTCTGACTCTCGTATTCTTTTTACATTTAATTTAATCCATAGTAAAACGTAGTTATACTGGTGTCGGCACATAAATTTTTAAAAATCTCTATTGAGACTGTATCTCTTTCTAATGTATAACATCGAACTCTATATTTTTGCGCTACTATTTTATAGAAGTTCCACAGTTTGCCTATTTCAGATAAATATGGGATATACTATCAACACGCAAAGTAATTTACTAATTTTGTTGTTTACGTTGAGTTTGCAATAATCGATAAGCAAAAAATATATTAAACCAACTAAAACTGACTAACCATTATGTCTTCGCCGAAAATACTTAATAATAAATTACTAATATAATGTATGTTAAATACTAGAACGGTGGAGTCGGTAGTTGAAATGTTCAACTCTCACTTTAACTCCAACTTGTACTTATTTAAATTTTCCACTATTGAAGAAATAAATTTCAAAAAATTTCTATTTGTACAAAACCTTGAGATTGTGCAGAACCAAAATAGGAAGAGAATTGAATATTTATATATCACTCGTACACTCATAAATATGTAAGCATTTTACTACAAAAATGTTTTGTGAATATTTCGGACAAATGATGCATTCAATTAATTTGATACTATTTCAATTCAATTTTCATCTTAGCTAAGCAAATTTGGTTTTGCAACTTTTGAATCAAAAGAATAATTTATTTATTACTATAACAGTTCGTTAATTCAATAAAGCATAAGCGCAATTCATCTTAAGCACAAGCTCGCAACGTTCGAGTGTGATAATTTAATTTTGTGATAAGTTATAATTTAAATCATTGTCATAATATTCAGTTAAGTTTATTTTTGTTCACATAATTATAAATATTTGGCTACGTTTTCCTAAAATCAAAAACTTTTTTTTTAATTTTTTAATCTAAAAACCTAACAAATTTTAACTAACCGACTCCAATTTCGATTCCACAGCCTTGCTAAACGCAGGGCTGTCATTCTTCTGTTTAAATTAAGAAAATTATTTTAATCAGTTTTAACATATAAAAAAAATCAGTTTTAACACATAAAATTTAAACAGTGTTATAAAATGAAATATTTTTTTTATTATTCAACATTTTTAAAACATTTGGAATAGTCATAGAAAAGACTTAATTCAGAATTTCTGTGAAATTTTCATGCATGTACATATGCATGCATTAATGTCAAAGCATTTTTTTTTATTGGAAAACAACAACATTAAAGCCTGGATAGTAAAAAACCAAAAGCTACTTATAAAAACATGATCTTTTTTTGTCATAAATACCAACGGATTCAATTCTAATTCAATGTCTTAAGACAATGTCCAACCATCAATTATAAGTCTTTCCATTATTAGAAGCATTCTTCGAATAATACTATGTAAACGATAAAATAATTAGATCAAGTAAACAATAACAAAAAAAGGATTTTCCTCTCTAATGTCTTACAAGTTTAGAGTTCAAAAGTACAAGTCGCATATTTGTTTCCTTAATTAATTCAGATTTCTTCCTCTTTCAGCGAAATTTTAAACGGAAAAAAAAACTTTATGAACAAACAAAACAAAACAAATTTTAACGAGAGTTATTGAAGGAAAAGGGCTTCTTTTTTTTCCATTCTACCTTGAATGTAGGAAATGAAGATTCCTTCACAGGTAGTTGCTTGCATTAAAGATATGCTTCGGTACATCTCTGCCTTCTCACTAACAGCAGCTAACTTCATGTATCCGTGATTTCTTTTTTCTTCATTATTGCTCATAATTTTCTTCCTAAAGATACTCTTCACTCATAACGGCTGTATTTAGAAGCAGGCCACCCGCCGTTTGCCATTTTTTGAACAGACCAGTTTAATAACGGCATAAAGAAACGTTTTTTTTTTCTTCTTTTAAATGGTTTGAGTATTTCCGGCTAAGAAATGATGGTACGTCGGTTTCGGATGGTTTCCTATATTTTCTCTCGATTTTTTTCTTCAGTATGATATTTGTTTTGGAAATTTATAAATTCATTGATCACTATTTGTTCACAGACATTTTACCGTGACTAGCATCTTTTGTATAACGCATTTATTTCATCATTAGGAACAAAACGCTCATAATTATTGCTTATAAATACAGGGTTATTCATAATTCCCTCCGGGGTTTCGAAGTAAAAAAACGAAAATGGCAAAAAAGAACGTATGAAATTATTCCGAAAGTATTCAAGTTTTAATTTAAGCAGTTGCCGGTAGATGGCAGTATCATGTACCACTGAAGCCAGTTATAGTAAAGAAAAATGGCGTTTACAGGCGGAGGGAATTATGAATAACCCTGTATAGCTTTTCATTCTTTCCCAAAATTTTCTTCATCAGGATATTGATTTATAAGTAATGTTGTATTCAGGCGCAGGCAATCAACTGTCTTCCATTTTTTAAAGTGAGTTTAATAACGGGAGGAGGAGAATTTTTTTTAAAAAATACCTATACCAGAGGTGGTGAACTTTTTCGATTAGTGTGCCTGTTAAACTACAATTTGCTATTTTAGGATGACTATGTTGCCACTTTTTAATTTTCTCCTTAAAAAAAAAAAATCGTTAAATCGTTGTACTCTGGTTTTGAATTATAGAATTACATTTTGTAGCTGTATATCTATTGTTTATCTAATTTGCTTTAAATAGAAATAAATTAAACAAAATTTTGAAACAATTTCCTTTTTTTTATTAAGCTATGATAAAATATCCTAAAACGAAACCTTTATGGTAAGCAATTCAGTAAAATCAGGCAGTTGCTGAAAGATATTTTTAATTTTTTACAGGTCTCTTTAAAAATATGGATTTCACATAGAATAATCAGCTTTAAATCTTGAAAAATATCATTATGACACCAGAAATCGTTCGTTTTATTGAATCCGACAATAATTACCCTAGCAATAGAGATGCAAATTCAAAATTTTATGACTCATCAAAATCTAAATCAGTGTCGTTTTTACTAAAAAATATGTCTTTCGACGAAAAATCTCAATCTCATTGCCAAACAATTTCGTACCTTCTTCCACTCCAAATCAATGTAACTTAGTGCTTTTATCCCGTGAAATCTTCAAGATTTAATGACTCAGCAAAATATAAATCAGTGTCGTTTGGACTAAAAAATATGTCTTTCGACGAAAAATTTCAATCTCATTGCCAAACAATTTCGTACCTTCTTCCACTCCAAATGAATGTAACTCAGTGCTTGTATCCCGTGAAATTTTCAAAACTTAATGACTCAGCAGAATAAATCAGTTTTGATTGCTTAAATAAGACTAAAATAATGTCTTTCTCTGAAAAATTTCCGTATTTTAAAGTTGTCCCTTAGAACCTTTTTTCATAGGCTCTCTATTTGAAAGCGATATCTAATTAAAAGAAAACATGGTGGAGTTAAATACCATAACTAGCGGTCACAATGTAACAGGGTCACAAAGATCTCCACAGAACAATAGGGCTTTAATCGTCGAATTAGGAATTACCACTGGAATAGTGGCAGCTAACAAATGTTTAACGAGACGGAGAAAAACGCTACTGTAGAAGAGGGGACAAAATAAGCAACTGACCCTTCGTTTCGGTTCGTCTAACACTCGTCACTCAAATCCGAGGCATGTTCACAGACATTTATTGGTATTTTCAAAATGGTGTGAACAGCTTAAATTGCCGCCAACTATTAAGCGGCTAACGATTTAATAGCACTAAAATCTTTGTCGCATTCTTTTAAGGAAGTGTCTTGTATAGGTTAACGAGTCTTCAATGGAACAAAATGAGATGTTCCAATTAAAACAGCAGGAATGTTTTGCAATGACTTCATTCTAAATGTATTTGCAATTGTTATATCATTCCAATTCATTTTGTTCTTTTGGTGAATAAATCTGAGAGGAAAAAATTTCGTATCAAAATGATACTATTGTATCAAGATTTATTTTTCTTATATACACAAATCATAACACTTTATTGGGAAAATAAATCTATCTCAAAAAAAGAAGCAAATATCGTGAGAGTTGAGTGTCCTTTAAAATTATACCACAACAGTATATCAAGTACAGTTTAATTAAGCATCAATTAATTAAATAATTAGGTTTCTTCCTTAAGTAGAAGATTTCTTTTAACATTTAAAAATAAAATCTGTTCTGTTATAAACATCGTCAAGGATATATTTTTTCTACTTTAACGAGCCCCCATTTGCTCTCGTAAGATTTGGAAGCACAATTTCAGTTAGGGTTATTAAATTTTATAGCTATAATAAATGTTTAGAGAAAAAAATTGATTTTTGAGAAAAATTTATGAAATGTATGTATAGTTGAAATGAGACAGTTATTCAATGTTAAAACCAGAAACTTCTAAAAATTCATTCATGCAATAAATAAATTTTCATGCAATAAATAAATTTTCATGCAATAAATAAATTTTAAAAGTTTGCTATATTCTTCTCATGAAACAAAACTCATTTTTTCCAAAATCTACTAAAGATTCATAAATTCATTAAAGAAACTGTTACAGTATGTTATTTTTTTTTAAAAGAACAAAACTCAAGATTCTAAACTCTGCTGAAGATTTATGAGTGAAATATTAAAAAAATCTTTCACAGCTGTATTTTAAAAATATGTGTTATTTTTAAGAGCCCTATCCTCTTTATATTTAAAAAAAAAACTGTCAATTTTTATTGACTGATGGAAATAGTTAATCTAATTATAAATTAAAAGATGCCGGAATTCAAATCAAATCAATCTGCGAAACTTTCCCCCCCGGAGCGATTTCAATAATGTCTGAAAAATTGTGTTTGTGTTCAGTAGTTTCAATTTTTAACAAAATTACATCGTAACACAAACCCTTTATTAGGTCGTGTTAAGTATATTTCACATCAGCTTCATTAATTTTTGAATGTCAAAGGAAAACTATTTTTCCACTTATGATCTGAGCGACCATCTGCTTATAACTTCAGTCAATACACACAAGACTTTGTTTACATGTATGTGGATTACCAAATAAAGGGGGACGTGGGGACAAAACGTGAAGCCAACTCTAGGGAGCTATTTTCTCTGGTGCATTATGCGTTTGTTCAGGGTTACCACTCCAAAGGGAGAACCTAGAAAATACAGGGAATCAAAAATGATGTAAAATAACAGAGAAAATGCAGGGAATTTTGAATTTTTCCTTACAAACTGGGAATTTCATTCCTTATAATGCAGACCTCTCAAATCGCAATCTGTGATATATTTAGAGATGATAGTTCAGCTATATTATACACATTTCCTTTATAAAAGCATTATTTGTTTTTATCTTGAACTGTTCCTTATTTCTCTAAGTTTTTCCAGCAACTCTAGCATCGTTATCCTAATATAGCACACAAGAGCGCAGTGAATGTGTGCTTCCTCTTAACATATTATGCATGATATCTAAAGGGAAAAAGCAGGGAATTTTTTTTAATGATATGAGAGGCAGCATTGTTGTTTATTTAAACCTTTCACATCGAGTTCATTTACAGTTTTAAACATAGACTTTATAAATTTAGTAATTTATAAGCACAGAAGTTGAACTTTATGACCGATTCTTAACTATGGGAAAATTTTTTATCCAGCCCAATCACATTCCCACCCAACAAATTATCTTATCACATAAATTTTAGTAAAATAAGGTAATAAGCTGATTAAATTTCTTTTTTTAAATCAATCTCATTTCCTAAAATACTTTAACACACTGTTAAAAAATATATATTATATAAAGGGTTAAGCAGCAGGAATTAAATTTACATAATAGGTCAAAAGTGAAAATTTTTTATTTTTATTTTTTAGTGACAATTCAATGCAAAGCTAGAGAGATGATTGCAAAAGTCAAAACGAGCAAGGTGTTCAACGGACGAATTTATGCCAAATCCCGACCTAACTCATGTGTTGCTGACGTAGCAAACAGCATTGATTTTGAAATCAAAATGGCGTATCATGATCTCAACTGTGATGTAAAACAAGAGGTAAGAACGTCTTTAAGGAATCTTTATTAATACTTTGTAACGTTAATAAGAAGAAGATTTAATACTTGGGTTTTTATTTTTTTTAAAAAAACTGTCTGAATTGACAGATTTATTATCCGAAACTCGAAACATTCCTAAACGTTCATTTTAATATTATTCACCGTATGAAAAGAACTGCCCCCAGGTGAGGATCGAATTTACAGCCTCGGCATAACTCAATATAGCCACTAGGGACGACCTCTGTCGTAGATTAAATATTGAGAAACCAACAATGTTCAACACCACGGTTTTCGTTAAACATTTGTTCCTTAAAAACTTTGCTAAATAAATTTTTCAACTCATTTAATATAATTGTTTATTAGAGTGTTTTTATTATGTAATATTTACAGGAGGAATATTTTTTAATTGGGTTTTACAGTTTTTTTTAACTGTTTTAATTGAAATATTTATTGACTGAAAAATTTGTAAATATTCATCTTAATATCACCATACAAAAAATAACTTTCCCCAGGTGAGGATCGAACTCACAGCCTCGGCATAACTCGCATGCACTGCATTATAAGTACCGCGCGCTAACCAATTGCGCCACTGGGGACAGGTATCCGGCGCAGAAAGTACTATGAAGTGAGAGAGAGGGGTAATCTATAAATAGATTTCTAAGTTAAAAATATTCGAAAAAAACTTCCGTTGAAATGCATCACTTTATGAATACGGATTTATTTACAGTATTACGGCGTTGTCATTTCTCATAATTTCCTCTTATTGCATCACTATGTTAAGCTAAATTTTACGCCCTTTTTCAGATCTCAACTGAAAGTCATTGTTTCGGAGCTCTTTAATTTTCTTCGAGGAGCCTTAGTGAGAACATTAGTGTTTAAAATCAATTGTTTTTACTGTGTGATAAAAATTTTATAACAAAAAATAGATAAATAAATAAATAAAATAAAATANGTCTAAAACGATTTCTCGGTACCTAACTTCGTTTGGAAGTTATACAGGAAAATAGAGAGTCGTCGCTAAGCGGGTAGAAAGGTCCGCTCGGCCGGATTAGGAGGGGCTACATTCTTTTTGTGTCTCATCCATTCTGTTGACCGTATATAGAAACTTATTGTAGGCATTGCATTTATCGACCATGATATATATGAAATTAAACGTTTTCCCCTACCATATCTCAAAACTTTAAACACATTTTTCTCAAAACGCTGTTTTTTGACCTGGCCTAACGTTTTTCTCATGATCTATACAACGAAATAAGCTGTTCTTTATTTATAATTACGTAAAAATATATTCTTTAGAAAGTAGCATAGGATAATTTTGATATTTTTATATTTCGATTTTATATTAGTATTTTAATGAATAATTTTTTAACGAAAAACTTAACTTTTTTTTTAAGTTGTCTCCATTTTGGTAATTTTGCGAATATCAAAAAACCGCTATGATACTTTTTAGATAATGTCTTTATGTTTCAGAAAATCTAAGCAAAATCGTTTTCCAATGCTTCAGGACTTCTAAATCTATGAGGCCAGTGAGGTGCTACTTTTTGATGACCAGCCACACACGGAGCTGCCACCAACTTATTTTTTATTATTTCGTAAAAGAAATTTTTTTTAAATAGACTTAAATTGTAGTTAAATAACATAAAAAAACAAGGATTCTCTGCATTGTCTCTATTACTTAAAAAAAATTCAAGAAAAACGTTAATATTTTACCATCTCAGGGTGGGATCCCCCCTTAATATAATTGTTTATTAGAGTGTTTTTATTATGTAATATTTACAGGAGGAATATTTTTTAATTGGTTTTTTTTTAACTGTTTTAATTGAAAGATTTATTAACGGAAAAATGTGTAAATGCTCATCTTAATATCACCATACAAAAAATAACTTTCCCCAGGTGAGGATCGACGCAGCCTCTGCATAACTTGCATGCACTGCCTAATAAAAATCACGCACTTACCAATTGCTCCCCAAAGGACGATAGCTGTCGCAGATTATTCTGAGAAAGTAACAATGTTCAACAGAGCTCTTTTTTTTTTTCCTGTCAAACATATGTTCCTGAAAAATTATGCAAAACATATTTCAAATCATTTGATATAGTTGCTTATTAAAGTGTCAATGAATACTTACGTATTATTTAGAAGAGGAATATTTTATATTTGGATTGTTTACTTGAAGAAAAAAAACTGTCTTAATTAAAAGATTTATTACCTAAAAAATTTGTAAATATTCATCTTAATATTATTCACCGTATAGGTGATTGTGAATACTATGTCATGTTTACAATAGGAGTATTTAGTATTTATGTTGTTTATTTAAAAAAAAAAAAAAGTCTGTCTTGGTAAAAAAAAAAAATTATGATCTGAGAAATTTGCAAACATTCATCTTTATATTATTCAACAGATATAAAAAATAAACTTCCCCAGGTGAGGATCGAACTCACAGCCTCGGCATAACTCGCATGCACTGCATTATAAGTACCGCGCGCTAACCAATTGCGCCACTGGGGACGACAACAGACAAGATTATTCTGAGGATTTAACAATGCTCAGCACGCAACTTTTTCCGTCCAACATTTGTTCCTTAAAAATATTGAAATATATTTTTCAACTCATTTAATATAGTTATTTATTAAAGTGATTATGAATACTATGTAATGTTTACAATAGGAGTATTTAGTATTTGGGTTACTTATTTAAAATAAAATTTTAAAAAATCTGTCTTAATTCAAGAATTATGATCTGAAAATTTTTTAAACATTCATCCCAATATTACTCACCGTATAAAAAAAGAAGCTTTCCCCAGGTGAGGATCGAACTCACAGCCTCGGCATAACTCGCATGCACTGCATTATAAGTACCGCGCGCTAACCAATTGCGCCACTGGGGACGACAGGTTTCACAGATTATATGAAGAAAATAACAATATCCAAAATAACTACGAGAGAAAATGGTTTACCTTGATATTGGGAAAATAATATGTTTGACTATTTTCGTCCAATAATATTCGAAGCGTTTAACAGTTATATAACTTTTTTAAGGCTCAATAAAATTTGATTAACACAAATCAAATAGTTATGTTTGCTTCGACTTGGTATTTTACTTGCAAGATTTTTTTTATAACTTCATTTATTTATTACTTACAGCAAAAACAAAGTCGTAAGATTTTCAAATTATCTGTTTAGATTTGATTTCGTTTTTACGATATTTGATTCCAGATCCGAAAGAAAAATGAGTGAGGAATAAGAAACGGAAGCAATGAATGTAGGTCACTTCGTTGTTTCATGCAATTTTCATAGTTCGTGAGGCTTGTTTAATATACAATATTCACAGGGACCGATCANGAAAAATGAGTGAGGAATAAGAAACGGAAGCAATGAATGTAGGTTACTTCGTTGTTTCATGCAATTTTCATAGTTCGTGAGGCTTGTTTAATATACAATATTCATCAATTTGTGCAAACTACTTATTTAAGCTGCGGAATCATTAACAAAAATATCTTTTCCTTGCTCCAGAATTGAAGCTTTTTCTTTTCACTTTGGGTGTATTTGAACCATTTTTTTTAATCATTTTGTCGTCACATAAATATTGTTTCGCTATCCCCACCATTTATACATATTTTTTTAAATCGTTGTCAATCAAGAAGTAATATAAAATATTTATAGTGGGAAAACGAAGGATAATTTAAGCGAGAGAAAACAAAATACATCTAGGGTGTGTTTTCTGTAATCTCCCTCAGACTTATAGTGCGGCTTTCAGGAAAACTCCTTCAGACATCCGTCTCGCGTCGTGACGGTTACTATGGTAACGAGGAAAAGTCACTTCGAATAGGGGTTTAAGGTAAATAGTTTTGTCTTAAAGTCGGCATTAGAGAACCAATCGACGCCATCTTTCCTACATTTCACCCCCATTAGAGATGTGCTCTTGCTTGTCACCATAGCAGCAGACAACCCCAGACTTTTAGTCTGGAGGAGTTCTCCTCAAAGCCGTACTATACAATCCCTCTCACAAACAAACCGGTTTTGATATTTTAGTCCTCACTTATATTCCCAGAGATTTGTCGCGGGACAAAAATAACAAAAACTGTTTGATTTTCAGTAGAAAACTTGAAAGTGTTCTAATAATCACCTTTTTATTCCTCTCTGTTTCGTGCAACGAAACAGGTTTTGTGTTTCAGTTTGAGTCCTTTTCAGTAATGTGCATACTTTTTAGACTTCATTTTTGACAAAGATTCGAAAAATAAATATGAAGGGTCAATACTACGGAACACTTTGCAGGTGACCCCAATAGTTAGTCAACAGAAAAGCCGGGGAAAAAAACTAAATTATAATTATTTAAGTTAAATTTTTACTCATTTGACAATAATTTGTTAAAATTTTAACTAAGCTCTTCCCTTTTTTATACAGACGCCATTTATAAATCCACTTTTTTATGATTAATACATAAAACAAATTAGCACTATTTTACATTTAAACGTTTGGGTCAATACAGTGATAAGCCACACTTTCCTAAAAGATAACATTTATACTTCACCCAGTTCCTTAATATTGTTTCTAGATAGACTCTCTACATGTTCCAGAAATTTCGACTACATTACAGCACAAAAGCATTTAATTGTAGACAAAGAAATCGTGGTGTTTTTCATTTTAAACGCTGTTAAAAAAAAACTCCTACTGGACGATTTGAAAATGCGGCTTATCATTATATTGCCCTATGTACTTCATTCTTTAACATCTTTTATTTTCTTGTATATAACCTAAATTAATAAAGTTTGATAAGAGTTTAAAAGAAAAAATGTAGGAAATTTATTATGTTATTCTTTGTAATGAAAATAATTGTTTTCTTCATTTTTACTGCTATTTCAGAGCTTTGGAGAATTTTCGAATGATATAGTCATCCAACACCATGACATGATTGTTACCAATCAGGATTTGGGTCTGTCTGTACACTGTCAATATGACTTATCCAACAGAAGTGTTTCGCATGGTGTACAGCTTGAAATCAACGGGTAAGCATTTCAATAAATTACAGTATAAATCAAATTGTTACTTTATTTTTAGTTTTGAACTAATAGAACTTGAATTCATGTCCGAAGTTTATTAAAAAGAAAATACAAAGTAACTTGTCAAGTTGATAACTCTTCTAAATTGATCACCTTAGTTAACCTCTTTTATCAAGAATTAAATTTGTTCTATATTTACAAAAGGGAGCAAAAACTTTGTAACCTGATCACCTGTGTATTTTATATGTTTACCACTAAAATAAGTCTAATTTTCCTAGGAATGTTAGCAAATGCAATTCATAGTCATTTAAGGAAACGAAAAACCGAAACGATTTCGAAATCTAACGAACCACTACTGAAGAAAACGGGACAGAAAACATCAAACTCTGTTTGATTACTTAAAGAAACCGTGAGGAGTTTAAAGACGATTATTAAATTCCCCTTCAAGACTCATCAGGCAATCAAATTGGTTTTAAATATCCTGCTCCTTACAAATGATTCGACAAATTAACGTTTTTGCGTCTTCTTCGCTTGCATGTCAATCTGCAGACAGTTCATACATTTTTCTTTTTACTTTAATTTCGATAAGGATTCAAGAAAATATAGGAGTGGTCATTACGTAACACTCAGTACATCAAAGGCGATGATTACGGGATACCCTGTATTATTTTTTATAACTATGGAACAAATGATTTATATTGAACAATTTCTTTCCTCAGGGAGGTGGATGCGGCTGGGACACAGAGTGCAACAGTCAGTTCACCGAATGTAACCATGATGATCACAGACAGATCTGGGAATGATATTACAGCTGCGCAAGTTGGTGACGCACTAGCTCTAAGATTTGAAATCATTGACGAAAACAGCTGAGTAGAATTCCATTTTTCTTTCAGAGCGACTTTATTTACAATTCCAAATCAAATTATTTTATAAAACACCACAAGAAGAAATTTTCAGTTAAAAACTTCTGATCATTATGCCATTTGTCTTCGCGAATACTTACTATTACGTTCATGTTTTATTCCATTTGAAACTGGTGTTAATCTGTGAAATGAGTAATTCCGAGAAACTGAATAGGAAAGATGTGCTTGATAATATAAACACCTCATTTGATTCACTAACTAACGAGATCGAAAAGTCGACATGTTTCAAACGTTCAGAAATAGGCGCCCATTCTTAAGCTTGATCTGCCGCAAATGAGTTTTGAAAATGGGTGCCCATTTTTGAGTGCTCGAAACATGTAGACTTTTTCATTTTTTTTAAATTAAGAAGTAAATGTAATTTTAATTTGGTTCACATCACCTCTAAGATATATAATTGATATCTTTAATTTCAACACGTTTTAAAATATCACCAAAAAAATAAATTATATATATATAAAGGTTTCTCTCATCGGTTCTTCAACACGTTTTAAGACGTCACATACTCAATAGATGTTTTACTACTGTATTTTAGAGACTTTGTAAGTCTTTTGAATGCTGTTATAAATTATTTAAATACAATTTAAAATTATGGTTTTATATTTAGTTTAAAAAAACTATCAATGTTTTATAACAATTTTAAAAAGTAAGATACTTAGGACAAAGGAAATTTTATAAACTGGTATGTTTATCTTTTAATTAATTCTCTTTATTTCTGCTACACATTAAAATGATTTTCTTAAAGTTTTACATTTGCCTTTTAATGCATAAAAATCAGGACGGCAACCATTTTGTTTAACGTATTCAAATAAAATTTTATGCACTAAATATGAAACATACTAAAAAAAAAATTAATTTTGTTATGCTGCTTTTTGAATTACTCAAAAGGGCTAGTATATGTTCCGAATTTTAAAATCTGCATAACGTTGATTGCTCTAACTTCAACCAAATTGTTATTTATTCCTCATTAGTTCAAAATTTAACCATGAGAATTGATTTTCTAGGATCTTGTCTAATAAGTATGACTATTAATTTCCTATTTGGTTTGGATTTTTAAAACAAACCACGAAGAGGATTTAGTGAACATTTTAAGCTCCAGAAATAAAATTCTCAATTTTGACGATTCAGCAATTATTGAGCTCTATTTCTTTATTTTTGACTATCATTTCCATACAAAGTCACATGAATTTTGACGAAATTTGAACTTTCAAATACTTGACGAAACCGTTTTCTCGCTTACCCTCATCTGAATGGATTCCGGGAATTCTCCAACATATTTTGTAAGATTTTAAAACTGTTTGCACTATAATGATAGGATGGTGTATGGGTTGATATACTCATTTGTCAGTTACGTTTTCAGGCTTCGAGGTTTAATGATCGCTGAAAACAATAAGAATTCAAACGTCCTTCCCCTTTATTTGAAGTAAAATTTTCTTATCAGATGTGTTAATCGATATGTAGAATTAAGCTTTTGGTTAAATTGACGAACTCAACTTGACGAAAAATTCGCTCGGAGCTTTTTGCTGGATAAGATTTCGTAGATACAGAGAAGATTTCGTGAGTTTTGAGTATGCAATTTTTGCAGTGTTCTTTATACTAAAACCAGATTGCAAATGTCATATTGTTATTAAGTTGTACCAATTATTAAACGAATACATGAATACACTTACAGGTCCGTATGAAATATTTGTAAGAGAACTCGTTGCCATGGATGGCATCGACAACAGTGAAATATTGCTGATTGACAGTCTTGGGTAAGAAAAAAATGCATTTATTTTAAAACAAATTATACTATAAAAGTGAATACAATTCCCGGTCTTAAAATGGGAGTTGAAAATGTCACTTGAATTATAATATTCATTTTGTTTACATGATAATTTTTTAGATATAAATAAATATATATTTCGAATATTAAAAAAATAATAACTGGGGTATACGTAACTGGAGATCAAGGGGGAAATCAGTTTATGAAAGTTGATTTTGTGAATAAACGAATTTAAAGGTTTCAGATTTTTCAGGAGCTAGCATACGATTGAAATCGTAAAAATAAAATAATTTACAATTTTTGAATGTTGGGAAAAAATAAAATTTGAAAATCAGGTTGTACAAGAACTATTTTTTCCTCGAAATTCCTCTCTAATCAATACTTTATCAGTAGAACCCCCATCGTCTTCTTTACAGTGATTTACTTTGCTCACTTTGTATATGCGTGAATAGGAACTGTTTATCCCCAGCACATTTAAAATGTAATAACTCTCGGGGAGAACCGATTTTCTACGTTACTGATTTGTCAAAACTTTGTAATACTCAGATTTTTGTCAAAATTATATTTGTGAAAAATGGACATAAGTCTTTCTCTCCCCTTGATTTTCAAATACCTTACCGAACAAAGCAGACTGAAAATTATATAATTTTATCCCCGGCATTATAAATTGTATATTTGAAATTAATTAAAAGTGAAATTAAGAAATAACTCAAAATTTCATAGTTCTTTTTCCTATTTTATTTGCTTTGACTTATTTTTTTGAAAAAAGGAAAACTACCGAATTAATAACAAAATCATTCACTTTTTAAAAATTTCCAAAACTTTTATAACTTTCCAAAGTAGCAATTTTCATCCAATTTCTTAGACTAATACAAATTTATTAATAGAAAAGAGTATTTAATATTATATTTTTAAACAGTACCCAATGATTTATTTTTCCTTTAAAGAACATGCGATTAAGAAATTTTAACTTTTTTAGCAAAAATTATATCCGTTAATCTTTATACAAAATTTGCAGTAGTTAATAGGAAATTTAATATAACTGAAATTTACATTTCAAATGCTAATTTAGCATAGTTTATTCTATACTGGAACTCAAAGAATTAGTAAAATTATGGGCTTGTGAAACAATTAAATCTTCTTTATTTTGTTATTTTTCTTATGTCATTTTAATATTTTATGAATATTTACATATACAGGTGCCCGACAGATGTGACCATTATGGGCAGCTTAGGCAAACCCGGAAACTCTGCAAAAACACTTCTTGCACCATTCGAGGCTTTCAAATTTCCAACTTCAGATATTGTACAGTTCAAAGCTCTAGTCACTCCATGTTTACCCAACTGCGAACCGGTAAAATAACATTTCTCTGTTTTAGAACTAACTATTGATTAATACAGTTGTGTGTTCTGCCGCTGGATAATTTTGGATAATTGGATACCTGCAAGTGACGTCATCGGAGGTATATCGTACTGTTTGTCGATTCAAAAGTCAAAGCCAACAAGGTTCCACATACAAGCGTTAAGTCGCTTTCAGATATCCAATTAAATCTGATTAATAACCACATGGTTAGGCATAATTACTTGATTTTTTCTTGCGTTGCAAATACCTAATTGTAAATTGTTAAAAAAATTATTTGATTTTGTGAAAAGAAAATCGAAAAACGCTATGGGGTAAAGGAAATTTTTCATGGCAAATCCGGTTTCACCTCCATTAATATTTTAAAATTTAAAGAAAACCACGAAATTTCAAATTCAGAATTTGTTTCAAAATATTAAAATGCAAACAAATTATTCAATATTACTTTCCCAAGACGTGATAAAGAATAATCCTGCCATAATTTGTCTGCATTTTGATATTTGAATTTTTTTTCATCCAGCATTTAAAACTTCATCGTTTGCTCTAGGTATATCCGAACTCCTTTTTTCTATACTTTAAAATTATTTATAGACGTGAAAGAAAATTTTCAATGAAATATTTCTCCCGCAGTATAGCGTCCTCTTAAGCAAAAACCGTCTTAAATTCAAGTTCGTAGAATTAAAACTCAATCATTATGGAAGATTTAATGCAAATTGTGCTTGATTAGAAGAAAAAAATCCAAGCATAGTGTGCTAATTTTTAACTATTGAATAAGGGTCAAACTAAACAATAATCCGTGTTTTAGTTTTGCTTAATTATAAATAAAAATAAGGCTAAAAAATAAACTTTAAAAAAAAAAAAAAAAACTAAAACGATCACTCTAATTTAGTTCCGACAAATGAGCTGACTTCCAGGAAACTAAACGGGCCTATTGTTAGACAATTGTCGGATTGAAAACCTCAAGTACGAACCTAACATAGAGAGACATCTACGGGACTAAATTGTGAGACATCTAATAACTAAGAGGCTTAATATGTAACAGCACAATACAGTAGGCTAATGTGAGAAATCTATAGGACAAAACAGGGATAATGGGAGAAACTATTATTTTTAAATGATTTTAAGGACAAATTTGAAAAACACGTGTCAAATAAGATTTCGACATAATATTTTAACTGCAAAGCTTTTGACATTATATTTTAATTTCATTTCCTTCCTGTATAAATATTTTCAGAATTACTCATGAAGTTTAAGGATAAACTCACTTCCTCACTACGATAAATACAATCTATTCTTCGGTTACTCAAATTCACAAAAATAAAAATTGAAAAAAGAAATTTTTAATTATCATGCTATTTTGATAGCATTTGAAATATAATCCTTCACTATTAGAATATATTTGTTATTTAAAAAAATCTGAAAATTTTGAAGGAAAAAATACTATTAATTTATCTGCATAACAGCTAATTTGTACCATGAAGATTTTGTACATTGGTAAAGATTTTGCAAAGATGTCGTAAAAAAACATAGTAGGGAGCTAAATAAAGTAGGGAGCTAAATAAAGTAGGGAGCTACTTCAACTTAGAACTTACCTTATAAAAATATATTTGAATTATTGATTCGTCACGGTAGACAAAACAGTTTGCTTTATAACTTGTAAAATTATTGATTTTTTACTTTCAAACATAAATAAAAAACTTTTACTACGAAACGCAATAAAAATTTTCATTAAGCCATGCAAAATGACAATAATGAAAATATTTTTTAAAAAAAATTATAAACAACTTATTTTATATTTTGAAGAAAACAATTGAAAGATTTTTAACAATCAAATCTCGTAGAAAAAAAATGCATTTTGGGGTGTTCTATGCAAATTTTTTCTTGTTAATCATGAAATAAATTTTTCATAAAAAAGTGCATTATTTCTTATACAAAAAATATAAAAAACGAACTAAAATGCATTAGTTTTTAAAGAATTAAATAGAAACATATAGAAACAAGACATCGCTAATGCCATCACACTTTTTGTTCCACTTAGGTTCAGTGTAGTGTTAAAAGTCATGGTCAAACAAGAGATTTCATATCCATGGGTAGGCGAAAGCGTAGTGCTTCTGCTCCATATGGTGTAGGCAATGTTGGACATGCAACTGACAAAGATGAGATGGTTGTGGTGCAGACAATTCAAATCACTGATAAGTTTGGATTTCAGAAGGAAGATAAGCTCCCACATAGGAGAGGAAGAGATGAAAATAGCGGTAAGTACACTTTAGTACTTTTAAGTATTTTTCAACTGCGGCGAATGAAAAATCATCGGTCTTTAAAAAACGATGTTAATTAAACCACCTACTTTAAGTTAGCTTTCTTTAAAAATTTTATAAGAAATTCTCATTACTTATTTTAAGATAATATTTGTATAATGTAAAATGTTGGATTAATGAAGTGTTTTATATTTGTAAAATGAACAGTATGATATATCTGGTAAATTAACTGAGACTATATCAATTAGATTCGTATGAGTTACACCTGATATTTTATTTTAAACTTTTTTCTGCAAAAACGCAGAAAAATTGGAACTTTTATTTCCCTTGCAATATGTTTAATTGAAATTGTGCTCATAAAGTTTCTATAGTATTTTTGCTTACTATTTGATACTTTATTTATGTCGCACTAAAGCTGCACAATGAGCTAATGGCGACGGTTTGGGAAACATCCCTAATGATGATCCGAAGATATACCATCACAATTTTGATCATATGCAGTGGGGATAGCTGCTCTGCTTCGGTGACATGCGAGCAAAGTAGAGCACATTACAGTAGAACAATTTAACAAGAATCGATACTGCACACCCTCGGTACCTACGCAGACTGATCAAGGTGGTCATCCACTCACTTACTAATCACAGCCAATGATCCTTACCAATTTATGCGTTTGCAATTTAGCCTTATTTATAAATGTAACTTAAAATAATAGTATAAAATTAATAATGTATTTAACTCACAAGTTTATATAAAGACTCATATTAATTAAAAATCTTTTTCTTTCTTCACAAGATTGAATTCAAGTTTTATTACCAGTTTTTCTAGAAATTTTCACGAGATAATTTAAATTCCATTCAATTTCATAAAACATTTATTAAGCAATTATCATTAAAATATTTTAATATTTCGATTGAATTTTAAATATCTTAATGAAAATGGTAAAATTCCTTATTAGAAAGTTTTAAATTAAATTATTTAAATTCAAAAGTCCCACTTTCACATTCATACAAATCATTATTGTCTTATTTTAAAACTAAAACACTTCTAATTTATCTCTACTATGAAACAGTGGAAAATAAAAATCAGACAATATAGGGAGAAAATACACATACTAAATTTGATTAAGATTCTGTAGTGTCAAAAAGGGGTGTTCTCTTACCATTTTAATAAGAATTTCCAATATTTCCCCTTCTCTATAGAAGAAATAAAGAAAGATAGCAACTGTGTCAACCTTGTTGGCCTCATAGTAGCTTCTTCGATGTTCTTGGTAGCCCAGCTTCTTCTCATTTTGGCATGGGCCATAATGTGGCAGCGAAGAAGAAAGAACAAGATGGATAATGATTCTACAACAAGTACCCGTTCCTTTGCTTCACAATATTTCATGAATCGGCAATAGAAGGAATTTGTACTAGTGAATATAATTCAACAAATGGGTATTGAATACCCGTTATTTTTTTAAATATCTGTGATTAAAACAACTTGCAATGTAAATCACTGATATGGTCAAATATAATGTTAATCAAAAGAGGTAAGACATGCACTACATGGGATTTCTTTTTTAGTCTCATATCAAAACTTGCATGTAATAATTAATAATTCAAAAGTACTGTTTATGTGCAGTACTTATATTGTTCCTTCTTACCTGTGCATGTCTGACGTGATATTTATTTTTAATTTATTTTCTATTGTACTGTCTGCACTTTTAAGTGTTCTTTATTTGCCAAAGAAATTTATTACGAACAAATATTTAACGCCTTATAATTGTCAAGTTTGATGTTTAAATTTGTACTTTATATAGCTTCTTTAGAAGTGAATTATTGGGATTTATAGTTTTATTTGTATCAAGATTTTTAAATTTATTTATTCCATTATTTTGTTTGAATTATTTCATTTTGGTATTGTACAATTTATTTTATTTTAACAGAGAGTACACTAAAATTCCTGCTGAATTTTATGAGTTTTTAAGCATAGATGTAAAAATATCACATGAATATTTTTTTTAAAATAAAAAAATCCATTGAATACATAAAATTGCAGGATTTTTAGAGCACGCCATTTTAAAATTGTGCATTATCAACTTATGTGATGACAAATTCATTGTAACATTAATATGTTTTACTTATAAAGTTATTATTATAAAAGAAAATATTTTTGAAAAGAAAAAGTAATAAGCATAAAATTCTCAAATTGAGAAGAAAAAGAAATACTTTCATGCAAAAAGAAGTGCTTTCACAAGAAGCATATATGTTGGATGCTCTGTAAAGACCTCTCTTAATATATAAGTTTGGAAACCTTATCCAAAAATGAAGTAAAATATTTATTTATATTATATTAGGGATTACAAATTAATATTTAAGCAGAAGGAAAACATTTCATGAAAACCTAATGAATCATTATCTAGAAGCGAAATTAAAAATATCAAAACCTGTTTGATTGCTAATAGGGTAAAAGGAGACTATTAAGCATCATAATTATAAAAGCATCTTCAATTAAAACTGACTTTGCTTTTATTGCTCATGAGTCATCAGAGATTGGAGACGATGTGAGATTCCTGCTTAGTGATAATCTGAAAATATTAATCGCACATGATTGCATTTTACTGCGACAATTTAGATTGGTGAGCAGAAGGTAGTAGTAATCAGCCAATCTCCATATTATAGTCTCCAACCATGACTGGACTTTTCTGACTTGCAAAATGCCTAGACTCGCAAAACGCCTTACATTAGAGAGGATTTCGAACCACTAAGAAGAAATTTGAAAATGAGAAATCCAATGAAGCACCCAGGCTTTGATTCAAAGTAAAGAAACTCTGTCCCAACACTTTGTAGGCGAAGGCTATATGTACCACCCCAACAGGAGAGCAAAACTGGTTTTGATGTTTCAATTCTGCTTTCTTCAATAGTGCGTGCTGCATCAAATAAAAAAACAACTTGGTTTTTCCTTGCAATCCCTTATGTACATACTTTTCAAACTTCATTTTTGAGAGGATCATTAAAATATATAATAAGAGTGGTGTATATAGAACAACCTGCATAAATTAAACTATGTGCTTCTGAACTGACTTTTTTCATTAGGTGTTGTGAGTGTATATGTTTTCATATTAATTTATTTTCTTTAAGATATAAATGTTCATACTGGAAATATTAGGGACTTTTTTTTATATTTTATTTAATAAAACACATATTAATACATCACTTGTAAATGTATAAATGGGAGCATCATCCAATTCATTTTATTTATATTCATTTATTATCATTTGTGTGGTTTTTTTATATGTTATTTAAATTATTTGTCAAAATATATTATGAGCATGGGTTGCTAACTGCAATTGTGGTTGAGGAAGCTTAGTAGCGGATAGTCATTTTATATTTAATTGAATATATTTTTAAAAAAATGGTGTATTGAATGTTGAGAATATATCACAATTTATTTTATGAAATGTAAATAAATTTAAATAATACTAAGCAAATATTCACTTATTTACTTAAAATAGAAATCCTAATTTGATTAATCAAAAAGCAAACAAAAACTATTGAAATCAAAAGATTTGTATAAATTATTCTTATTGTGTTATTTTCTTACTCTTATAAGTCACAAGTAATCTATGACTTAATAATTTTAAGTAAATAATGTGTGAATGAGTGTTTTGAATAAAACCTTTTTTGTAAAATAACAGTCTTCATTTATTTCTTATTGATAGATTATTTTTTTCCAAAATGAGATTCATGAACTAATTTTGTTCTTATTTAGATGGTCAGATAAATGGTAAACACTGCTATAAATAAGGAATTGTTCAAGCTAATAACTTCTTAACAATATGCTAAAAAAAATCTACCAAATTTAACACTTAAATATACACATATAGCCAATAAATACACAGGGTATCTGCTACATTTTAGATTTTCAAATTCATGACTTTCCATGACTGATTCCAAGAATTTTTCATGACTAACAAAGTTACTATTTTCTCCGACAAAAACACAACAATAAATTTCAAAAAGCATTATAATAACATTCATTGAAATGATAGGTATAACCAAAACTGTCATACTCTGCATCTTCATATTTATAGATTTCAAATTTAAAAAACAGAGTAAAGAAAGAGTTGAAGCAATAAAGAAGCTGAAAAAAATACAAAAGCAAAAAAAAAAATTTCTTTTTTCCTACAAAATTACATTCTAAAGATACTTATCTTGTTCATTAGAAAGGAAAGAAATACTTCTGATTTTTCTGTTTTCATTTCGGAGTAAAAAAAAAAATTCGTCAATGACTGGCTTGCTTCAGCTAAAATTTTAAATTGATAAAATAAAAAAAATAATAACAAAAATTCAGAAATCACAGAAGTTTAAAAGATAATTGGTCCAGAAATTATATTTTTTCTTTCATTTTTTAAAAGAACACTATAATTTTTAAAGAACATGATAAAAAAATTTTATATTTTAATCAAATATGACTGTGAGTGGGGATTTTGTTACAAATTCAGATATTCAGAAAAACATGAAATTGGGGGGAGAGGGAAAATTCCATTTTAAAAATTAGATTTTTCGGCGACCTAAATCCATGACTTTTCCTGATTTTTTTTAAAAAAATAGTTAAAATCATGACAAATTTTGTTCAATACCGAAATCCATGCCTTTTCATGACTTTCCAGGTGTGCAGATACCCTGAATATAACATTAAATAAAAAATTCATAAAGCTGCAAAGATGCTAACATTATTTTTTAAAAACAAAATTAAATCTATGTTCATTTCCAAAGCAAATAAGGTTAAAAATTTCATCATTGACATGAAATCTGACAAAATAATTTTGAGGAAAACAAATATAGAATTACACAAAATGGGAGAATAAATCTTCATTCCACTTTTAAGAAGTAATAAAAAAAAATAAACATTTGAAAACTTAAATACTGTGCAGCTGAAAACTGTCAAATAAGAACTATTTGAAAACCAAATACTATGAGAAATATAGTTAAACTACTATTTATACTTTGGAGGTTCAGCAAATGGGTAAATTTGAGTGATTATTTCTAACCAATACAGTGTTTGTGTTGTTGATAACACAGAATAACTGATTTTGTTACATAGGGGAGAATGCAAGCCAAAATGTGACAGAAGAATTAGGACATTGAACACACACTTTTGAATCTAACCCTCTTAATCAAAAGCACAAAGTAATAAACAATTATAATTAATATCCATTATAAAAAAATTAACCTCCTTTAATAAAATACACTAATATTTACATACAATAATTGCAAAGTAACTTTATGTACAATGACTATTTTAATTTAGCATGGGATCTTCAATCCTCAAATAAACTGCAAGATATTTATCTCCTTTATTCCGTGTTACTTTTTTACCTTCTTCAGAGCTTTCGTATATTTTTTCTACAACTGGGTCATTTGTCTGAAACAAAAGTACAACATATTGAAAGATATCATTAACAAAGGTTCTAATGATCAACAAAAAAGTAAGAGTTTTAAAATGTTTGACCTAAGTAGCCCCGAAAACATGAATTTTACACAATGTTTGGCAACAAAAAAAAAAAAAAAAAAAAAAATTAAACTAAACAAAGGAAAAACTTATTGAAGGTTTACTTCATCGCATATTTGTTAACAGTGTTTTTCCATTTATTTTAATGTCTACTTTTTTAGTATAGAATTTACAATTAAAAGTTTATAGAGTTAAAAGTCTTGCAATGTTATAATTTTTCTAAAGTAGTCCCTAAAACACACAAATTTCCAAAAGCTGAAAATCTCTTTTAATTAAAGCGGCTTCTAATTTTTGAAATAAAAAAAATTTGCTCTCAGTACTTTGATTGACTGCTGTAAAAATATAACAAAACTTTTTTGGGGGGGGGGGGGGGGGGGGGGAAAGAGGACCNGGGGGGGGGGGGGGAGAGGGGGTAAACCCATGTCTATAGTACAGGCATTATTAACTAATGCTTTTTTAAGAAAACGTTTTCATAACTTCATTTATTGTCAATAAAAGCTGACATAAAATTATATAAATTATTGTTTGGATTGAGATAAATTTTTTTTTAATCAAATAGAATTGCAATCTTTAAAAAAGACATAGAACTCATTTTCTAACGAATATATAAAGCATTTAACAGCATAAATACTTTTTATAAGTACTTTTCTAGAAGATATAAGATCCATTAATTTCGATTGATACAATTAATATGATTAAGACAAGAGTGTATCAATTAAAAATTATTATTAATAACATAAAGATCTTTAATAAGATATATATCTTCAATCATGCCATTATTTATTTGTAAACTAAAATGGTAGTAAACAAAATAAATTATAAGCTTAATTTAAGCACTATTTTTATTACAACAAAACGTGAAGTCAAATGGTAACACTAGAATGGTCCAAAAACGTCATTTGGATCACTGAAGTATTTAAAGTATATTCAAAAATGTTTCAGCTATTGTAATTTATTTTTTAAAAAAAAACTTTCAACACTGCCATAGAGAATTAATACAATTTTGTTTTAAAGTTTATGAGTATCACAGATCAGGTCTGTCCAATTAGACATTAACAAGGCATTGTTAAATTTAAATTTTAAAGCACATTCTTATTATCTAAAATAAGAAGAGGGAAAATTAAATTATTGTCCTATAAATTATGGGTGAATCTTACTTGACACCGCCTGCAAACCTCATAAAGTAAAAAACTTCTGTATTAAGATTTATTGGCATTTTTAATACAAATTTAAAAATGTTTCCTTTCAAGCTACTTATTTGAAGAAAAAAAAATGAGTTAGAACTTATAACTTTGTGCCACAGAAAATTTTATTTCGCACTACAGTTTTTCAAAAGAAGCATTTTAAGCTTAATGAATAAAAGTAAATAGTAACAATTCTGCCACATTTAATGCAGTAAAACTTGTTTTAAAGAATTTAGTTCTCTTGCACAATATTTTTTTATTTTATTTTGTGATCAGGGTAATTTAAGATTGGTATCTGACTAAACAAGATTTAATGCAGAATTTAATGACACAAGTATGCTAACAAAATTAGACGCAACTACACACAGAGGACTTTAAATAATTAGGGCAATAAATTTAAATTATGGTACAAACTTATTCTGATACAAAAACAAAAGAGAAGAGTAACCACAAAATCACCCTGAGATTGTAGAAAAGCTATTTACTTCGAAAGGGCAAATTAGATTAGCATCATAAAACATGTCACCATTTAAATGATGATAACATTACGTTTTTAGGAAATTATGAGGAACCTTATAACTTTCTTATATGATTCTTAAAAAATGCTTATTTTTAAATATCATTTTATATTATACTTTCTTTTTCAAGGTATTGAAAATTCAGCATGTATGGCTATGTAGTTTTTGTCGGCATTTGACTAAAAAAGATGATTATGATTCTTATAAATTTTTTCAAAGAGCAAAATTTCATTTTTTTTTCGTTATATCACATAGTAACTTCTCAATTAACAAAACAAAATTAGCTGCTTCCAATTTTCTTGATAGCTAAATATGTTGGCCTCAAGACTAAAACACATAATACAATACTATTTTTTTTACACTTCAGCACTCTTTTTCTGTTTCTAATTTTTATTGCAGCTAAATATTTCTAACTAACACAAAAACACAAAATACATGTCTTATAAGTCAGACAATCGTGTGTTAAAGCAAGACATTTGTTTTCAAATAGCTTTAGCTTAACATTCAAATATACAAAATCTTACAACACAATGCCAGCATACGAGTATCGGGACTCTTAAATTACTTTGCCCAACATCAGGGATGAGATTATCCGAAAGGCAAAAAAGCTGAATTTCCACAATAGCAAATTTTACGCAAGCGCAACCCTTTAATAATAAATTCCAGACAGTTTAAGGTAATAAATAATGTGTTGACATACAATTGTGTACTAATCTATTATTATATAAATGATTACATTGATACTTAACATTTAGTGAAAATAAAAATTACCAATTGAAAAAATAAAGCTGGAAATTATATTTTTCCTCAGTTCACATAAGAGACAATTATTACTTGAAAAACTACCTGGTTTAGCAAATTAAAACTACTGAGAATATACATTAATATTTCATTTCTTTTAATAAATACTGTTATGTGATTTATAGCAAATATATCAGTAATATTACTTTTTAAATTATATTGGGAAAAAAAAACTTTAACAATGAACCAAATCATTATGTTCATGTTATAGTCTAATCTAACTACAGCCCTTTGAAACATATCAATAACAGTGAAGTAGAAATATATAGTAACTCCTTAACATACAAAAATTGGTATTTTAGTTTGAAAAATTACATGACAATCAGCAACTGTTTAGATAATTGTTTTTTATTTGATAAGAATTTTGCATTTTATAGCATAAATAACAGCAATTACAAATAAAATTTTGATGATGAGTTAACTCTTTTAACTATTAACTCTTTTTCCAACAAAAAAAAATTAAATTGAATCCCTTTTTAAGTTATTGCTTTTGTTTCCTATATCTTTTATGTTTGCTATATTTAGTCGTTAGTCCATTTTCAAACATTTTGTGACAAATCCTATTTTTTCTTCTTTGCTAGCACAGAATGTAAGTTTTGAATATATTCCCTTCCAGTTTCTCTGATGTTGTAACACTTACATATACATACTAATAATCGTCGTTAGAAAAACAGTCACTTTTATAGTAACTAATTTTTAAAAAAAATTTACTTCTTACAAGAATCGCGAGAGTTGATCTTAAAATTGTGTGAATATGAATAACAATTATGGATTTTGAAATCACATGAATATGAAACTAGATATACGATTTTGAAAATGAGAAAATACAAACTGGGATATAGAATTTTTAAAACGCGTAAATACAAATCCCGATTCATAATTTTTAGATCGCGTAAATACGAATCATGATGCGTAATTTTTAGATTGCATAAATAAGAATTATGATGCATAATTTTTAGAATGCGTGAATGCGAATCCCAATGCCTTATTTTAAAATCACGTATAAATGAAAATCAATGTTTGATATTATAAACAGCATGAGCAAATCAAGACATTGAATTTTAAACTTGCGGGAATACGAATCGCTTCATAGGTTTTTAAAAAGGCGTAAATACGAAGCACGACGTACAATATTCAAATCGCGTGAATAAGAATCTCAACACGCAAATATGAAAAGCTATGTTTGATATTAAAATCGTGTGAATAAGAATCGAGATATTGGCAGACTCCAGGCTTGGGACCTCTAAATGGCTTGTCAGAAACAGCGTCGTTTGAACTACAAAAATCGGATCTATCTGGAGGGCGGGTAAAAAATTCGGAAAATCTTATCTGCTGCGAGTAAAAGGGGAGAAAATAGTTAAAATAAGTAAAAATGAGAAAGAATAGGTAGCTATGTAGTTTGAATTTTCTGTTTCTCTTTGAAAATCGGTGAATTTTCTGAAAAAGCGGAATATTTATAAAAAAGAGTGAAATTTTTAGAAAAATCTGAATTTTTGATTAAAAAAAAGCTGAAATTCAAGAGATAAAAGTGAAAAAAGCGGAAATCCGCTAAAAAGCGGAAAAATCTCATCCCTGCAACATGTACAGTTTTACTGAAATACAAAGGGGTTGTGCACACTATTTATCAGTTATCAATATTTAAACAGTTTACAAATTTAATGAATAGTATTTATTTAATCAAAACTATCTTAAAACACCAATTAAGCACTGCTAAAATTTTGATGAAAATCACCAAAATGTTAGATAGAGCAGATATAATGCATAAAAAAAGGGTAAAATAAAATAGAAAATTAATTATATTTTACAAAACCTAAATATTATTTAATTTAACTATACAAATAAGAATTTACAAAATAAAGTTATCTTATTCCTTTGATTCAAGTCATGCTTATTTTTAAAAAGAATTACTCGAATCACTGTGTCTAAGAAAATAATAAACTTTTTAAGTAAAAATTGCAATGTGAAAGTGATATCAAATGCAAGTGCAGCATTTTAAATTATAGTAAAGGGGATGTTTTTGCAAATAATACTCAATAATCTAGATAATATCACTTCTTTGTCAATAATAATGCTCTACGGTTACTTCATCATTGCTTATTTGTGCTTAATAGTCCTGTTTTATTAAAACCTAAAACTACATTGTTAAATCTTTTGACACAGAATTTTTATTAAACATATTTTTCCATTTTTTCTCATTATTTTGCATATATTTAAGGCAAAATAAAAAAATATATATTATAATTAGCATTTTAATAATATGTGGTTATGAAATACGTCATGAAACATCAGTGTATTTTTCTGTGTTAAAGATAAAATCATTCAAATTCGGCTCACTTCCAAATAATAATAATTTTTTTCAAATTTGCAATTATTTAGATGTAAAAGAAACAGTAATTGATCACAAAAATTATTTTAATTTGTAAAATCAATTATTAAAAATTTTTAAATACAAGTTAAAAACAAAAATTCTTCAAACTACTGCTTTTTGATTTTTTATAGTACAAATATAATTCCAATAATCTAACAGATGTTTTCAGTAACTATTAGATTGTCTTTTATAATTAAAAAATACCAGCATATATTCTTGATAGTAATTAGAGAGATAGAAAAAAATATATAAAAGGGACATCGGTGTCCTTGCAGCAAACAGCTCGTGATTCTTACTGCTACTGACTTATACTTAAAATTAAAGCGTTGTTGAAAGTAAATGTTTTAGATGTCATTTTTCAGACAATCTAATAGCTGGTACATTAATATGTTATCAATGTCTTGTTATTGAAAAAGATGTGGAGCTTTGTTAAAGATCTTGCAATTGTAAAATCAAAAATGTTAAGAAGACGTTCAAAATTCGGCGGGCAAGAAAAAATATTGTTAAATTTTAATTAGTCCCAACTTATTTCCTAAAATGAAAGTTATTAAAAGACATTAACGCTGAGTAATGTTTTTTATGTGTTTATGCTTAAAACAGGTCTTTAAATATACTCTTATTTACCATAAGAGCACACAACAAATAACACAAACAAATTTTATAAAATAAATTAAAATACAAAAAGTGAAATTCACAAACACAACATTTCTAAAAGAGAACAACCCATTTCCTTAACACAAAATAAGGGGAATACAGCTGCTGTAAATTAAGATGTATAGTGAAAGAATACTTACCAGCTTATCATCAGTAACTCTCTCAAATAAAGGATGTTCATCCAAATGCTTTACCATCCAATCATGCAATTCTTTTACATCAGTAATGGTGTATACTAAACCCTAGAATTTGTTAGTTTTATTATGAAGAAAATAAAACATCAGACACAAAAACTGATTTATAAGTAATCATAGATACAACAAATTATACATTGCAATAATGTATATAAGACAAAATTACATACAACACTTTGTTTTAATTAGTTGTAATGTTTTTAAAGTAAGTAATTTAACTTGTTTAACCAATTATTAATGTCTTATCAGTTAACGAACAACTTATTAATAAAATGATGCATGACATCATTTAATTTTAATTAGAAGTGATATTTGAAATTTAATTAACATAGATTTCTAACAAACTAGTGGATTTCTTGTTCTTCATATGGGGTAAAAAAAGAAATCGTAAATAATGAATGATTAAATATTTAATAGCCCTACACAATCACACACAGAACTGAAAAACGTATACAAAACACTGCAACAACAAAAAAAATTTCGAGTAATCTTATTTTTCATTATTAAGTTAAACACATTTTTATAATTTCAACTCATCAAAAAAAGATTAATTGAATTATTACCCAAAAAATGCTATTGATTACAGGTAATGTATGATAATTAGATTTTATCAAATAAAAAAAAATTTTTGGTGACCGGCACTTTAGTTCATAACCTTAGGTTAATTTTAATTATATTTTTCTTTACATTAAGGCTGAAAGAAATACATTTTGAATATATAGCTATAAAAAAAATTGACATGTGGTTTGAGATGGCTTTCAAAATACAAAATCGGCGGCATCACACTCACATGACATCCACATTGATTTTACTTGTGCTGTTTAACAAAAATAATCAAAAATAAATCACTATTAAGGAGTGAGAAATAAACCTCCATTAAAACTCGTTTTTGATAACACAGAGTTAAAATTCAGTAAACATCACTAACATTGTTCTTTAAATAATCAAGTTGGTGTTTTAGTTAAGGTTGGTGTTTAAGTTTAGTTAAGTTCTTTGTTTACCACAGTAAAGTAATAACTTGGGTAAGGGTTTCAATTACCTATGCTAAAAGCTAGGTTCTCATTGGACTGTATTTTCTTTAATTATGTCTTAGAGATCGTCTTCGAGAATTATGACTTTTGTCTTAGAGATTTTCCTTAATTTGTCTAGAGAGACTCGCTATCGATTGATACACTCGATTAATACACTTGCAGTAATGCCCCTGGTAGTTTACAAGTGGAAAAAGCCCAAGCCCCGTTAGAGAGTTCAGGAACATGGTGCGAAGGGCAGGTGATTACAACCATCTTTCTTATAATCAAAATTTCTGTCAGATTGTTGCAAATAGCCATAGAGCTGTGATAGAGATAAAACAAGCATGTCGCTTAATTTTTCTATCTCTCCTTGTCCCAAACATCAGAATCCTTTCTGTCACATGATCCTTCTCTTTTTCCAGATTTTGGCCTCTAAAGCTCTATGCCAGTAACCCATTAGTGTAGTTCTAGTTTGACATTAACTATCAAACCAAGAAAAAATGACTAAAAGTATCAATCAAAACTAGCTGGCCAGGATAGCCTGGTTGGTAGAGCACTGGGCCCATGCCCAAGAGGTTGTGGGTTCGATCGCTACTGACCAAAGACTTCCCGTGTAGTAAATGGTGACTGATGCACGTTAAATCTGTCAAGTCTCAAAGTACTCCATGTTCCTATAATAAATCATACCTCTGGGGGTACTGATCCAGGATTTTCCTTGTCTTCTGGATTGGTTCAAAATTACAAGGCTACGGAGTTGAACATTAGCAGTCGTAAATCCAAAATTGGGTCGGCTGTTCAATGATAGTAATAAAATATAAAAATAGAAACTAGCTCATCTAGAAATACTATTAAAATTTGCATAAAACTTGAGTGCTTTAAATGATCAAGAACATTTAAACATAATTTTGAACATTAATTATTCTGAAAAATATTTACTCAAGTTTAAATGTTTAGATGAGAGTTGTTTTCTTTTTCCTTTTAAATTTTGTAAATGCACAGTTATAATTTTGTAAATGCTATATATGTAGCTTTTACTTAAAAACAAATCAATCTTTCTTAAAATAAAAAAATAGCACTTATTTAAAATAAATCCCAAAACATAAGAGGAAAAATAGTTTATCAAACAAAATACATACTCCTATCTTTAAAACATAAGCATATTCCGATAAAAGTTGAGGACTTATAATTCTCCATTTGTGCTTTTTTGCTTTGAAATGGGGATCAGGAAACAGAAAAAACATCTTGCTTAACTGAAAAGAAAGTCATAAAAAAAGTTCTTATTAGAGTGGTATAAATAAACTACGAAAAAATAAAAAAGAGTGCACATACATTATTAATGCATTCATATACAGTAGACGCCGCTTAATGTGATCACGGTTAATGTTATCAATCGTTTAATGTTATCAAAATCACTTAGTCCCGTCCGCTTATATCAAAATACATTGAAAAATCATCGTTTATTGTAATCAAATGTTCGTTTATTGTTATCAGTTTATAGGTAAATTTTATTTTCCTGAAATCAATAAAAACAAGAAGGAAAACTTTTTTTGTGTTTAGTGAAGTGTTTCCTGAAACTTACCAAAAGTCCAAACGGGGCTGGTATATTATCTTTTAAACATGTGTTATTATGAGGGGGGGGGGTATTCTGCCATTTTCGGTCAAGCATTGCAAAATTCCGCCGCACTGTATGATTTCTAATTCCCGGAAATCCTAAATAAAGAGAAAAGAAGACCTGCCAGTAACGAGTCAATGTTTGTCACGAGCACCTTTTCAGAAGAACTAAACAATGTGACAGATGATATGTTCCAGCCGCTATGGGAAAGGGGTAAGGGGTGACCTTCAAAAGAGAACATTGTTTCGGGTATGCCACTTGATCTTGGCAGGTCCCTTACTGAATCGCCATTGGTCAAACAATAAAATGGGGAGGGGGATAGTGAAACTGCAACATCTAAGTGTTTAAAAGACGAAAAAAAATCATTTTTTAGCTTAATTTTTTTTTCGTTTATTGTAATCAATCGGTTATTGTTATCAAATCAGGTTCGTCCCGATGTGATCACATTAAGCGGCGTCTACTGTATATGTTAAAAATAAATATATTATACAGTATTGAAATTTAAACTGATAATTAATTCTGTTACTGATAAGACATTCGTGGCAAAAATTTTTAAATGATAATTCAATACACTTTGAAAGCATTTTGTGGAAGAACACATTAAAAAGCACTTGATAAACATGATAATTTCCATTTTTAAAATTTATAAATCAACCTTGTTTCTCGCATGCTATTTTTATTTTATGCAGTCACTTTTTCATTCCTTTAATGAAAAAAATATAACTAAGATAACTATGACAATAAACAAAGAACAAGTTCTGAACTTTACAGAATTATATGATGCTTTTTTAAAAAGAAAAGAAAGAGGAGAAACTCTTTATTTTATAAATTGAATTCAATAATAATCTATCAACTATAACCAGGATTGCATCAACCCCCCACAAATGTACAAGAGCATTAGTGAACAAGGTGTTAAACACCCCAGTTTATTGATAATTACAAATTCAACAGAAAAATGATAATCATGCTAAATTAAGAAACAGAGTATACCAATTTTATAATTTAATAAAAAATTGGAATAAAAAATTAATTCAATTTGTCAATAAATAGGATATAAGTTGTAATAAATAATAATAAGTTGTAATAATAAGTTGTAATAATATAAGTTGTATAATTTGTCAATAAATAGGATAAATAGGAAAAAAGGCAATATAAGTAGACCAGCTGTATAGGAGGAAAATGGTAAAAGTCTTTAAAAAATAGTAACATGTAAAATTAATCCCAAATGAACAAATATTTACAAACCTGTGCCTTTGAGAAGAAGTTAGGAAGATGTTTCATAGCATTGGATCGAATACAAGCAATGTTTTCATACTTTCCTGGATTTTGTACACGTAACGCTTTAACTCGCTCTTGCACATAATCAGAAACTTTTACTCTAATCTCCATTCCAAGCATTAAAGTTTCAGGGTAGAGAGGTGATAATTCCACTGCAATCATTTAAATTGTGCAACTATAGTAAAACACTTAAATTTAGTTATAATTTTATAAATATTATTAACAAGTAAAGTACATCACATAAATAATAAGCTGAACCCTTTGAAAGTTCTGAATATCAGGGGTCTGTCCAGACATTTTGTGAAAGGTCTGTTTTTGTAAAATTGTGAAAAAATTACTCGTAATTTGTAAATATAAAATAAACGTTAAGTCACATTCTTTCAAAAAGGGTCCGCTTTTGTGAATTTGAGCAAATAGGGTCCGTTATTGCAAAAAAACTTTTTCAATGAGTTTTTAAATTGTAAAGACATACAAGGTTATGCTCAACACAGTGAAATTATAATTAAAAAAAATTAAATTTCAAAAAATAAACAGCAATTACAGCTACTAAATTAGCCATGCAACATACAAATATTTGGTATTTAGCCTATACTGCTGAATGCAGAATATTCATTTTGGACGAATAAAGGAAGAAGCGTCTGCCGAAGACAAAATATAGTTCGTTTACATCTGTCCGTCTGTCTCCCCCTCCCTTCCTGGGAAGGGTTTATTCGATTAACAAAACAATAATGAAAATAAGCAAATTTGTGATGGGTCTGATTAAAAAATAAATTATTGTGTGAAGGGTTCGTTTTTAAGTTAAAATATTTTGTGAAGGGTCCCAAATTTCTTCTAAACAGACCCCTGAATATAGTAACAATAATTTGATATGCATTCATTTCTGTAGAGCAAGTATGTTTTACAGGTTACACGGTATCTGCTACATTTTAGATTTTCAAATTCATGACTTTTCCCGACTTTCCATGAATAATTCCAAGAATTTTTCATGACTTACCGAAGTTACTATTTTCTCCGACAAAAACAGAACAATATAATAACATTAACACAGAACAATATAATTAAAAAAGCATTAGAATAACATTAATTGAAATGATAGGTATAACCAAAATTGTTACACTCTGCATCTGTATATTTATTTACTTCAAACTTAAAAAACAGAGTAAAGAAAGAGTTGAAGCAATAAAATAAGCAAATAACTATAAAAAAAAAACACAAAAGCAAATAACTAAATACAGTCAGAGTTATTTAAACCTGTTTTATTCCTTCTTAAAAGTAAGTGTAATATAAAAAGCCTAAACTAGAATTTTAAATTGATAAAATAGAATTAAAAAAATAGATAAAAAATTCTGAAATCAGGTAAGTTTAAAAGATAATTCGCTCTAGAAATGATGTTCTTTCTTTCATTTTTTGAAAGAACACCATAATTTTTAAAGAGCAGGATAAAAACATTTTATATTTTAATATAATATGACTATGAGTGGAGATTTTGTTACAAATTCAGATATTCGAAACATTGTGACATTGGGAGGGGGGGAATAATATTTTAAAAATTAGATTTTTCGGCAACACCTAAATCCATGACTTTCAATGGTTTTTTTTTTAAAAAAATAGTTAAAATTACGACATTTCATGACAAATTTTGTTCAATACTGAAATACATGACTTTCCAGATGCGCAGATATTAAGATGGTTAACAACACAATAGAATATTCATAGAAAATAATACTAATTATGTAAACACTTTTAAATTTTTTTATTACAAAATACTGATAACCAAATAAAATATAATTTTTTCTAAACAAATCTGCATTATTTGCTTATGCGCCATATTGAAATTCTATTTCATTAAATTACTAAAATATTTAGGGTAAGTCTAGTGTAGATGGTCACTGTTTTTTCAAATCGAAATAAAAGTACAAAGAATAGTACAAGAAAATGAATAATAGAATAGAGATACAAGAAATGTCTATGCATATATTAAATTCATGTATATATGAATGTTTTGAATTCATGCATGTACTCAACATATTTTGAGTAAAAGAGAATGGAATAATGAGAAAAAAATGCGACAAAAATTTTTTTGAAATTAAACAAGTAACAATAATTTTTCATAATTGTTATTCTTTAAATTTTAAATATTTAAAAATGATATATTTTATAGCTTGAAAGTTAATGCCATTAAACTAGAACATAACTTTTAACTATTTGAAAAAATTTATTTTAATATCCCATAATTATTTTTGATAAATAGTTTGAGTTTGGGTAGGAAGAAATCTTACTTTTTCGAGGCAAACACACATTAGAAAAAAAAAAACTCACATTATAAGATTGGAAAAAATTTTTCACATTAGGAACTATTTATCATATGGGTAGAAACTGGTTTTTAACTTAAATTTCAATATTCTTTTTTTCCTTTTGCTCAGTCATATTAGATTCAATACATTATACAATTTTACTTACCCAGCAGACCTCCATAGCCACAGCCAATATCAGCAAACTCAACTTTAGATGCAGATGTCTTATCAGAAAAGTATTTGGGAAAGAACGGTTTCCAATCCATATGAGATGGAGATAATGGACTTTAAGAAAATCAAATTAAAAATTATTGCATTTTAATGGTTTTGCAAATCAACAAGAATTTAAAGAGCAACAAAATTTATTAATAAGTTGGCTAAAACAACATTTCAAGAAAATATGCATATAATTTAATAAAGATATAACAAATTTAGTTCAATCCAATTATAATGTATTGTTAGAGAGAGATGATGCATATTGAGGGACACAGGAGTGTGTTACGAATTATATTTTTCAAGTTGGTTATTTTCTGATTTTTTTTATTAGTTTCCAAGGTGCTGTTCCCAATGACGCACCAAGAAAACTTTTGTGGGTAGCAGGCCCGTAGCCAGGGAGGGGACCGTCGGGACAAACCCCCCTCCCCCCCGAAATTCTGGGATTCAAACTTTTTTGTCTTTCTTTGAGCCTCTCAGTAAAAAGAAAAACAAAAACTGTCGAATGAAACCTTTTATTAACTAACTTTATTAGGCATATTTCAAAATATTTCGGTTTGTCCTAAAAAAGTAATCGAAAAATTTTCTTCAAATCCCCGTCGCATGTCTTTGTAAACTTTGTTTACAAATTGATTATAATTATTATGTAATATTAATTGAAAAATAATTATTATGTAATATTAATTGAAAAATAATTATTATGTAATATTTTTTAAATACTAGTTAAACTTTTGCAAACAACAGAATAAACAATATTTGTTACAATGTTTTCCCCCTACTTTGCATGTCTGAAACCGTCCTGGCTTCTTACCATATCCCCCCCCCCTGAAAAAAAATCCTGGCTACGGCCTTGGTGGGTAGAGTTATAAAATTGATAGTTTTAATAAAACTGTACATTTCCAATACACAATGATAACAATAGGATAACTTTTAAACAATAAATTATTTTTAACTACAATTATTGAATAAATTTTATAATCTAATAAGGTTAACATGGACAGTACTTACAAACGTGCTAAAAGAGTTTACTTAGCATCAGTTTGAATTAATCCTGAATTTGTTTTAATTAAAATTTTAATTATCTTCATTTTGAATTTTATATAATCGACTTAATTATTTTATCGTTTGAATTATTTCATAAACACTTTATATTTAATTGAATGAATAATTGGAAAAATTGTATTCTTTTTTGGTCATTATGATGCAGAGCTCATTCTAGACAGGGTAAACAGGGCGCAGCACCCAGCTGCCCTTTTAGTCAAAAGAATCCACCCTGTTGCCCCTGAAGTAAATTAGTGCCCTGATGTAATAGACTCCATACCCTTTTTGCCCTTTCTTTCCTCAACCCTTCTTTATTTTCCCCCAAACTCTGCAATGGATTTCTTAAACTTTTGTTATTTTCAACTCTTTTTATTTAGTTTGTCATTGCTGTCAATACGTAGATTTATATGGGAAAGGAAAAATAGCCATCACACCCCTTGTTGCACTTGTCTTAGAAAGTTTGCAGTTAACTTCCCCTATCACTAAATTATAATTATTATTAATCATATTAATTATGAAATCATAACCACAGACACTTAAAAACATGCATTTATTATTTTATTAATATATGCATGAATTTTAAATAAATTACTAAGCTAATTAGCTCATTTACTTGATATATATGTTAATTTCTTTATAAAAATTAGTAATTAATATGATTGGTTTGCTACTTTTAGTAAAGAAAAAAAAATATTTTTTAAAAATTCTGTTTACTAATTGACAATGATTTTTAATAGAACATGTAAAGCCCATAGAAAGAAATTACTGCCTTTTTAGAATAATAATGCCCTTTTTTAAAACTTTTGCACGATGCCCTTTTTTCTGCTTAGAATGAGCTCTCTATATGCTGCACTCACTACATACACAAAGATTGGAACAATTAGCACTGGAAACGTTTGCAATATTTTCATTGATTTCTTTTTTTTTTTTTTTTTTAATGTTGAAAGACTAAGGAAAATATCTTGAGTTTATTTTTGCATTTAATTAATTTATCATGTTTCTTATAAACATGGTGATAGCTTATTTTGAATCAAATCTCTTTTCTGATCATTTCACGGCTGATTTTATACTTGATTTATTAATACATTATTCAAGGTATTTTTTGGAGGTGTTTTGAACCCTCAAAGCATGATCTTTTCGGCCCTGCTGCCTATTGATCCCTGATATTTGGTAACATTTTAATTCTTTGGTAATTTAATTTAGTGATGTATCTGTTATTGACATGGCATCTGCTATTGGCATATGTATCTGTTATGAAGGAAACATTATTAGCATTTGAAATTTCATAGAAATTTTTAGTTTACTAGTAGATAAACAGTGCAGTTTTTGCTGATAAAAAACTCTTAGTTTTCAAAAAAAAAGAAAAAGAAACATGTACAGGTTGGCCTGGGGGGGAGATTTCCATAATGGCAGAATAATCACCAAGTCTTGGAAACATCCGGGTAGTGGCCCGCAAGAAACTAAAAAAAAACATCACAGAAAGGGACCAATTTGAAAGCTACAGCTCGTAACCATCCCCAGGCAAGCATCTACATGTCTTTTTTTTGTTTTGTTTTAAAATTTGCAAGTTTAAAATCTATTTGGCACCTTGGCGATTTTAGTTGATTCGTTAGTTGATTAGTTTAGATTCAATGAGTTATATCCTTCAAATTAGTCTTTCTGTGATGTATTTTTTTTTAATTTAAAGTTTTTCAGGGAGGGGGCTGAAAGGTATAGCACTGCCCGTATGTTGCCAAGACTTGGCAATTATTTTGTCGCTGATCACGATCTAGAAATCTTTTCAATGAAAGAACAACATCTGAATTTTTTAGTCATCTAGTAGATAAACAGGGTAGTTTTTGCTGATATAAAACTTTTTAGTTTAAAAAAAATTAATTATTTAAAATACATGACTTACAAATCTAAATTATGATCCGCGATTGGGTTTGAATGGGCCCTTTGGCGAAAATAGCGCTTCTGCGGCAAGTGAATACTTTCCATTTTTTTCTCCAAAGAACGAAACTTGAAATCAGAATATACGTTTTGTATTCAGGATCCTGTGTGCTTCATGTATTGTAAAATACAATATTTGGAAACTCTTAAGAAGAAAATTACGATAAATAATGAGAAATTATCCACATTTACAAGTATCACAAAGCCATGTTGTATTTGTTTATGCCATGCTTGTTTATTTTTTTTACGTTTCCGGCTGACTATTTTTTCTCAACGCAGCAACTGAGATAAGGAATTAAAGTGTTTCAGTCCGACGAGAGTTTTACACCTCAGCTAAATCCTTTGCTGAGGAAAGGGGACAAGTTTATATCATAATTAACGTTTATTATATCGCCCTATCTAATGATATGCTATCTGTTTCTCAGTTTGAGTACTTAAAAGGTGTTTGAGGGCACAATTTGAATTTCATAGTCCATGAAACTCGGCGTGATTACCCATATAGCACATTTCATCCACAATTGATGTCCAGAATTTGACCACGTGATCCATTAGATGCCGTGGATCAAATCGACATCTACAAGACGCTTTCCTGTAGCTTATTTATAGATAATCCACAATGGCTTAAGAATAGATAATTACCCAAGTAGCACCTTATGATGAGCGTCAGTTTCATTAAATTCTATGCGTACTTTTTGAATTACGGTCATTTTGTGATTTTTCTTNCCAGTGTCTGTTTACCAAATAAATGTAAACACAATCCATCAATGAACCAATTGTTTCATCACACCAAATACGAGATTACGCGAGAACACAGACAGGCGTGCACAAAATTACTGAAATTTTTATTTTAATTCACAATAAACGCGATAACTTCCTAAATTCTTGCAACCATGAGTGATAGTCAACAGCCAATCACAATGCGAAAAGCCCATTGATCCGACGTTATCATTTCCTTGTTGCCATTCTGTAGTAGAAACTATGGTTCAAAATTAGTTACCAATTCCTTAAAAGATAGAGACCCCCATGAGCCCAGGGCACACAGCTTCTGAGGGTCCATACACTTGCCTGAATAGAAAAAAAAAAGATGCGGTGCATGATTATGCACTTAAGTTTATGGTGAAGCGATTTCTCATTTCATATCATGTACCTTATTTTAAAAAAAAAAAAAAAATTTGAACTAACTTAATTCCAACTTTTAAAGTAAAGTGGTAGTAACATTTTCAACTAATTCATTAACCACTCACCACTTCTTTTTAAATTTATTAAATACAATATAACGTACGGACTGGTCTTTAGAACCAGCAAGCTAATTAAGATTTAAAAAGATTCAAGTTCTATTGATTCGTGGAGTGGAAATGAAGTGAAAGTTTAATAAATGGATGTCCAATGGGTAAAAGTTTGAGAGAACTCCTTTGTGCCAATTAAAATATTAAATTCAGCATAGAAAAAATAATTATAGCATTTCTTTTATGTCTCTCTATTCCTTCTTCTTCTTTTTTCTATGCTTAATTTTGAATTTGTTCATATCTATACAGATTAAATTTCGCAGGTTAATATTTAAGCTAGGTAAAAAATAAAAAACGCCCTCGAAATCTGTCGAATCATTTCTGAGGAAGGCGGTACTGAAAGTACATTGCTTGGTTGCCGATGAAATGAGAGGAGTTACATAGATGGTTATTAAATGCATTCCAAGTTTTTTTTCTCAAAATCAAACCGGTTATAATGTTTTCTGTTCCGCATGCCTCAATAGTGCTTCGTTGTATATATATAGAGCTTTTGCTGTAATAATTTGAAATCTGAGTTACTTTTTTGGCGAAAATTCTATAAATATATTTTCAATGGTGCTGATTACGGAACACTTTGTTCTTACAGAATATTAAGAATGATATCTCTTCGACTAAAAGAATGACTCCTCATAATACAAAAATAAAACACAGTCAATTAAATACTGTTTATTCTTTAATAGAAACGTGTTACATTACGTTTGTAACAATCCATAAGTTAAGCTTGCATCATTAAATTTAGAAAAGTACATTAGAAGTCAATTTTTTTTTAAATATTCAAAATATTTTACATGTAAACACAATAAGCACTTCAGGCTGATGGAGCTTCAATGAGTGTTACTAAAAGAAAAAAATATTCATTATTATTTTAATTGATATTTAGCAATAAAATTTATAAATAAAATTTAAAAATTAGTAATCGAGAATCAAGAAATGAGGAAAATCGTATTTGTTATCGTCAAAATGACGGATTGGTTCACTTTCAGAGGAAAATGTATTTGAAACAACCAATTAACTTGGCTTGAATGAATAAAGCTATTCAAAATAATCAAACTAGGAAAAAAGTCATTTAAAAAATAATATTGAGATTTAAAATCGAGAGTTCAGAAATCAAGATAAGAATTGAATAATTAGAAATTATGATAGAAATAACCAATACAATTTAATGCGAGCTAATTTCAAAAGAGTGACAAGATTTCTTAACCATGATTTGAGGACAAATCCGCGGTGTGTCCTCGAAAAATTTTACGATTTGAGCACACCCATATATTTATGGAAAATATTAATTTATATGTGAAAAAAGTTTTTTTTATAAATTAATAAATAATGTCAGATGCAGATTCTTTTTCATCAAATTTGATATCATTACTACTATTGATATATCATTTAATATTCTGCATTTGTTTAACAGAAATATTAATATTGCGAGAAGAATTAAATATGGCGAGAATACAATTTACTCTCACTAATTTGCAACTGTATAACTTCAAGATAAGTTTACATAATACTTATTAATTTAAAAATATAATTTATTTTAAAATTATTATTTAAAAAAAATAGTTAGCATAGTTAAATTAGTACTGCAAATATAATAATATAATAATTCTAAAAACATTAAAATAATTTCTCAGTTTAAAGTAAAATCATATTCTTCTCAGTTTGCTTTACCCTAGTATCGATATAAAAACCTACGCTTTTCAAGGGTGAGGCTCGAACTCACAACCTCAGCAATATAAGTAGGGAGTGCCTTATAATCAATTGCGCTACTAGGTACAATTTAATAAAAAGGTAAAAAATTTGCTTTTAACACAGACAAAGGTAAAATGAATTTTTTTTAATCTCAGAATAAAAATGTTATGGAAGTATTATCGTATTTTATAGACCAGCATACTTCATAAATTGATTTTGATTCATTGGTTCAATTGCTTCAAAACATTATTTGCAATTTCCCCTTTAAGTCGGCAAAATTCAAAACAACTTTTGATCAAATCTCCAATCATCACCAATTTTGATGAACTCAAACCCCCAACAACAATTGATCAAATCACGTCGAAATTATAAAAAAAAGCAAATTTTTGACCGTATTTGAGAGGGATATTTACAAGTTCAAAAATGTTTTTACAGCAATTTATAAAATTTAAGAGACTAAGAAGTTACGAAACAAAAGAGAAATCCATGAGTCGAGCGGATTTACCAGAAATAATGGACGTTCAGAATGAGAAAAATCCTCCAATAATCATATATTTAGTTTTTGGGATATTAAAAAAAATCCACATTTTACTAAGTAATTATGCAACCAGTCATGCTTAAATCAGAGTTTTCCTTATCAAGTTAAAAGAGCTAAAATTTGTTAAGATCTATATATTAATATGCAGTTCTCGTTGACTAAGTTGCTTTTTCTCGTAATGGAATTTTTTACGGTTCTCGCAAATTTTAAAAAGTTCCTCGCGCATCAGTTTCTGCTATTGTTGTTATCAGGGGTCTGTCTAGGTTTTTCTGAGAAATATCTATTTTGTGAAAATTTAGACATGATTTGTGAAAATTAAAAATTATAATAAAAAATCAACACAAAAATATGAATTTATCGTTTCTTACGGGATATAAAAATAAAATTTTAAGAAAAAGTATTTTGTGAAAGTATCGCTTTTCCTAAAGTTGAATTTGTAAAGGTACAGCTAAACGGTAGTAAATTTGGCACTGGCAGATTCATGGTTATGCAATTTTTTTCAGGTAATCTTTAATGAGTCTTGTTTAATTTCAAGTGCATTTGATTAATTCAATACCTTAGTTTTGTTTTTATAATTGAACAAATATAATTAAGATGTGTTTTTCGTATGAAATTTTTTTGACAAAATAAATATATTATTACCTCTAAATATGTCATAACTTTATACGGATTTCATAGCCACTTAAATTGAACTAAGTGCTTATAAGCAACGCATTTAGGTAAAAATTTTAGTTAAATTCATCCTCCTTTTAATTATCAACAAATAAAAGCTATACCTTCAACTAACTAAAAAATTGTTTAAAACTTATTATTATCCATTTTTTTCAAAAACTTTGTACACAGATTTCTATTAATGCTACCAATATTTTGCTGAAATTTTAAAAGGACTGAATAAAACTTGCACTTTTTCGTTTTGAAATTCCATTGTACCCTTTGATGGTTTAAAATTATAAATTAAAAAAAAATTAAATGAAACTATTTTTATTAATTCACATTTAAATGAGAATAATTTATTATTTTTATTTTTTAATTTGATATGACTTTTGATATATCGAAAACTTTTGAATTGAAGTGCATATTTTTTAATTGCTATTGTTATTCTCATAAACAATGATATTTTAAATAGTATAATCCACAGTTTAAATAAAATCGATTGATATCGAAAAAATTAAGAATTTACGACTTTTTTTTTTTTTTAGTTTTAATTTTTGTTTTTCGTCCTAAACAATTATCGAAAAAGGTGAATATTTTTCAAGCTGAATATGTTATGCGTATGCGCATAATATTTAAACTGGATGTTATGAAACTTATTTACATATTAAGCATATTGTTACCAATAAAATAATTAAAAAATACTTGTCTTTCTACTTTTTTCATACCTGAATCATCTAATGCTGCACAATGAGGCGGTGAATAATATTCATCACAAATGTATTTTTGGCTAGTTGTAGCAGTTTGATTATCATATTCTTGACATTTTATTTGACAGTATGATGGTTCCTTTGTCAATTGTACGCAGTTCAGTTCTCCAGGAGATATAAGATGAGTTTTGCAATTCAAATAAGCTGCAAAAGTGATAAGAGATTTAATAGGAATTATCTAGAACAGCAGTTCCCAACCTATGAAAACGGCTGACAAGTAGGCTGCGGATCCCAAATTTAAAACCAAATTTTTTTTGGAGAGATTTTTAAAATTGTATTTTTTATGCTCTTTGTTTTAATATTTTGCCAGGTGTCACAAAATTGATCGACGATTTCAAAACCTAATTGAAGAAGAACTGAAGCAGAAAAAATTAATGATTCGCTGTTTTCAACTTAGAAAACAAATTATGCATTTTCTCCAAATTTCAAGATTTATCACAAAGTGATAAGAGATTTAATAGGAATTATCTAGAACAGCAGTTCCCAACCTATGAAAACGGCTGACAAGTAGGCTGCGGCTCCCAAATTTAAAACCAAATTTTTTTTGGAGAGATTTTTAAAATTGTATTTTTTATGCTCTTTGTTTTAATATTTTGCCAGGTGTCACAAAATTGATCGACGATTTCAAAACCTAATTGAAGAAGAACTGAAGCAGAAAAAATTAATGATTCGCTGTTTTCAACTTAGAAAACAAATTATGCATTTTCTCCAAATTTCAAGATTTATCACAAAGTGATAAGAGATTTAATAGGAATTATCTAGAACAGCAGTTCCCAACCTATGAAAACGGCTGACAAGTAGGCTGCGGCTCCCAAATTTAAAACCAAATTTTTTTTGGAGAGATTTTTAAAATTGTATTTTTTATGCTCTTTGTTTTAATATTTTGCCAGGTGTCACAAAATTGATCGACGATTTCAAAACCTAATTGAAGAAGAACTGAAGCAGAAAAAATTAATGATTCGCTGTTTTCAACTTAGAAAACAAATTATGCATTTTCTCCAAATTTCAAGATTTATCACAAAGTGATAAGAGATTTAATAGGAATTATCTAGAACAGCAGTTCCCAACCTATGAAAACGGCTGACAAGTAGGCTGCGGCTCCCAAATTTAAAACCAAATTTTTTTTGGAGAGATTTTTAAAATTGTATTTTTTATGCTCTTTGTTTTAATATTTTGCCAGGTGTCACAAAATTGATCGACGATTTCAAAACCTAATTGAAGAAGAACTGAAGCAGAAAAAATTAATGATTCGCTGTTTTCAACTTAGAAAACAAATTATGCATTTTCTCCAAATTTCAAGATTTATCACAAAGTGATAAGAGATTTAATAGGAATTATCTAGAACAGCAGTTCCCAACCTATGAAAACGGCTGACAAGTAGGCTGCGGCTCCCAAATTTAAAACCAAATTTTTTTTGGAGAGATTTTTAAAATTGTATTTTTTATGCTCTTTGTTTTAATATTTTGCCAGGTGTCACAAAATTGATCGACGATTTCAAAACCTAATTGAAGAAGAACTGAAGCAGAAAAAATTAATGATTCGCTGTTTTCAACTTAGAAAACAAATTATGCATTTTCTCCAAATTTCAAGATTTATCACAAAGTGATAAGAGATTTAATAGGAATTATCTAGAACAGCAGTTCCCAACCTATGAAAACGGCTGACAAGTAGGCTGCGGCTCCCAAATTTAAAACCAAATTTTTTTTGGAGAGATTTTTAAAATTGTATTTTTTATGCTCTTTGTTTTAATATTTTGCCAGGTGTCACAAAATTGATCGACGATTTCAAAACCTAATTGAAGAAGAACTGAAGCAGAAAAAATTAATGATTCGCTGTTTTCAACTTAGAAAACAAATTATGCATTTTCTCCAAATTTCAAGATTTATCACAAAGTGATAAGAGATTTAATAGGAATTATCTAGAACAGCAGTTCCCAACCTATGAAAACGGCTGACAAGTAGGCTGCGGCTCCCAAATTTAAAACCAAATTTTTTTTGGAGAGATTTTTAAAATTGTATTTTTTATGCTCTTTGTTTTAATATTTTGCCAGGTGTCACAAAATTGATCGACGATTTCAAAACCTAATTGAAGAAGAACTGAAGCAGAAAAAATTAATGATTCGCTGTTTTCAACTTAGAAAACAAATTATGCATTTTCTCCAAATTTCAAGATTTATCACAAAGTGATAAGAGATTTAATAGGAATTATCTAGAACAGCAGTTCCCAACCTATGAAAACGGCTGACAAGTAGGCTGCGGCTCCCAAATTTAAAACCAAATTTTTTTTGGAGAGATTTTTAAAATTGTATTTTTTATGCTCTTTGTTTTAATATTTTGCCAGGTGTCACAAAATTGATCGACGATTTCAAAACCTAATTGAAGAAGAACTGAAGCAGAAAAAATTAATGATTCGCTGTTTTCAACTTAGAAAACAAATTATGCATTTTCTCCAAATTTCAAGATTTATCACAAAGTGATAAGAGATTTAATAGGAATTATCTAGAACAGCAGTTCCCAACCTATGAAAACGGCTGACAAGTAGGCTGCGGCTCCCAAATTTAAAACCAAATTTTTTTTGGAGAGATTTTTAAAATTGTATTTTTTATGCTCTTTGTTTTAATATTTTGCCAGGTGTCACAAAATTGATCGACGATTTCAAAACCTAATTGAAGAAGAACTGAAGCAGAAAAAATTAATGATTCGCTGTTTTCAACTTAGAAAACAAATTATGCATTTTCTCCAAATTTCAAGATTTATCACAAAGTGATAAGAGATTTAATAGGAATTATCTAGAACAGCAGTTCCCAACCTATGAAAACGGCTGACAAGTAGGCTGCGGCTCCCAAATTTAAAACCAAATTTTTTTNGAAGTTGAGCACTTTTCGGTAGAACAGTTTAACGAGGACTGGTACTGCGCACCCTCGATCCCTACGCAGACTGATCCAAGTGGTCACCCACCCGCACACTGACCGCAGCTAGTGATGCTTGACTTCGGTGATCTGATGAGAACCGTGTCTTAACGATCATTCCACTGCGGGACAACAGAAAATTATTAAGATCTCCCTCTAATATATTCACAGTGTTAGCACTTAAACCAATAAAAATTATTTTTGTTGACATTTTAGTGACGTATCAGAAACCATTACTGAATTGAATCTGAAGAATCTCCCCAATTAACCGCGTCAGGGAGCGATCGTAAACTCATCCCGAAATTGTACTTTGATATCGAACTCTAATATCTTCATATAAAATTTTTAATTAATAAATTGAAAAATTATTAGTAATTGGCAAAAAAAATTTAAATAAAAGTTATACTGTACTGAGTTCGGGGTTAAGAAATACCGAAAGTCAAAAATATCTCTTGTAATAACTACATACGTTTACAGTCTTGAATTGACTGTGGTTTCCATTCATCTTCCCCATCTCGGCAAGCCATAGATGTTTTCGTAACTGTTCCTTTCTTATATTCAAGACCATACCCATAAATGCATTGTTGGTTACAAGTTCTGCAATACATAAATCATACTGATAATTATAACGCAGAAATTGATTTTAAAAAAAAGTAAAATTATTGCGTCATTGAAAGCTATAATTATTGAAAGTTGTATCTTTAACTCTATTATATTAAAAATTAATGTGTATGTAAAACTTCTGCATTTTGCGCGCAAAATAGCATCTATTAATTTAAGAAACTTATTTGGCCACGCCGAAACACGTACGTGATACAATGTATTTGACTTAATAGCCAAGACTTTACTGTATCCTGCACAAAACAATTACATAAACTACATTTCTTCTTTATTATTATTCAAAATTTCCTGCTTACTCACCTCCACTCTGGCCATACCCAACAAGTTACTTCTGAGTTTTCCAAAGGTGGTAGTACACAATTTTTTCCAACGCTTCTTTTTATCTTGTCGTTGTGGGTTCCTGAAAGCAAATTATTAATTTTTTCTTAAACTGAAAATGAAATTACTTGAGGACTCGTTCATTTTTGACTTGCGATCGGTAATACAACAGCTGTAACAAAATGGTTGTAATAAAGGCTATTATTTAAATATTAGTTGCTTACTGCAACAAGCTTTTGGTATTCTTCAAAGACCCTTACGCGTTTATTTTAGTGTAAATGTAAATGGACAAACATATATATAAATAAATAAGACAAAAAAAGAAATTAAAAGTTCTAAAGCATACAGATTAGTTTCTTACTCGTGAAACAAAAATCAGAGAAAATGAAACTTCAATAGTTGGTCTAATGTTCCAGACGATTCTGTAAAATGAAAATTAATTCTAAAAAAAAGATATATAATTTTTTTTTACTCATGCGGAAAAGTAATAGGTCCACAAAAAACGAAGATAGTTTAAACAAGGAATGAACGGAAACATCTTTTTTTTCTTCTCACTTTTGCGTTAAACATTACATTTAAATGCTTGAAAATAGAAAAAGAAATCATTTACAACAATATTTTGATTATCTATAATCTCCCGAAAGCAGAATAAATATTTTTTGAAACTTGAAAAATATAATTTCTAGGAAAAAGCGAAGAAAGTTTTGAAATTCGTGTAAACGCTGCTTGTTACATTACCTTGTAATGATGCTTAGCACTTTTTCAAAAGTTCAAATTTCGAAAATTTTTAAATTCCTTTTTTTACCAACAATACTAGCATTACATACTAGCTTTTACACTATAAAAATTCTAGATCAAATTACGGTAAAAAGTACCGACACTCAGGCTGTCGGTACTTAGTTCTGTAAAATCCATTTTTAAACATGTTACAGAAAAAAAATCTGATACTATACCGTAATTTCGGCAGTAATAATTACCGTAAAATCACTGAATCACTCTTATTAAATCAATATTACTGTAAGAGTTACAGTATAATAGTTTACGGTAAGATGGACTTTTGGGATGATGCCCAAAAAGTACCGATACTTTATACGGTAATTCATTCAGAATTTTTTGCAGTGTAGGATATCCAAAAAAGAAGGAAAATAATTGTGTTTGGCATCTGTTTGGTAATTGTATTTGCTCAGGATGGCGTTGCTCTTAGTTAAATTAGTCCAAAATTTTAAAAATACATATATTTTAAAATTTTTTCAATTTAAATTAATTAAAGCATTAAAAGTATTTTCATTACAATTATAACAATACGCTCTAATAATATTAAACATATAACATAAAGTGTATTATAACATTATGTTATAATTAACTTTTGCGTTATATCGTGTAGTTGGAGTAAAATTCTTATATAGGAGTTACCCAAGATTAATGAGAGATATAACTGATTAATCATGAAATAACTGACAGATATTCCTTGTAATGCGCCAAATAAAAAAAAAAGGATACCTTCATAACTCCTGATCGTATGATCGGATATTCATTTACAATTTCAATGTTATTAAGATCTTAAATATGCTAATTAATTACTACAAACGATATTTAAAGTTGTGAAAGTAGACACAAAGTGTTTTTTTCCCCCTGAATAAATATTATCATTTTTCTCCTTATGTCATACTCTTAAATATATAACTATGATGATAATTTCAGTTTTTGGGCACTTTCCCGTATTTTTGAAACTATTTAAGAGAACCAAAAACCTTTTGCGCACTTTGATATAACTCGTTTATCCAAAGATAATTCCTTGCAATTTTTTTTATAATTTAAATTTAATTATAATCCAAAAAATTGGTGTTGTAAAAAACGCAAAGTTTGGCATAATCTTAAATGATCTGACTTCAAACTACATTATCCAAAATTTAAAAAAATTGGTAGAACAGTTCCTTGTGAAAATAATTAAAATAATTCGTATTTTTAAATTTTAATTCGTCGATAACTATTCGACCAATTTTGTTCAAAATTTTTCATTTAAATCATTTAAAATTTGAAGATTTCCCGGTTCAAAATTTTTTTCTATCTAAATAAGAAATGATAGTTGAATCTTTTATTTACTTATTTATTAATTTTTTTTTGCATGCAGTTGTTTTTGGATAATCGAATTCTGTATGCATTATAAAAAATTTTTTTTTTAGCTTAACTTGAATAGTTTCAGCGATATGTATACAAAATAGAAGATTCCATGTTGAACCATATTTTTCAGATTGCGGTCAGTTTTAAAGATCAAAAATCCGAATCCATCTAAAACAAAGTACGTTTATTCAAAAATAGTACATTTTTGTGTTTGATTTTTTTAAAACTTAAATTGTCAACTGCAAAAAGCAATCAGACTATTCAAGACCCAACCTTCAAACCATTAAAAATTTTGTATTAGTCCATGAATATCCGTTAACTAAACCTAAAGCTATTCAAGTGTTCTATTTTTCATTTAATTTTCTGCTCATGCAACAACACAGAAAGTTTTTTCATGTGATATCAAGTATATTTTCTATAATTTCTATTTTTCATGACAAACATTAGGATTTTTAATACAGTCGAACCCCGCTATAGTGAACCGTCTGCGGACTCAGTAATGTGTCCACTATAACCGATGGTTCACTATATCCAAATTTTTTGAAGAATATTTTTTGCATAAGACAGTTGAATGATTGAAAATTGGCTTTGCAATTTTGCATAAGTTATTTAAAAAATTATTAACTAATTAACAGATAATAAAGCAAAAATTGATGGAAAAAGTAATTACGTCGCTAAATATTAGTTTTATTTTCACTTTTTATGAAAAAAATTTGTGATTTTTGATTGAACACAATTTGATTTTAAATTGAGTTCATCAATTTTCTTATCTACAATGTGCAAAGAATGCAAGATTTTTACATTTTGAACAAGATTTCGAACCATCTTAACAAAGCATCTTCTACGTTTTCTCTTTCAGCTCCACGCAGTTTTTTCGATGAAACCATGTTTTTGTCGTATGCCGCAAGAATTGCACTTCGATTTTTCCAAATGTTTGAAACTGTAGATTTTGACAAGGAAAATTCCTTACACAGTGTCGATTGATTGGTTCCATCATCAATACGCTTTACAATTTTAACTTTGTCCTCTATCGAAAACGCTTTTCTCTTTAGAGAATTTGCCATTTTCACTGCTTTTGAAATAAAAATCTTGTCTCAAATAGATAATGTAAGAATATGAAGAGAGCAGCTGTAGAATGAGTTAAATTGTTCCCCTTCTTGATTGTCAAGGGGTGATTTGTAAAGAATATGGTTTGAACAGATAAGAAAATTCCAAAAATTCAGCAGGTGGCCAAGTTAACTAGTTGTAGAGCAAGCTTGGGGAAAAGAGATAAAGCGAGGCTTGTCAGGGAGGGGGGAGTATAAGATAAATGATCTGTTTGACATTTATTACAGTATAGTTAAAAGTGATAAGCATAAAGGAGAGTAATATGACACATTTTATAGGAATGCATTCATTTTCAGTCCCAACACCTACAAGTTTAAAGATGGAGGACTGAAAAAGATATTTAAAGAAATGAAATTTGAGTCCACTATAACCGAGTTTCCATGTTCTAAGCTGTTCACTATAAGCGTTAAAAATAACATTATTTAAATAGGAATACGGACGGGACCGCTAAAAAAGTTCACTACATCCGAGTGTTCACTATATCCCAGGTTCACTATAGCGGGGTTCGACTGTAGCTTTATCTTTATATAGTCATAAAAAAACTATTTCACGCCATTTTTTTTTTCGTTTTCTTTATTTTTTTTATATGCTTAGTTTAATTTTATGTAACTTAATTCTTTTCTATACGCTTTTTAGGTTTTATTATTGTATTTGTTTTTGTCTTATTACTTTATGTTTTTCATGCGACGTACGTTGATTGTCCTGCTTTTATGGTGCTCATGTATTTTTTTACTTCTTCTTAAGGAATAAAAGTTCGCGTTTTATTTTTCATTTAATTTCCTGTAACAGCAACACAGAAAGTTTTTCCATATGATATCTAGTATATTTTTTATTAATTTATACTTTTCATGCAAATCATTAGGATTTCTTACAGCTTTGTAGTCATAAAAATTATATTTGCGCAATTTTTTTTTATTGCAACTTAGTTTAATTTTATGTGATTTAATTAATTGCTATACGTTTTCAGGTTGCTGCTTCATATCTTTCATACGACGCACGCTGATTGTCCCGTATATATGGTGGTCCTGTAATTTTCTTTTTTCGTCGGCAGAAATAAAACTTAGTGTTATTGTTAAATTTAAAGGAAATTTAACTTAATAAAATTAATAATTCTAGATATTATTGTTTGTTAAAATCGGTCTTATTAAATCTTGATATCTGATAAATTTTTAATAAAATTAAACTATAAACATGTATTGATTTTATCACCTGCTGGAATAACAATTTCAATTGGAAAATTCCGCGAAGCAATCATGTCAACCAGCTTATTAGAAAACCTTCCTGGAAAAAAAATGTAAACAGTAAACTTGTAAGAACTTTGAGTAAAAATTAAAAGGAAGATAAGCACACTCATTATAGAAAAGAATAATGGAATTTAATTTACTTTTTCTAAAAACTACTTCTGCATTCATAAACTTCTTGCTGCTTCCTTAAAGGTAAAAGGAAAAAAATGAATAGATAAACTTTTATTTAAAATCTAAGATCTGTTTTGAACTAAAATTATTTTCCTTACTTTTATTTAGCAAATTTTTATCTTCGTCTACACCAAGATTTATTTTTCTTCCTTCTAAAATAAGAAAAAAAAATTTTTATGTAATAAATTCTTTCACTCTAGTATAGAATAATGTGGTTATGTAATAAATTCTTCATAGTATGAATATTATTCATAAATAACAAAGCGATCTCGTTTTCAAATGTGTCATTTTTTAAATTTTCTTAATTCATGTCTGTAAAAAAATCGTCACTTTTATTCGCGGAATTACTAATCTTCAATTAATGTAAAATGAAAATCAAACTTAATATAATTTAGGAAATTGAGAAAAATATTAACTAGCAAAACTTCAAGAAATGAATTGAACATGGTTCGCAAAATATTTTTAATATTCAATATTAATATATCCTTTATATTAAAAAACAATTTCAGAATTTACGCCGTTGCTATGGATAGCTATTAAAGAAAAAAAAATGACAGTTTTGAGTTGGTATTGGTTGGAGTTGAAGTGAAATATTTTCTGAAGTCTATGACGTAGACTTTCTTTTAATGTTTATTTTATTCAAATATTTATGAGCTTTGAAATGCAAGATTTTGTGAAATTTTATTCTTACCACATACTATTTTATTTTATTTTATTTATTTTGCTAGGAGACTAAACTTCACCAACCTGGCTCCCCTTTATCAGTCACACCGAGAAACATTAACTACTTAAATTTATTAACTAATGTATTGATTTTCGTTTTCAGGTCATAATGACTTTCAGTTTAATAAATTGCTTTATGAACACCTGTAGAAATTTCTCTCTTTTTCGCAGTAGAACAATCGGATAAAATGTTTCGTTTGCAGCGCATAATAAGAACGCAAGTACTTTATTTACTTATTTATTGTCGCATTGTATTGCTGCTTCTTTCAAAAGGACATTCTTCACCTTACTCCAATATAAACAACCGCGCATGAGTTAAAAGATTCTACAGCTTCAATTCGTCTAATATCTTTTAAGAAGACCGTACTGTCTCATTGTAATTGGCAACTAGTTAAATTTTCACTATATGGCGTAGCTAAGTAAATTGTTAACATAGTGCTGCTTTCAATAGAACTCCTCCTGACATTAGTCTCGCGTCGTGGCGGGTACCATGATTAGAGGACATGGTTACAGGTTTCCTCATGGTACCATGAGGAAACGTCACTACGAATAGGGGTGTGGTGTGAATAATTTCGTCTTGATCTTGGCATGTGTCAGAGTGAGTAAAGCAATCGACACCTTCATTAGTCCATTGCACCCCCTTTAAAGGTGCTCTCGCTTGTTACCATAGCAGCAGACAACCCTAGATTTTTAGTTTGGAGGAGTTCCTCTCAAAGCCACAAAATAAATATTGTCCTCATAAAGCTGATTCATCAATGCTCCGAATATAAACAAAAACCAGAACTTGCGAAAAGGTTTTTCCTTTCTCAAACATGCACAAAGCAGAGCTTGTTACGTAACAGAACCGGTAGAACCTCTTTCCTTGCTTTGGAGATCACTTTGCAAACATAAACATTTAAACCCAAACAGTTAACAACGCTCTTCGCGTTGTGCACTGTCATTCTGTGTGCACGAATAAAAATTGAAGAGAATCACGAAGAGGAAAAAAAGTCACAGTTCTAAATTTTTTGTCACATTACAATGATTACATATTTGCCACTACTTATAAACAGAAGAATTATCTATATCAGAAATATAGTCCATAATGCTTCACTCCAAGAACATAAAAAATACATACTCCCGAAAAGCGAAGCGAAATTTTTATTTGGCAGAATAGAACAATTTCTTTTGGCGCAAACATCAGGGGGATATTCAGCTGAAACACATAAAGTTAAATCTGTATCTTCGTCTCTCTTCAATACCCTGTTAAAGATAATAAAATAAAAAGTAACGATAAAATGATACGGAGAAAATTTATTATAAAAACACTAATCGGGATATACATTAGAATTAAGATTCATTTTAAATTTGATAGCGAATTTGTTGATCAGGTAATTGTTCACCAGCAATGGCCCTTAACCAAGGAAAAACCATCAGTGTAGAGAATACCGGACAATGGCTCACCTTAAAGTGTAATTATTCATTCACCTTTTTTATTTTTCTCAAATTGTAATGCCATATTATTTTTGATGCTGTAACTAATTGGAACATAGTAGCATTTTCCCCTCATATTTTGTCATTTTGCAGTTATATCTGATGGGCATTTTCTGCTATATCGTTGCAGATTTACTCCGCAGGCCATCGAAATTTCCCAACCAGACTCTTTCAGTGATAATTGGGTTCCTGCAAGCTCCACTTGACGTCATCGTAGGGCTTTGATGACGTAGGACTAACCCTGTCTATTGTGGTTTCAAAAGCCAACCAGGTTTGGCGTAGCACATGACGTCGCTTACAGGCGTAAACACTTCTCTTCTACTAGTTGACAAAAATGTTTTATTTTTTAAGGTGATTTTCTAAGAAGCAAAGTATTATGCAATTAAATTAAATTCGAATTTAAAACTAAGATCGTGATAACATCAAAGTGTTTAGAAAGTTCTTTTAAAAAATAAGCGAATGTGCTTCGAATTTAAGTGTTTTATGTTTTTATACCATTTTTAATAAAACTCTATTTTTTTAAAAATGCTTTAAAGTTATGTTTAGTATTTTTAATGTTTTGCATCTAACTAATTTATTAAAACAAAATTCAATACTTAAAAGAAATTAATTAGTTATATTTCTAATAACTTGCTTGTTTTTTTTTCTTAAACTTAAATCTGGAAATATATCTAATTAATTATAATACCCATCGTTAATGCGTACTTACGTATTGACTGTAATTTGAATATTGTGTTGTAAATAATTTTCGCAATAGCAATCGACAAAAGTTGGCATACATTCTTCGGATAGTGCTTGCTTAAAGAAAACGCATCCATAGTAGAATATTAGAATTACAGGATCTAAAACATTAAAGATAAAACTCGTTAAATGGTAGAAGATTTTGAAAAATATATTAACTTAAAATGTGCTGTGCTTATGTGAATTGCTTAAATGTTAAAACAAATTTAAAAATCAAAAGTAGTACATTTTAAAGTATGGGCAGTAAATAAAATTATAAAAGTTTCGTTACAATCATTATCGTGCCTTAAAAATCCTTTGATGAGTTTTGTTTAAAAATAAAAATCTATACATTTGTAAAATTAAATTTTTTTACAATTCAAAGCCCACATTGCAGCGCGAACTTATCGACAATCACAATCAGACTAAAAAAAAAAAAAAAAACATTTATTTGTCTTTGAACAAACATTTCTTTTTTTCGATTTATCCGGATTTTTGATTCTCAAAATATGGATGATAGCCGAAATCTAGAAAATATCAAAAAGCAACCAAAGTTCGGTCCTTAGCTTATTTAGTCATATCTCTGAATATTTAAGCAAATGAAAAAATATATAAATAAAAATTCGCACAAATTTAGAACATGTTTATTCAAAAATATTTCAGACAATATAAAATTCTATTCATTTGAATTATTAATTATTTCTTCATTATTTAATTTAATAATGAACTAAAATGTTCTATATTGTAAGGTATGAAAACTTTACATTATTTTCATAAAATTTTAAACATTTATAGTCAGTTACCATACTTTAAGATTATAATTTAGTAGATTAAAATTGGATTATTAGATCCGTTTTTTATTTTGTGCAATCTATGTACATTTGTAAAATAAATAAATAAACAAGCGGACCACCCTGAATAACTTTCCTAATGATTGGATCGTCGATCATTCTTGCCTATCAAATAGTTCCTGAGGAATCGAATTAATATGTTTTTTTCCCCCAGTGCCTACCTGGGATGAAATTTCGTCAATTCAGACGTATTGGGGCAGATTTGTCGTCCACTCTTTCAGGAGCACCATATTGGGGCCAACGTTGCTTCCACACTAAGGGCAGATAGTACATATAATGAAAGAACATCCATGCGTTGTCCGGGAATCGAACCGTGAACCATTCTGATGCAAGTCCAGTTCCCTTACCTTTGCACAGTCGGCAGAAATCAAATTATAAAAGTGCGATTTTTAAAAAATATCGTTTTCTTAGGATCTATTCTATCGATTTCGCTAAATGTTTTGTAACATGCAATGTGAAATTCTGTTCTTTAAAAGGATGTAAAAAGTTGTGTGCCTTCAATATTAATAAATAAAGTAATAAAAGACATAATGAATATTTGTTGAAAGTTCTTTTATTTCCGCATAGAATTTTCTTTGAGTAAATAAATTTCTTTAAAATAACGTCAGAAATTGTCAACCTTACAATTAAAAGCTTACAACCTATTTTTAATAAACTAATAAAAAACTAATAAATAATTACTGAAAGTTATTCTTTGCTGGGAATAATCTTTGGATAAAGGAATTTTATAATTGTGTGCAAAGCTTTTCAGCTTACTTTAGAATGGCGAAATACAAAAAAAAGTAAAATTGACATTAAGGGCTCCAAACTTTGGATCACTTTCCTGATCAAACTATGGGGACCATATTTCTCAGATCGATTACCCCCTATATTTTACGGGTTAGAAATCCAAATCCGTTGAATAAAAGGTATGTTTGCTCACAGAGAGTACGTTGTTTGTGCTTAATTTCGTAACTTAAAATATCTTCTGCTCCAATTAATTAGCATATTTGAGGTCACCTACTCGAACCATTAAAATTGAGGAACATGAAGATCCGATCATTAGATCAAAAGTTACTTTGGGTGGTCCGTTTATTTTATTGCGCAATGTTGTACATTCAATACACGAGCAATATGCGATGAGAAATAATTTTAGTAAAATCAATACTTTTAAAAAAATTAATTGTATAATGTTCAATTTCCAAATCTATGAAAAATGCAATGATAAATTAAACTATTACTTACTCATTCTGAAAAAAGTACTGGTAAATACTAACATCAAATTATGAAAGTGGATTAGTGTCTCACAGCAACTTTAAATACGTCAACCAAAATTCAATTTCGTTTAAAGAAATTTCCAGAACCCGGATCTTTATACTTAAGGACATAAATTGCGCAAAAACATAACATTATATTTAAAAGAAAGATCTTTCTTATGGTGTTATTTTAAATAACATGGAATTATCAAAAATTTTATTTATAAAGACTAATCTAGAGTTAATACTATAAATATTGTTTTAGTGGCTATTCAGAAGTGTGTGAAATTGCTTTACCGTATAGTGTGAGTAATTTCAATAAATAAATGCTTTTTAACGCTAAAGCTACACCACAAGCATGAAGTAATCAACTGAATTAATGATGCACGAAAAAAAATAGGGAGTTCACTGTGTTTATTAATTAAATTAATTCATTCAGTTACTTACATGCTCTACTCGATACTCCTTACATCTTTTATTTATTTCTTTAAAAAAAATTTAAAAAACTTAATTTTTAGCAAACTGAAAAAAGAAATAAAAAATGAAATAAATAGATCAATAAAATAAAAAAATAGCTTTAATTTTCAATTTCAACGTAGATTTCAAAGAATAAAATCACTTTTTTGTCTCCTTTAAAAGATCTTCTCAGCAATGGGAAAGCGTATTTAAAGCATTTTTTTTCTATTAAACAAATTAAGAGTGACTACATTAATTTGTATTAGAGAAAGAGTTACTATTTATTTTCAGTAAGAAGATTTCTAATAATTTATTTCATTCTTATTCTATAAGCAAAAGATATATGTTTTTGACTATTTATATTAATGGTGGTGAAAAATTTTTTTCCCCAATAAGATGTTTTTTTCAAAATTACTTTTTTTCTGAAGTATACTTCTTTTCAAAAGTCAGTCGCGAGATAAAAAGAATAACTTTTGATCTAATGATCGGATCTTCACGTTCTAGGACTCAATCTTAATAGTTCAAGGCTGTGATTTCAATTATGCTAATTATTAAGTGCAGATGATATTTTAAGTTGCGAAATAAGATACAAAAACGTACTTTCTTTGAATACACATACCTTTTTATTCCATGGATTCGGATTTCAGTCCACCGAAATATAGGGAGAAGCCGCAATCAGGGAGATATGGTCCTAATAGTTAGAGAAAGAGAGCGGTTCAAGCTTTGAATTTTAAATTTTATTTTGCGTGTACTCCGCCATATTTCGATAACTTTTTGAGTGAACTAAAAAAAAAAAAAATTGCACCCAATTATAAAATTTCTTTATCCAGAGGTAATTTCGTGCAAAAAATAACTTTCAGTAAATTTTTATTATTTATTTTTGTCATTTCATTTAATAACAGTCCGAAATATTTTAAATAGTAAAGTCTACACTTTCTTATATCATTTTAAAGAATGTAATTTTACATGGCGAAATACGAAATGTAAACGAAATCAGTCGAATAGTTACTGAAAATTGAATTTTAAAAAAGTCGTATATTTAATTAAAATTCAGATCATATATTTGTTTATTATATATTATTGTTAGTTTGTATTAGTTCTTTATATTTGTCGCTAGTATATATAACTTCTGCGAGTGTGCATAACTTCCTATTCGAATGAATCAAGAAAATAAAACAATGATAAATAAAATAAAATAAAAAAATAAATAAAAGCGCTTGCGCAGTTTATCTGACATACAATAAAGAAGTTACAAGAGCAGTTCTAAGGAAATGCAAGTTATGTATAATGCAACTTTTCTTTCGGTAGAGTTTTTATTTATCTTTAAAGTGGTGGCAAGATTTATACTTTTTTATTTTATGTATTTGATTTAAAATATTCTTGCGCATTATAATACCTGATTAATTTTAACTTATATAAATTATTAAATAGTCATTAATGCTGTTTCAGAGGTTGATGAGATTTAAAAAAAAATTTCTTACAGTTACTGTTGCATAATTTTTATTTCACTACCACTAGAAAAAATCTCTTAAGAAAGTGCAAATGTTGACAGTTAAGAAATAAGTATGATTTATTTAATGTAATATGAACGAACAAGCATATCCTTGTTATAATTCTTAGCTCTAATAAGATCAAATATACTAAAAGCTGAAGAAATTGAATTTGCAATAACCAAAGTGAAATAATTTTCATTTGTAAAAATGAAAAATTTTGTTTTTCAATACAAGAAAGAATAAATGAAAAAGTTTGATATTTATACATCATTCTAGATGTCGCTTCAGAGAAATTAGTATGTTTTTTCTATTTAAACGTACATTCAAGTTAATGATATGAAACCGATTAGACTAAGGTAGTTTTCGGAGTCCCTGTCAGCGAAGCTGACACCTCACTCCTTCATCTGTAGTATTGCCCGAAGGCGCCTGGTATATTGTCTTTAACAGAAGTTGTTTGAGTTTCAGGACTGAGGACGTCTTGGGAGGGTGTAGGCCAGAGCCGTTTTTATGTATATAGGGGCCCTGGGCCTGTCACTATCTGGGGGCCCTTTATGAGTAAATTTAGAAAAAAAAATTAATTTTGAATAATTTTTAAAAATTATTTTATTTTACGAGTAAAAAACATATAATTTAATTATAAAAACTTATATACATTATTTTTATCGAAAATTTAAGGTAGCAATACTTTTCGCATTTTTTGAGAGGCGAATCTTCTATCACATCATCAAAATCAATTTCCTATAAGACATACATTTTGCTTTGCAGATCAAAATCTGTTAGACTTAGAAACATAAAATTATGAAGGTGTGTAGAAAATATGCAAGGAGTTATAAAAAATACAAGAAAATACAGTTTGATTATTAGTTTTTTTTAATAATCGCCGTTGAAAGATTGACTCAATTTTGAGCCAATATTTAACTACGTAGCGTTGGAATTTTAAAACCAATCCAGAAGACAAGGAAACTCCTGGATCAATACCCAAAGGTATTGAATTGTTAAGAGAACTTGGAGGAGTTTATGACCCCGGAAGATTTAACATGCACCAGTCACCATTTTATACTTGGGCAGGTTTAATTTGAACTCCCTTTCTCACGAACACGAGTCCACAGCCCTTCCATCAACCAAGCTATCGTGGCCAAATTATTAGTTTATTTTATAACAGTCATCGAGCAGCACACGAGATTTCGAGTTTACTACTACTAATGTTTAACTCCGTAGCCTTGTAATTTTGAACCCAATCCAGCAGACAAGTGAACTCCTGGATCAAGTAGTGGAAGAAATTTTTGCCTTCGTGGAGGACGTTTTGATGGAACTAGCCAGCATTTGAGTTACATGGAGAGGAAAACCACGAAATCCTCCCACGGTTAGTCTGATACCAAGGTTACTCTAATCCATGATTCGCCTACCACTGAGGATATTTCACGTCAGCACTGTGGTCGGTAAAAGCCGGGTGTGGAATTCATATCGATCAGCCATCACCGGGATTCGAACTCGGTGCACCTCATTCGGAGGAGAATGTTCTATCCCATGAGTCCAACTTTATTGAGAAGTAACTCAGGTACCAATTTTTCAATTTTATTGATTGGTACCAATTTTATTGATTTGCTTAAGTTTAATCATCTTCAAAATGTAAATGGTAATTCAATCGTAATTTTTGTAGAAAAAAAAAGGAAATAAACCGTTTTTCCTCTTAACCTGCAATGAATTCACCACGAGGGTTAGTGAGCAAAATGAACAGGTAGCGGAGCCTTCCAGTTTTTTATATAATTGTTAAATTATTAGTTATCAACATGCGTACTTAAAAAAAATAAGAAAAACATTTTTCAGTATTAAAAAATAATAATTAAAAAGTGTCTTCAGCTGGAATAGAACCCACGATCTCACAGTTTTGTGTTAGATTTCATAATCATCAGCGCAAAATATACACACCTGCCTTGAGGATATTNCTTTGATTTGGAAATTTAAAAGCCTTATTAATTAAAAAATTCAGAAGACTTATTAGCTTTAGACACATAATAACAACATAAATCAAGGAGTTAAAAATAGAAACGAATGTAATCAATAAACAATAAAATCATAAATCATAAGCTAACTAAATAAATTAATTTTGTGTACAAATTATAATATTACAAATTAAACATATTTCACATTTGGGGGAAACATGGAAAATTTGGTCATACAGGAGTTTTAAAAAGTTTTTTCTCGTGTTTAAACATTTGTTTAGCTGATGATCATTTCATTTCAATGCTCCATTAAGCAAAATCCTATGTTGTTTTTGTATATTAGCAATAAGTAAATTAAAATCAAATTTCATTTGTTATCTCAATTTCATCCAGAACAGACCAAATCAAGAATTTTGCCAGATAGGCCAATCAAAGAAGGAATTGAATAGTGGCCCGCCATTTAAATAAAAAAATAAAAAAATTCACAATGTATATATAAAAAACTGCGCAAACCTTTCACGTTTTCCCTTACCACAACCAAAATTGATATAATAAAAACATTTGCTTACCTCCAACGTGAAAGATTTATGTCTTCTTAATATCCAACGAAAATTTTATGTAGAAATTCCAATTCACGGATTCTCTTACGATTAATTTGAAAAATAACAAAATAAAATCAGCTATAAAAATTAAGTAAATAAAACTATTAGGCAAGTTGAAATATTTAAGATGATTAAAGGGAAAAAAGCTTTTATAGTAAATTAGAAAAAATATCTAATTTTTCTATGAAAGAAAATTTAGAATTGAACGAGGCCCAATTTGAAGGCACTATGGAAATCTCAAGACAGAGTGACCCAAAGGGATTCTAAGAAGACTCTCCCCCTATTCACAACCCAAGAAAGTTTTCTTCCTAGAAATTTATGAGCAGAAATCAGACAAAAGGGTGTTTCTGTGGATATCTGATATTTTCGAAGTTAGGAAAAAATAGCCCTGTGGCAGTATAAAGAAGCTAAAAACATTTTCTCACAGTGTAAGGTGAGAAGGCTATTTGACAACTCTGTGAGTGGTAGCTACGAAAGTGGGGATATTTTCATTATTGGAAAGAGCTTTTTATTGCTCTTTTAGTTAGAAAAGTGAAGAGTAACAATTATTTTATATTTGTTAACACTTCGATTAGATTTTGAAAAGAATCCAACAATGTAAGAAAGAAAAAAATATGTATATTATGGCTTTAGAGGGCCTCAGCTCTGAATAAAACTTCAGAAGAAAAAAGTGGGGTTTGGGGGCCCTCTTAAGATATAAATAATAAATGAGTTAGAACTGAAAAAAAAAAAAACAATTAATGCAATGAGATTTTAGACCTTTGGGGGCCCCATTAGAACTCGGGGCCCTGGGCCAGGGCCCACTTGGCCCATCCTTAAAAACGGCTCTGGTGTAGGCTTGAAGGGATGATCTCCGCTTCTATGGCTTTTCTGAGAGAAGGGATCTAACTAAATTGAGGAGTTCTTGGTCTTTTCGTAATGTGTCAGAAAAACAACCTGGTATATCCTAGAAATCACCTCATCAATCTGGTTGATATGAAGTGAATTTAAAACAGCCTCAAAATAAGCTTAGGCATAAATAAAATGTGTGACTTCATATACCTCAATAAATAACTGACTCTTTTTAGTTGAAAGTGGTACATTTTTTTTATACCTCAGAATACCTTTTTTGTTATAAGTGTCAGAAAAACAACCAGTATAGCTTGAAAAACACTTCATCAGCCTGGTTGATTTGAAGAGAATTTTAAACAGCCTCAAAATGAGCTATGTATGTCAAACAACCTCATATACCTCAATTACAAACTTTATGAGGTATAATTTTTATGGTTGTTTTGACAAAAATATCATACCTAAAAATGACCACGATACCTTAAAAATACATCAAAACAACCTCAAATATACCTTAAATTTTCGTAAGGGTAGTCTTATTGAGTTTATGTAAAGATTTGTAAGAAATAAGAAAAAAAAATCTAATCATCAAACTTATAAGTATCATAATGAAAGATCTAGATTATATTATGGGAAAATAAAAAATGTTAAAATTTCCTAGTAAGATTGGAATTATGTATTTGAATATTTGTAAAGGTTGTTAACTGTAGTACTTTATTCGGTTTATTTTATTTTGTGGCTGTGTTACCTGTCCCACTTTTAAACGCTTTTAGCTATTGCTATGAGGATGAATCTCCTATCAGCTTGTGGATAGTTTTATTAGATTAAGTGTAAAAAAATGCATAAAAATTGGTACATAACTTTAAAATGTTATGTTATTAAGCGATTGTTGATTCGTGATTACACTGATTAAAATATTAAAATAACTATTTTTTAAGAAACTCTGATGTGATTGAAAATAACGGAAGTCCGTTTCAGATTCAGCTCCGAAAATTTATTAAAAACTATTACTTTTATGGAATCTGACGAAAAGTTTAAAAATATAGGCAAGTCTTATTGAGTTTAATGATTTATTAGAAAAAAAGAAAGAAAATCTATTTATTAAACTTACAAGTACATTAATGAGCGATGAAGGTTAAATTATGGGAAAATAAAAAGTGTTAAAATTACCAAATAAGGTTGGAATTACATATTTGAAAGTAATGGTTGTTATTGGTAGTTCTTTCTTCAGTATTTTATTTTGCGGCTGTGGTATCTGTCACACTCTTAAACCCTTTTAGCTACGAGGAATGAGTTGAAATGATAAAAGTGGAATTCCATTTATCTTAAAAATAAAATTAATTTCCTCCAGTCAATTTAAATCATGAAAAAAACACACACAAAAAAAATTATTAATTTTATTAATCAATTCTGTTGAAGATCATCTGATTCTAAAATTTTGAAACCTGACACTGTTATTGTAAATATGACTTTCTTATTAATTCATGTTTTTTACTTTTAGGTTCCAACACTCTCAAATTTCAACAGGGAGACCAGAATCAACATTTAAAATAGTTTTGCAGGTTTGTAGGAGAAAAATGAAATTTTAGTTTTAAATAAAAATACTTTAAATGTCAGCTGACTCATTATTTAAATTTACAGTTCTATAGCTTTAAAAATTGTAAGCACCTTAGACCTCTACCTTATAAAAATGTGATTTACAGCAAATGATTTTTTTAACTGTGGTTGTGATAACAAATTTGTGATAATGTGATTTCAAGATAATTTAATTAGATCTATTAAATTTGCAGAAGAATTATGTATTTGAAATTTTCTTTTATAGCTTAACAAAGAAAGCAATTACAGCCGAAGGTGTAATATTAAAAACTTTAGGTTGATAAATTAAGATCTCTACTGGTGAAAAAATTTAACTATATGTACTGTTCTTCATATAATATAAGTAATAGTGAGGTTAGAAATTAATACACTTGGGGGACCGTATAACACCCTGTTTGTGAATTATTACCTTCATAATTATCAATAAAAAAACCCTACAACTTTAGGTTGAACTATATCAAAGCCTGAAAAATAAAATTTTTGCATCTGAGTTTGATAAATTAATACGTCTAAAAATACAACTATGATACTTAAGGTTAAAAAATAATAACCTAAAGTAGAACATGGAACACCTCGCGTTAATAAAAAATAACCATTCCAACGGTCATAAAGTACACTTGAGGCTCGCTTATAATAACCAGAACTGTAAAATGGCCCCCCTTAGGTAGATAAATAAATAGTTCAACGATTATATAAATATACTCTTGAGGTTGAAAAATAATAACCTTAAGTAGAACATCAAACACCTCACGTCCATAAAAAGCAGCCTATCCAACCGTCGAAAATACACTTGAGGTTGATCTATAATAACTTGATGTGTAAAATGACGCTCCTTAAGTTGATTAAAAAGTACCTCTACAATACTTAAGGTTAAAATATAATAACTTGAAGTAGAATATAAAAGACCTCACGTTAGTAAAAAATTTCTTTAGGTTGAATCAGAAATGAAACACCTCAGGTTGTTGAATAAGTACAGGTGTAAAAAATATACTTCAGATTGATAAGTAATGATGGTTGAAAACGAAACACCTTAAAGTACTAAATATCTACCTCTCCATTGATGTAAGATGAAACACCTCAGGTTGATACATATATGGTATATTTAAGGTATATTTGAGGTAAATTTTGAAGTATTCATTTGCACCAACCAAATGATATATTTAAATAACAACCTTATTTATACCTTGAAAAATACCTAAATTTTTACGTAAAGGAGAGAATTTTCATTACACGTCTTCTAGCAGATTAGGAAAAACTCCTGGGGTTGACTATGTGACGTCCATCCCTGGATTAGCTATGATGTATGTCTGATGGATGGCTTTTAGAGTTCTACTGGATCTTCCCTGGATCAAATATGGATTTCTTGTAGACGTCCACCTGGACCGTCGTGGATGTTTAGAATGATTTCTACTGGTCATCCACTTAAAGATTTTGTGCCGCATGGGAAATTAACTCCCGTTTTCCATGACTCTCCTACTCTCCACACACTAATGGTGAAAGCATGTGAAGTGTTAGGTAGAGGGTTTTGCTCTCCGCCACCTGTACCTTATTTCGATTGCCAATCTTAAACCAATCCAAATATTTTGGAACACCAATTTTTTTTTATTTAATTATTTATTCACATCTATGACTGTGTTTTTTTTTTCTTTTTTGATTTATTGAGTACTTCTCTTATTATAACACTTATTTATTATTCGTGATCACGACGATCGAATACGCCATCTGTGTAGAAGACCGGTTCCATGCTTTGGTCCTACCACTTTCTATCTCCTCCTCTTTTGAGTTGTATAGGAATGTTCTACGATATTTCCCCCCTTCTTAATATTTTTTGTATTTAATTATCCGAATTATTTTTTAAAATTTTCAAAATGCTTTCTTTTAGAGCTATGTTCGATGTAGTTTTCAGTTTCGTACAGTTTTCGAACTTGAAAGTTTTTAATCTATTTGAAAATTAAGAGAGAAACTGACGTACTTCGTTCTATTAAGACTCTCCCCATACTAATGGCAAAATCATACAAACTGTTGCCATAGGTAAGGAGTTCTGTTCTACGCCACCTATAGCCCATTTCGATCTCCAATCAATGGAAGTGCGACGAGCACTTCCATTGTATGCTTATAGCTCTTTTTATTTTATTACTAGACTGCCTGATTTTTAACTGAGACTGAGGGAAAGAACCGCGACAGAAATGTAAGCAACCAGTTCAAACCGGTTACGGAGGGAAGGTGAGATAATGCGCTGAAATGTGATTGAAATTTTAGCGTGCTTTTTGATTGAATTTATTGGTAAATGTTGTGATGAATGTGTGTGTCATTTAAAAACAAATAAACGGTAAGTAATAACGATGTTATATTCTGATGCTTTACGTTAGCTATCATCTTTCACTTGACTTACTTAGAGATACACAAGTAATGCGTATAATACATTCGATATTGTTTGTAACGCGATCGCAAAAGGAAATATTTTATACTTACTATTTATTAAAAGTGAGTAATTTCCACCTGCGTGTTTTTACTGTAATTTAAATTGAAATGATTTCTTATTCTTATGTTCCTGTTTTAAATTTTAGCACATTTACTGATTGTGTATACTTTGTTCTATAGAATGTCATTGTTACGTTCGGTCGATCTCAAATTGTAAAATTTATTATTTTATTCTTTGAAACGATGCACATATCTTTAAGAAACATTTTGATGATGAGAAAGAAGACATAATATTGCTAATTTATGCTAAGACTCTTGATTTGAAAAACTGTTATACCACTGTCAAATTTAGAAATCATGCAGTTGTGACTGTTCATAATGTACCTCACTTATTTATCTTTTATGCATACGAAGGACTAAGTTGTCATAAATGGATATATTTATCAATGAATATTTTCTATTTTTATGATATTTTGATATTAACTATAGTATTTGTAGGAAATGTGAGAATTTCGATAGCTGGAATTTAAGCATGTGGTTTAACCATGGTTTTTGTTTATAGAACTTTAACTATAGGTTTGAAAAAAAATTCTTGTTTATAAAATGTTTTTGACTATACTATGTCCATTTCTGTAAATTTATTTGTGATTTATTTACATTATGTTTTGTTTTATAATGTATATTTGTTTTAAATCTTAAAAAAATTTGCTCATCAAGCTAAAGATACTTATGTTATTGTAGAAAGAACAAGTTCTTGCTTCAGAGAAACTTCTTGCCATATTTCAATTTTTAGTAAGCCTTTTATTTATATTGGTAAGTATTGGCTATAACAATTTTGCTATACATATATTTTTTTATGAATGTTGCAACATTTAGTGACTAATATAACTGCTTTCCAAGTATATTTTATAAAAAATGCTTAAATAATATCTGATTTCTCTCTAGGGATTAAAAAGGGCAAGGTGTTTCCTCAAAGAAAAAAGTACTTTGAGTTGTAAAAGGCCCTTAACCCCTAAAATTTATCATAATGTATAATATTACATAATTGCTAAATTTGAACATAAGCAATTTTTAAATAACCCTCTTAAATTATTTTATGTCTTTCTTTTAAGAAATAATTTTAATTCATTTTCAAAATGTGTGAAAAATTTGTCGTTTATAAAAATAATGAAAAGACTATTACTGAGCAGAAATTTTTTTTTCAAAAAAGTAAACAAAAAAAAAAGAACTAGCAATTACTCTTCTTTTTTTTCTATAGTTTAAACTGAAAATTACAGGTGTATTATTTCATTAAAAAGATATTTATTAAAAAAATAATTGTTGAATCTTTTAAAAAATTTATTAAATCAATAAATTTTTTAAAAGATTCAACGATTGTTATTTTAATCAACAATTATTTTAGAAAATAAGAGAAACTTATAAAATTTAATCAGTTGAGAATAATCCTCACAAAATAAATATTTGAAATAGTAATCTGGAATTAATTTATAAATGCAGATAGTTTTTTCCACTGTGTAATTATTTGAGCAGTTAATAAATTTTTTTTTTAAAAAATGGAGTTAGAATAAAAAAACAATGTTTTTAAGTAATAGTGGAGGGTTTTTTGCAAAGAAGGCAGATTAAAGGGCAGGCAGGCAGGACGAACCACCCTTCAAAGAACCCCTGGGGAGAGCACCGTTAATATAAAGTCTGTGTTTCCCAAACTATTGTCCAAAAATTAACAATATAAGTTTGATAAAGCAGGGAGAAAGTAATGTTTTTTATATCTACTTCTTTAAACAGTGGCTTTTTTATATTTATTTTAGTTTTCTACGAAATTTTAAACTAAACCATATTGTCTGAATGTCAGTTTGAATATTATTTTATTTGATTAAAATTATACCATTTTATTTAGAGATTTGAATTCAATGTATGAATTATTTCAATTTATAATAGTCCCGGTACTTACATATTAACGCCACCAGAGCTACAGATTTGGTGGTTCTTAAGTGCTGCCGATCTACACCTACCTGCCTTGTGACAAATCATAAAATAAAACACCTTATTTAATATCAAAGTATTACATTGGATTTCGATAGAAAAAGGGCCGATATATAGACATACCCTCCAACTTATGAGGATTTTGAAAATAATTCTTTCTAGTGGTAGCGAACCAAAGTAGAAATGTTTAAAGCAAATGGATCTCTCATAAAACTTTTATCAGAACTTAAGAATCTAGCCATATCATATGGCCTGCACTTTTATAAGTAATAGTGGACAAGTTACGCTAAAATGAATTTTTTTTAAATATTAAGACATTAATTTTGCTACCGTCTGAAAAGAAGAATTTTGAAACTACGGAAATTCCGTAGCAGTTGGAGAGTACGTATAGAGTTTAATATAGATTCAAAACATTCTCTATTTTCTTTCACCTGGTGCTGTCTCCATATGTACTCTGATAAATAAAATTCCGAATTATGTCTCGCTGTCCCCTTATGTCTCTTGTTCCTCCATTTAGCACTGCCCCACATTCTCTCAACTATTTGTGTATGAACTCATGTATCAGGATAAATAAAATTGCTAACATCAACTTTGCCAAATAATTCCATAAAGATAAATTGGCTGGTGGTCACTTACATGATTCCTTTATAAATATAAAGTATTGGGATTGTAAAAAGACAAAAATGAAATGTTAGTTTTTCACTTCTGTGTTAATATCAGGTTTAAAAATCTTTTAATTTTGCTTTCTTTCTATAATAATGCTTGTCTAAATAACAGTTCCCCAGTTAAATGAATAAGAAGGGAAGGCTAAGGATTTCTGATTTATTATCAACAAATAATTTTTTTATATCTTATTTTGCTTTTTGTGAGTGTGACTTGCATAAGTGTGACTTGTGCTAAGCTTAGATTTCTCATAATAAGTTATCATTACAATAACCTTTTTCTGTATTTTAAATGTTTTTTTATTAAACTTAAAATATGAAACTGAATGATTAATATAAAATGCTGTCTGTTTTCTTCTGATAAAAGGACATCTGTATTAGTTCATTTCTATAATTAGTGTTATTCATATTAAAATATCATTTTTTATAGAAGCAATAAGAAATGATTTTATAATTTTAATAATACAATTAAAGAATTTGCACTGTTTACTTAAAAAAAAATTTCAGGGTTCTTCTCTATAATGATATAAGTAGGAATATTATACTAATTAAATATAATTTCATAAATATCTACATCCTTGTAAGTTTTGAACGCTTTAAAGTAGAGTTTAAATTGTGAAAAGAGTATTTTATGAGTAAGCAGTAAAAAAACTAAAATATTTCTTTTGATGTGGGATATATCATATCGGTTAACTTGTTTCAATATTAATAGCTAGTGTAAACTCTATCTCTTAATTTATTTTGTTGTGACAACTATTCATTTAATTAAATGCAATGTATTTGTAGTTTAATGCTCATAATTTACATATACACTTATTTCAGGAGTTGGAATTTTATCTTGTGTTATATGACAACTTTAACACTTGATGGGATGAAGCAACCAGTTGCATTCACCCCAGGTAATTCTTGTTAGACACTGTTAATATTTTTAATTTTTAAAAAGAAGTTCGCTAAAACTTTGCCATTCTAAATTTTATTTAAAAAAAAAAAAATACAAGTTTCTTTAAGAATAGCAGAGAACATTAATTTAATATTTATTGTGATGCGTGGCATTTTTAAAAAGTGCTTAATTTTCCCTTTTTGAAAATGAGATCTTTTCTTTACCATGTCTATTTTCTTCACATATTATGTAAAAGCATCCTTTTCGTATTTTTTCTATTCAACATTTTCAGAACTCATTCAACCATAATCCATTTCGGTCTACCATCTGTCAATAGGGTGTGAAAGCTCCAATCATTTTACATGTTTGATGAAATACTTGCGAGTCCGTATGTGCGCCTACTGAGCTGAGTTAGGTGAGATTCTAGCACTCTCACGTGCAACTCTGCTGCATTTTTCAAAATATTCTCAATTTTAGGCTTCATTTTCTACCTCTGAAATCGAACCAAAAAATCTGTGGTGGCTAATATAATCAAGAAAAGAGTTCTTTCTCAGAAACTAGTTTTATCAGAATTGTGTGAGGTCCTTGAAAATTATTTTTCATTTTATTAATGTATATAGTGCTTAAAAATATTTTCGAGTTCTTAAAAAGTGCTTATTTTTCATTGAAAGATTTGACTATGCACCCTGTTTATGTATATATATTTTTATATATGCTTTCTAAAAGTAATTCATCTTTAAACATCTGTACCATTGTGTCACACTCATGATTGTTCTTTTTATTTAATTTTAAGTCTTTTTATTATTATTGTTTAAGAATTCGAAAAGAAGTTTTTTTTAAATATTTTAGTATCGAAGTAGGTTAACAATTTTTTTTAATACTCTAGAATGTCATATCAGTGGAAATGTAAAAAACATTTCAAAATGTAAGAATGTTCAGAACTTCATAAATACTTTCAAGAAAAAAATTATATAATTTTGTATTCATTATAGCCAAAGTTATTGAAATAGAATTATAATGAAATTTCAAAATTTATGTTTGAATATTCTTGTATGACTTGTTTTGTTATGCAACAACTCTCATGCATTTGAATATTTCTTACAGTTAATGGGAATATGGCAACAATGGAGACCCAGGCTAACAGTCTCCTAGATTTTTCTCAAAAACTTGACATAAATCTTTTGGATAGTGTGGTTAACTGTATGTATGTTGGACAAGGTGCTGAAGTAAGTAAATTTAGTATCTTTCTTTATTTGTACATACTATTGTAATAGAGTATGCGTGTAAAGTGCTTATGTTTATGCATAATTTATATGTACTTCACTTTATATTTTTTATTAACAAGCCTTTATTTGTTTAGCAAAAGATAGCCCAGAAGGTCTTAACTGCTTTAAAAGAGCACCCAGATGCCTGGACTAGAGTGGATACCATTTTAGAATTCTCTAAGAACCAGCAAACTAAATATTATGGACTTCAGATTTTGGAAACAGTTATAAAAACACGGTGGAAGGTTTTACCACGTACTCAGTGCGATGGTATGCAATTTTTAGTTTTGCTAGCGTTGGAAATGTTTAATGTTGGGAAAGTTACATTCTAAATTTTTATGGTTACTAGTTAAATAGCATGAAAAGTTTCCTTTTTCTTTTTGCTCCTTAGAATATTTCTGACTGACCGGACAATCAGTGCTGCGTTGGTTCTGTTGGTCCTAATTGAGATGCTGAATGAGCTTTAACGAGACAGCTCGGCAAATGAGTGTATGTAGAATAAGTGTGATTGGAGTGTTTTGAAAGTTTGAGTTTTGCACATATGAGTTGAAATTTGCTAGGGTTTAATTCGAAAGAGTTATTGAATGATAATTGTATGTTAGAGTGGCTATGAATGTTTATTTTAGATAAACTATATTTTTATCTTTATTTTCTCAATAAGCATTATATGAATATTTTAATAGAATATGAATGCATCATTTATTGATATTAAGAAAAATGCAAAGATATTAGTTAAATTTTATGGAGACTTCATTGAAGAAATAAAAGCTTGATAAATATCCCTCCATTTTCTCAGATAACTGAGGAAAATTTATTAACCTTTATTATAAAATAGATGTTAAAAACATTCTAATTATTAAATTCAAAACTTATTGAGTTTTTATTTAAAATATGTCTTGAGACATGTTTATTTAAGTTGCTATTCCTTAGATATCTAAAGAATTTTTTTCATGAAGAAAAGATAAATTAAGTAATTAAATGCTTATATAGGTTTAAATTTATAATTGATTCTTTCTATAATATATTCATATAAAATAAGTCTTACTAAATTATTAGTTTTTAACTTTTTCTTTACTTCTAAATACCATATTTTGCACTTAAATTAAACTTTTTTTAAAATTTTAGTTTCTAATGAAGGTTGAGGAGGGGTCAATTTAACTTCTAACACAAGTAATGCATCTGGATAGAAAATTCTTTTGCTAAAACAAATTTCTTATACTCAGTTTCATCTCAACTTGGCACTGAAGAGAAAGACTGATAGACCGGATTGCAGCCATTGCCATGGAAACTGGGTTACTATTTATATAAATTTTTGGCAAAATTTTTTTTCACCAAGAATCTTATTGAAATTTTAAGCACAGAAAATAACAAGAATTTTTAAAGTATTTATTATAAAATGTTCGTTTTATAAGATTTGCTGTTTTATTTTTATAAGTTTTTTAAAACTTTTAATAGTACCTAACTTGTTTTCCTGAAATATATTTGCTTCTATGAAATAATAGATAATAGCTTCTATGAAATAATGTGTTTATCAAATGCCATATCCTGCCCTCATGGAAGCGACGCTAACTCTCATGTTGTTCATTTAATATTTTAACAGGTCTGTGATACCTTGTCTCTGACATTCTTAAAATGTTAAAAAAGAAAAATACGTGGGAAATTTGAAGAAAATTAAAATTAATAATTATCAAAAGAAAGCTAGTGAAAAATTAAATAACAAAAGGAAAAAGTTGTCGATTAATGAGAAAATAATACAAGGTAACTATTAATAATTAAGGAAAAAATTCTACTAATTGAACCAAGCTGCGCAATTAATACCTATAAAACAAATTAACAAATGATAACTAACAAAAAATATGCAGCAAATAATAATAAGCAGAAGAAAAAACACTAACAAATGATCACAAAGAAATCAATTAATGCAAAAAACTAACAATTAATGACTATAAAAATCAAACCAACAATTAATTACTAGCAAAGAAAACAAAAGCAAAATGACAATGAATAAAAAATAACAAGATCACAATTAAGCAATGTGAGGGAAGAAAAGCAAAATAAGAGCTATACAAGAAAAAGGGCACTTTAGCAAAGTAAAGAGACTTGGACGAGCCGACTGACTAGTGCAAAATATAGCCAACACATTGATTCCTTGACCTTGGAAAGTAATTCATCTCCAAACTAAAACACCCCCCTCTTTGCACATCTGCTTTACTGAGAAGGTATTTATGGGTTGAATAACATTTAAACATTAAAATACTTCACACTATCCTGGCCCCTAAAACATGCATTTGGTCGGTAGGGCACTGGGCTCATGTCCAAGAGTTCATGGGTTCGAACCCAGGCCGGCCAAAGACTTCCCGTGTTGTAAATGGTGACTGATGCACATTAAATATGTCGAGTTGCCAAGTCCTCCATGTTCCCATAACAAATAAATACCTCTGGGGGTACTGATCCAGAAGTTTTCTTGTCTTCTGGATTGGTTCAAAATAACAAGGCTACGGAGTTGTACATTAATAGTTGTAAACCCAAAATTGGATCCACTGACGGATATAAGTGCATGTTTCAAGATAAAAAATTTTAATCATACAATATTTTTTTATACTTGTACACCCATTCAAACTGTAATTGATTCCAAAATAATGAACAACTGTTCAAATGCGTAGTGTATTTCCTACCTTTCCCTATATTGCCAACTTGAGATGAAACGAAGTATAGCTAAAAGCTTAGACCCAATCTACTAGATAAAAATTAGTGCAAGAAAAGTAATGCAGTAAGAACTTATATATCAAAAATAATTTTCAAAATTCAATACATCCATTGACACATAATGTTATTTGACGCTGCATGTTTAACTTCTATTTTGTAATAACTTTTTTGTATTCATAAGCCATTTATTAAAATCAAATTAATATTATCTTAATATGGTTTGTTTAATGTTAAATTTAATGGCTGCAAAATTAGTTTTTCCACCTAATTATATCTAATCCATTTTTTTAAAATTCTTCCTTTTTTATGTTGGGAAAAAGTCACTAAAAGATGTTATTCTGGGGATGGTTGGGCTTCATTTTAAAGACCAGCCTTATGATATAGGATTATTGTAGGTTTCATAACTTGCCATCATCTGTTAATCCAATCTACGTAATGATGTTACTTTATGTTCTATATAAACATATAAATTTTTTAATCCCCTTTTTTCATAGTTCTATTTCTTAGTAAAAACTCTATGGTCCTCTTATACGCTGAATACAAAAAGTTAGCTATAGGAACTAAACTTATATATCAGAAAAGGTACATTTTAAAAAACTTTGCACTTAATTTACATAAGTTTTGATGTACCTTTGCATTATATAAATTATGGTGCAGAAATTTTTTTTTTGCGAATTGGTTTTAATATTTTGTATTCTAACTTGCAGGTATTAAAAAGTACATTGTTGGATTGATAATTAAAACTTCTTCTGATGCTGAAACGTTGGAGCGAGAAAAGGTTTATTTAAATAAACTGAATATGATACTTGTTCAGGTTGGTTTTATGATTTTATTGAAAATAATAAATCAGTGTTCTTGAAGTAACACTCACTAACCAATATTTCTGTTTAGATCCTGAAGCGTGAATGGCCTAAAAATTGGCCTAATTTTATTTCTGATATTGTTGGAGCCAGCAAAACAAATGAAAGTTTATGCCAAAACAACATGACCATATTAAAACTTTTAAGGTAGTCTATTTTTCTTGCATGTAATTCTTTCAGTTACTATCCATTTGCATTCCTGCCAACTATTAATATTTTCAAAGATGCTTTTCCTCAGTGGTAGTAGAAAAAAAAGTTAAATTTTATCCATAAGCTCAAATTAACTTCGTATTTGTAATAGCTTAAACATATCCATAATATGATAATCATGTGTTTATATGTTTAATTTACTTGTATGCAGTGATGATCATTTTCAATTGATAAATTAAAAAAATGTATAGAAAGCATAAATTTTTCTACCTCATCATATTTTATTCTAAATATGTATAAGTTGGCAGTTACACATTTTTTTAAATATGTGTGTATATATATATATATATATATATTTCTTACAGTGAAGAAGTTTTTGATTTTTCAAGTGGCCAGATGACCCAAGTTAAGGCTAAGCATTTAAAAGATACAATGTGTAATGAATTTTCTCAAATCTTCCAGCTATGCAATTTTGTAATGGTAGGTTTTCTTTTTCTTTAAATTTAAACTCAATTAAAATGTTTTATATCTTTTTTTATGTTTGAAAATAGGTGTAATATAAAATTCAAATTAGTATTTATTGCAATAAACTCATAAATTATTATTAGTTTTTTTGAAAGATATTTTTTGTTACAATTTTGCTCATAGGTTCACGCTGAATATAAATATGTTTATTTTAAGAGCATCATTTGTAATTATTCAGTTAAATAATTCAGTTTCTTCATTAAGTGTAATGACTTATCTAATCTGTATGTTATTGTATTTTGGACAATAATAAAAAGATGTATTTTAAAATTATTTTATAACTGCCCTAATATAAAAAAGTGTTTTTCAAAAGTTTTTCATGCTTATGTTTATTTATCTTTGTTTTCAACTTATGTAAAAAAAATTTTTTTTGATTAAAAAAACAATTTTAGTTGCAAATTTAAATGTTGTAATAAGCACTCTTTGATTAACATATTTTGGTGCATTTAGTACCAGATTATTTTATCACTTGATAACATGCAAGAAGCATGTTATGTGTATAGTTAGACAGTTTAGCAGACAGTAAAAAAATGTTTCAATTATTAATTATTTGTAGGAAAATTCCCAAAATGTTCCTCTTGTGCATGCAACATTAGAAACCCTTCTTCGCTTCCTTAACTGGATCCCACTTGGCTATATCTTTGAAACTAAACTTATAAGTACACTGATTTATAAAGTAAGTGTCATTCTTTATTCAGTGAATTTTATTTATTCCTTTAATTCATGGCATAGGTTAATTCATGTTATCTGTTATTTGCAGTTTTTTAATGTTCCCCTGTTCAGAAATGTCACATTGAAGTGTTTAACTGAAATAGGTATTGTTAATTTTCTAAATTTAGTTTTCGTTTTAAATTATAGGAATGGAATGTTATGTATTTATTTATTTATTTATTTTCAGCTGGAGTTGATTCTAAGCAGTATGATGAGATGTTTGTTATTCTTTTTACTCAAACAATGGCTCAATTAGTTGAGGTAAGTTAAATGTAAAGCTGTTGGTGTAAAGTATTTAATAAGGTTATAGTATTAAAAATATTATGTATAAATATTAGGTTATAACGGTAATAGTAAAAACGGTAATTGATATTTACATCTTTTATAACCTGTTGATTTAAAATTGCTTTCAAACTTCAAAAATCTGTGTTTTAGTTCAACATGCTGACATTGTAAATTTTATAACTCATAATTTGTTACAGATGTTGCCGGATCATATTAATATCAAAGAAGCGTATTCTAATGGTATGGATGATGAGCAAAAGTTTATCCAAAACCTTAGTTTGTTTTTGTGTGTCTTCCTCAAAGAGCATGGAGAATTGATTGAAAAACGAGCAGAATTGAATGTTGTATTTCTTAAGGTGTGTAAAATTGCTCTTATGTTAAAATATTTCTATTCTCCTTAGCGTAAGCATAAAAATTTGTCTTCTAGAGTAAATAAATATTTGTTTACTCTATTTCATATTATATGAATTTTGTTTACTTAATTTCATATATGAATTATTTGCTTTCTATATCTTGTATTATATTTATTTCATATTATATGAAATATATATAAATAAAATATTTTACAGTTTTATGAAGCACTAAAATTGATATTTTAACTTTGGCAAAAAATATCACTTTTAAATCTGCATTTACAATATTATTTTTTATTCATAGTTATCACCACAAAATATTTTTAGATTTCATAGTTCCCAAAACCCTGTTTTTATTTTGAAAGTCATTGGTTTTGTAGATTTAGGTTAAACATTAATCAAGAGCTCTACATTTGTTTGTTTTGGATGTATCTGTTAGGGTTGTAACGAATAGTGTAATCAAATAATAAAGTTTCTTAGATATGCTGTTTGAAAAGTGATGTTGTTATAAAAACGCTTAATAAAAATAGCTAACGAAAAACAGAAAAAAATTGTGTTTCATTCTGAATTGTAATTTAAACAATGAGAATTACAGTTTTATATGTTACCGAATATGTGTCTTACCGTACAGGAAAAAAGTTACAACAAAAGGATTAAGTCTGCTGTGCTATAGCTAATACAAAAAAAGAAGACAAATTATTTGCCAAGGTGGCCCAATATTTATTACATCCCTAATATCTGTAATCCAAAATTACAGAAGAGATTATGTATTTATATGTTTTTATTTCTTCTAGGCTCTTCATTACTTATTATTGATATCAGAAGTTGAAGAAGTTGAAATATTTAAAATATGCCTTGAATATTGGAATAGTTTGGCTGCTGTTCTCTATAGAGAAAGTCATGGTCTTCCTACTTCATCACTTACTGTAACAAGAAGTCCAAATTCTATACCTCTCAGAAGACAGCTCTACCAACCTGTATTAACAAAGGTAATTAGATTAAGAAAAAAATATCAGATGATTTAAATTCTTTTATTTACCCAGTTCAGTAAGCAATATCAAAATTTGGTTTTTAGTTGTTCTTTGGTCTATTGTTTCTTTGTTTGATTAGAATTTGTATGTAGAGAACCAATTATCTGGGATGCTCGGGACCATCGCTATCCTGGATGTCTGAATTTCCCGGATTTCTGGGTCTGCCAAAAAGTAATGTTAATCGATTTTTTATCGAACCCAAATTACATTGAAAAACAGTATCACATTTTAAAATAAGGAAAAAAAGAAAAGCTCTCCTAAATTTAATAATAGCTTGATCGCACAAGTTAAGAGGTTAAGAATTTGTTAAAGAAGCTTGTTCAGTCTCTGTATTTGCAACCACAGTTCTATCTGAATTAACAATTAGTTCTTTGAAAAGAATTAAAAATATCTGAGTATTTTTTTTTAGTGTTTAAAGGACAGAATGTAAATGTTAAAATATATATAATTAAAATTCCTGATTAATTTTGTTTCAGTGTTTGTCTAAGTTATGATATTACTACCCAATCTTTTGCATAAGATAAGTTATATATAGACCTAATCTGCTGTTTTAAGATTTGTAAGAAATGGTGTGAAAGCCTTTGTAAAAAGACTTAATTTTAAATCTTTTTTTAAAAAAAAATAAATTATGTATATATTTTGGGTTTTAGTTAATGACTTTATGAGTTAATGACTTCAGAATATGACTTTAATGACACTTTTTCAAGCATTTTATCTTATGTACAGAGGTACTCCAACTAAGTTTATTCTAATTGAATGGGTTGTATTTCAAGTATCCTTGTTATGTTTCCCATTTAAGATTTTTTTCTTTGTAGTTGAGGTATACTATGATTGGACGAATGGCTAAACCAGAAGAAGTACTGGTTGTCGAAAATGAACAAGGAGAAGTTGTTCGTGAATTTATGAAAGACACAGATTCCATACAGTTATACAAGAATATGCGTGAAACTTTAGGTATATTTAGTATATTTTTTAACCACTCAATATTTTTCAGCCATTGCTGCTTATATTGTATCTTTAATTACTCATTCAGAGAAAAACATTACCTGAAATGAGAACAAATAAAATTCCTGACAAATTTTCTATTTTACGAAATTCAAAGAATAAGTAAATTTTAGATCATAAGTTCTGAAATTTATTTTTTTATGTTTTTCCAACAAAGTATCTTATGAGTGTTTTTTCTGAATTTGTAAATTCTTTGCTATTTGAAGTTTGCAAGAGCTCGCCTAAAGTCTAGATTTCAATTAATTAAATCACTATTTCTTAGGGAGAGTTTAGAGTATTAGAGAGTAAAGATTAGGGAGTATATTAGGAGAGTAAAGAGAGTTTTAGATTATTTTTAAATACTAAGTGCTAGTTGTTAAATGGTTTTCAACGGAAAGTATGGTCTTTACTTTATAAGTTGTATTGAATTAATTCTCTGTAGAGTAAATTGGGAAATCTTTCCAGGACTTATTTCTACATATCTCCTAATTAAAGTCAGAAGTATTTTTATTCAATTAGCTTAATCTTTTATCTCATTATAGTATAGATTCTTATTTTAAATACTGAAATATAATTCGGAGCTCTTTATGTTAAATACTTGGGTTCGGGGAATATAACATTATGCATACTTGTGATTTTTTTTTATACAACTCTTAAAATTTAGTTCTATAATTAGCTGAAATCTGTCATCATGATTATTCTAATTTTATTTGTAAGGATGACATTTATAAAAGAAACTATGCATTTTGTTATAATGAAATTTCAAATGCTTTAAGTGTATGAGCAAAGGTATTTTATTTAATTCGCCTGTTTTTATCATATTTTTTTTTAATGATCCAAATTTTTCTTGCTGAGTAAACGTTTGCTACTATGTTATTTGTAACACTTTTCAAACAGTAACTATTTAAGTGTGACTAGGAATATTTATATAAAAAAATATTTTTTAAATTGTATCCACTTTTAATTTTTAAGTAAATAAATCTGATGAAATATTTGTAAAAAATTGCCTCAGGTTTCATCACAATTTTAATTTATATGAACTTACTCAATTTAGTGTACCTGACTCATTTGGATTATGTTGATACCGAGAGAATTATGACTGAGAAGCTTCATAATCAAGTTAATGGTAGTGAATGGTCTTGGAAAAATTTGAATACTGTAAGTTTCTAAAATTGATATGCTCCATATCTGCATGCTTGATTTATTGTTATGATCATTACAATGTTTTGTTTATTTTTAGCTTTGTTGGGCGATTGGTTCCATTAGTGGTGCTATGCATGAAGAAGATGAAAAGCGATTTTTAGTTACTGTAATTAAGGTAAACAGACTGTCTTCTTTTAATTAACCAAAGTATATTGTTTTTTGAAAGCTGTGCTAAGTTGTATATCTAGCTTAGGCTTCTAGAAATGTATTTTTGTAATGGTTACAATTAATTTGAAGTATATACTAAGTATAACAATTGCAGTGTAATTTCACTTTTCATTATCCCTGTTTCAGACAGGAACTTTTTGTTTAAAAATTTTTGCTCATTAAAAAAAAAAGTTTGAAGTGTTTTTTTTTTTTTTTTTTTTTTTTTTTTTTTTTTTTTTTTTTTTTTTNTTTTTTTTTTTTTAAGTATTACAGTATTTTTTAATAGGTCCTATTTCCCAGTAAAGCATTGCTTAAAGTGTTTAAAAAATGTTAATGTCTTGTTGATAGTTTTTTTTTTGGGTGATATTTAGAATGTTTTGTAATCAAATTTGTTGTTATCAATATTTTACAGGATCTGTTGGGATTGTGCGAGCAGAAACGAGGGAAGGATAATAAGGCTATTATTGCGTCTAATATCATGTATGTTGTAGGGCAGTATCCAAGATTTTTGAGAGCACACTGGAAGTTTTTGAAAACAGTTGTTAACAAACTGTTTGAATTTATGCATGGTATGTTATATCATATTTATCTTATATTTTTAGTTTCGTTTGTGATTTTATTAATGTGATTATATTGTGATTATATTATATAAGGTATAGGTAATTATTTACAAAATATATGCTTTTATACACTTAGTAAACGTTAGGTTTCTGTTTATTGTAATTTATTAAAATTTTTTTATCAATATTGTTTCAATTATAATTTTGTATTATCGTATTTCGTGATTTTGGCATAATGTTTTTTTAAAAAAACTTACTATATATTTTATTTAGAAACTCATGAGGGGGTTCAAGACATGGCTTGTGATACATTTATCAAAATTGCTCTGAAATGCCGTCGACACTTTGTTCAAGTAAGTTCTTTTTTGTCATATATGTTTTGTTATTATCCTATAGTTATATTTTTCAAGTATTCTTATTAAAATGATAAAAAATTATGTTACAGGTATAAAATTCTTCTAAACTGCATTTTTTCATTATTTTCCAAATTGTAATATTTCCAAAGGGATTGAAAAATAATCGCAATGCCAAAAGGCTTTTATCATACAAATTTTAAAATTGTGCGATAACAAAATTTTATAATTTGGTGTTAGTTTTTTTCAATAAATTTTACAATTTTATAACTTAAAAAAACAGACACTAAATTTATGGAAAGGAAAATATTAAAATCCTTTTCTGCAGTTATACTTTATTTCCATGTAGACTAATCTACATTTTTTGATAGCTTGTTTTTTTGCTTAATTTTTAGGTTCAAGTTGGAGAAGTGCAACCTTTCATTAAAGATATATTGGATTCAATCTATTCTATAATTTGTGACTTAAAACAACAACAAGTAAGTCTAAATATATAGCCTGTCTAAAGTAATATTTTTATATTTATCTATTTTACTTAGTTTTTTTGCATAGTTATAATTTTTTTTTATCTTCAGGGAGTAAGGTATCAATGAAATAATAAAAAAGATTTAAAGTTAAATACCTGGTTTTTCTTAAACCATCGCATGTCCTTTATTTTGCAAGCCTAATTTTTCAACTTTTATTTACTGCACAAATTTTTTTAATAACTTATGTGCTAATTTTCCTTTTTAGTTTGAAGCACCCTTTCCTTTCTCAAGAAAATATAATATTTTATTATACCTTGTATTAAAATTGAAAAGAAGAAAAGCTAAAATTACAACTAGCTAATTTTAGTACAATATACAAGTTCCGACTGAGTAGAATTTTTTGGAAGCTCATAGTTTCATCATATTAACCCTTTCTTGATTTCCATTAACTTTGAAACAGGCTGAATTTTTATTTATTATTAAAGCTTAATCTTAATCAACAATTCAACTAAGTTGGCTTAATGCAGTATCTGATATTTATATCACAAACTTTGGAATGTGAGGCTTTGTTTTGTAGGAATTTGTTTTGTATAGTTCTTTTCACATATTAAAGTGTATGTGACAATATATATGTGGATCAATATTAATGTTTTAAAGTAAGAATACTTTGAAACACAAAAATATACACTTATGTAATAATTTTATATTAAAATAAAGGAAGTCATTAAAAACATAGGTAAATTCAATGAATTAATAAAATTATGTTTGCTTTAGAGATAGTAATAACTACATTTATTATTCTTCAATGTAACTTTTGTCTTTGTATGCCTTCTACTTTATGAATTTTAGTTACTTAATTATTTACATTTTGCAATGTTTTCATCTATGAAATTTATTTTTTCTGGTTGTGTGTATTCCATTTCTTTTCAAGCATTAAAAAATAAATATTTGTCTAATTTTATTATTTTTTCGAATTGTCTAAAGAAATTTTTTTTTATCTGACTCTGAAAACTGTTATTTTGATTAGGTTCATACATTCTATGAAGCAGTTGGACACATGATCAGTGCTCAGACAGATCAGACTATCCGAGAAAATCTAATTGATAAATATATGCTTCTGCCTAATGAAGGATGGGATTCCATAATCCAACAAGCTACTAAAGTATGTTTATATTATAGGAAATATTAATTTGTTCAGACTATCAACATGAACAGAAAGTAGTAAAATCTGAATTTTTAAAAAATTTATGATTGGAAAATATTCAATTCAAGGGCAATTATCATATATTGGTTATTTATTTGTATTTTTGTGTGTAACAGTGGAATGGATAACTATCATGATTATAATGGTAAATACAGGCTTTACTAATATTCAGGTGCCATAAATTGGTGTATTTTTTTCCCATTAGGCTTAGTTTAATACTATTAATATTCGTTGCTGTCCAAAATATTGTTTATCAATTAACGTAAATAAAATGATTTTTTAATGTTGTCAGCACTTTCCTGCTAGCCAGAAAACCGGTATGGTTCATTTATTAACAAATGATGAATATGTTATACTATGCTCAGTTTTAAGTTTGTGACTGCCTTGTGCTTAAAAATTTTCTTCTTTAAAGTCCAGGATTAAACAAAGTGAGTGTATTATTTTTTTCAAGTGGGTGCATTTGAAGAATCCCACTAGTTTTTAAATGTGGGTATTTTCAAAATTCACTTTTCTAGGTCAAGAGGTTTATATTTCAAAAGTAAAGTAATTGTAAATTATTGTCAGTGAAGCAATAAGACCTTCAAACCTTTATAGCAGGTATGGCAGACCTCCTATTTTTACTTTTTCTATTATTTCAGCATCCCCTTTTTTTCGAATTTATTTCGTTTTTATATTTTAAAAATCATCTGTCATTTCTAGTGATAGCCACGGAACGGAATGATGACTAGAGGTCAATTGTAACTGCACCTGTTTTTCAAATTTGTTTTGAATGAGAATTTTTTCGGTACATCAGCTGTAGTCTGTTCATGTCCAACTTGAGTGAAAGAGAAATAAATAATAAGATTGTGATACGCATGTTTTTTCTTCTGGTTTTGATTAATGTGTTTGCAAATTGTTGAAACAAAAGTTAAATTCTAACTAGTATTATTAATGCAAAATAAGTTTCAAAAAATTCTTTTCGCTCATATGGGAGGGGAAAGAAATGCTCCTGATTTTTCTATTCTTCAATCGGGTAGTTTGTCGGTTGGGCTTTTTCTGGTTTTTTTCTCGTATTGGTAAAATCCCTTTTGAACATTTAGAAGTTTATTTTTAAAGATTTTATTTTTGCTCTTTATCTTCATTTGGATGCATTATCATTTATTTTCATTTGAATCTATTATCATAATCTCTATTTTTGATGACATTACTTTCGACTTTTTCTACTTTCTTAATATTAAGAATTAATATTAAAATTGTTAGTTCAATTGAATTTAAAATTTTTTTTAAGTTAAGCTTAGTTAAGAATTTTTGTGATTTTTCTACTAGTTTTATCTGTCTTGATTACCAAACAATTTTTTTTTTTTAATGTCTTAAATATGTAATCTTTTCTAGTCTGTTGATGTTTTACAAGATGATGAGGCTGTGAAACGACTGGTAAACATTTTGAAAACAAATAACAGGGCATGCAAATCTTTGTTACATCCATACGTTATTCAGGTAATAATTATTTTTAAAATACAATATATGCTTGAATGTTTCTAATGAATCAATGCAATATATGCTAAATATGTAATCTAGCTAAGTATGTGCTTTTTAACTGGCAGAATTCCACGAATCTCAAGACCAATGATTCAGCCAATCGCTGACTTAAAATCCGGCAAATTTTTCATGGAGTCCTGCTAGTGTAAAATTTTATATTTTGCAAAATTTCAGTAATGAGGCATTTATTTCACAATTTACAAGTACCTGCCTTTTTTATAATAGAGTTTTCGCTCTCATGTCATAGTGAGATATTTATGCCGAGTACAACTGTGTAAAATTGATAGAATGAAAAGTAATTTTTGAATCTCGTACAACAAGTGTGATAAAAAAAGTTTTAGCTATCATATGTGCAGCTTTGAACCAAATAGCAGAGTGCTTAGGGTTTTTAAAAAGTGTTGAAGTGTATTTATTTTTTATTGTTGTTTTTCTATCAAAAGCCCTTAAAGACGCTCTTTTTCATTGAGTGTTTTTAAAAGTTCTTAATTTTCCTTTTTCAAAAATACAATTTTTTCTTACCATGTCGATTTTTACCAAGAATTTAGCAAAAAGTGTTTTCACACTGTTCTATTAAACATTTTCAGAAATTCATTCAGCTGCTATAAATTTTGGCCTGACTATGGTCTGTAGCGTAAATAATTGCCAATAATTTTACATGTTTTGATGAAATGCTTGCAGGTTCACATGTGTATATACTATGCTCATAGCTGCCAAGCTTCTCCTGGCCAACTGGTTTAATAAACATTCTCCTGGTTTTTGTACATTTTACATTTGTACAATTTTTGTACAATTCTTTAAAATTGAGAAAGTTCTTTAAAAAATCCCTTTTTAAATAGATTTTTTAATGGAAATTATTGCTTGTGCTTGACTTTAAATTGCTGTCACTAGTACATAATAACTCAAGTCTCATTTATAAAATTTAGTTGAATTGACTGCCTATTACTATTCAAAATTATGAATAAGCATAATACCTGACATTTCAAGATCATTTAATGAGGGATCGTAACTGGAAAAATTGCAGTTTTTTATTTTGATGACTATAAAAATCCCTAAAATTCTCTGTGTGTAAAATATTTAGTATATTTTGAAACAATTATTAAGAAATCTATATTTTGTAATATCTACTGGATTTTTTCCTAACCGTGGTGGTAGCTATGTAACCTGTATTCTGTGGGAAGGATTCTTGCATTCTTATGTCCAATACATCTGCTGTATTTTGTCTCATGTCTGCTGTATTTTGCAAGATATTCTCAATTCCTGGCTTCATCCCCCCCTCTGAAATTGAACCGAACAATCTCATGAATTTTCCCTGATCACGGAGGCCAACTAAGCATTGCTAAATTCCCCCTCCCCCCAATAACGAAAGAAAACTTTATTTCTCTTGTTAATTTCATTGTTGGTGAAGCACAATCAGATGAGAATCATGAAGCTTCATTCTCTCAATATTTCAATTTCCCTTTGATTAATTTATATTAATAACGATAAGAATTATAGAGATCATAGTCAATTAATTATTTGTAAGATTGTTTTACCTGATAGACAGTTATGTACTTAATTACTTTTTTTGCTTATTTGTTTTCATCATTGTATTAATACTTTGAAAATTTTTAGTGTTCCTAATTTGTCTTATGAAACAATTTAGAGGGAGGCTTTCAAAATATGAAGTGAGGGGCTTTTTCTATTTTAAATGCAGTTAAAAATATTATGTTATTCAGATTACCATTCCAAAAGAATTTGAATTCATCTCTCAAAGATTTGATCAGAATGTGTAATACAGTACGACCTCGAAAATCCGGACTTCTGAAGTCGGGAAATCTCTAAAATCTGGACTTATACGCCCAGTTCGTCTACTCACCAATTTTTCTACTACTTTATTTTTCCCCTTGTGAAGAAAGAAAACTGGTTATTTCTTAAGCTTGAAGCTTAGAGGCAGGGACAAGTTCTTTCATCCCCCAACAAAAAAAAAGGAAAAAAAGGATTAGTATCAGCTGGTACAGTCTAGTCTAGAAGCATCTGTTTCAGTTAGAATTCAGCTCACGCTTTAAGCCTTTATTTTTAGTTTTAATTGCTAATAATATGTTACATAAACGATCGGTTACTGGGCAAAATGACGAAAGTTTGATTTTTAATGTATCTTGTTTATTATTTAAAGAGTATATTTAGGTTAAAACTGACGTCGGAGGTCTACATCCGCGCATTTAATCACGAAATCGGCCTGGCGAATTCGAAACTTCGATAATACTATCAATTTAAGTAAAGTGTCTAAAATTCGGACATTTCGGAAATCCGGACCTTCCAAACCAACCAGCAGTTCGGATTTTCGAGGTTGCATTGTAATAAGTAATTACTGAATTCAATGAATAACTGAATTATTGCTAATAGATAATTTATTTCTGGGCACAAATATTTTTTCAAAAAAGAAGAAAAGGAAACTAAATAAATTAATTGATAAACAACTTGAGAGATTTTTTATATAATTTGAACTAAAAATTATGAGAAAATAAACATTTAAAGCTGCATTTTTTTTTTAAAAAAAAGAGTTGTTTAAAAAATAATTTTAAAAATTTAAAATATTAAGAAATTTATTAATATCTCCCCCTAAAAAAATTTATAAATTGAGAATAATCCTTAAAAAGTAAATATTTGTAATAGTAATCAGAATTAAACCTGTTAACACAGATAATTTTAGCAATTTGTAATTATTATTTAAAAAGTGAATTAATTTTTTAAAAATGGAATAAGAATAAAAAGGCTGTGTTTTCAAGGGATGTGTGGCTTATTTTTACAAAAAGGACAAAGAAAGCGTATTTATAGGGATCAAAAGGCCGTCCCCTTCTAAAAATACTTTTGGAGCACACTGGAGCTTTAAAAATCTAAATTAATCAATCAAATTTAAAAATGAAGAATTATTTCTCTCCTGTAACTATTTAAAGTTCAGTTTGATAAATGTTTGCAACAAAAATTATTAAGCTGAATGTTGCTGTAAACTTGCAAATTCAACTGCTTATTATAAATTCTAATTTTAAGACTGTTATTGATGGAATAATGTAAAAATTTCCTACCTTACATTAAAATGTTTCTAAATTAATTCTTAGTCAGGATTTTTCCAAAAGTCGTTCGATGGTTTAGGGTTGTATAGCTGAAAATAATGGAAACTGCTGTTAAAAATAATCAAATTTGGCAGCAGCTTTTAATTTCTTAACAAAGATTGCTTTATTAATAGAAACTAGTTTGAAAGTAATGTATATAATTGTTATTATTGCATATTTTAAACATTCAGTTGATTTGAATGAATTATTTCTTAGCTTGGACGGATATATTTAGACATGTTGAATGTCTATAAAGTGATGAGTGAAAATATCATTTCATATATAATGGAGCATGGTGAATCTGCGATGAAGCAGTCCAAAATACGAGGAATGAGAAGTGTTAAGAAAGAAACACTGAAATTAATATCAGGATGGGTTAGTCGCTCTGGTGATCGACATATGGTAAGCAACCTTTTCTTTCATTTGTGTAAAAACTGATTTATTTGTATTTATATTATTTTGTTTTTAATAATTTCTTCATAGTGCTTTTTTACACATCTAGTATTAAAGATGGCTTTATAATTAAATTGTTTGGAAATATTTTTATAAATATGATAATTAGTTTTTAAAATTGTTATTAGTTATCTTTTTTCTTGTTTGGAAACATTTGTCATGTTCGCTTTCTAGTATTCACACTGGTTCACACTAGTCACTTGACCTCAGTTACTCTTAGTTTGCACTTTAATTTAGGAGCGATCAGTGCAGTTAGCTAAAGTTCTTTTAGCCAGAAGCAGACAGTCTCCTCTTTTTTAAGAATCTTTGCTTAAAATGAATTAACTGTTTTATTTATTTTTTGGGTATTTTATTTTTGCATTGCTTGTTAAAGAATGAATATTTCTAGACTTTTAAAGCTGTTTTATAGAATAAAGCAAAAAATTGTGCACCTGGTGTATGAATAGTTTCAGTTAATCTTATTTAGTTTTTACATTTAGTTGATGAAAATTTAAACTTCTACGATATATCAGTAAGAAAATAAAGTGTAGGAAATGCTGATAAATTTTTTGTGTAATCTGAAAAAAGGAAACAAAACTAACTTTTTTTTGAAGTTTTAAAATATTAGTTTCCAATTGCTTTTTTTGTATGAATATTTTATCTCTATTGTATATTATGTTTTTTGTTGTAAATTTTAATCTTATTTCATGTAGTTTAAGTATACATGAGATTTTTATGCTCAAAGAAGGCCTTTGAAACACATGAGAGGAGGGGATGGTTCAGAGTTGCAATTTGTGACTAAAAGGGACTAAAAAATTTTGTTGAACGTACTCAAATTTTTGGCTCCGTTTCATTCTCAACAAACAAAATTTATCACCTTCTGTCTGAGCTAATCTCTGTAAATCACCCACTTTAACAAATATTGGTTGTATGTCTGGTTATTTTATGACTATGCATAACTATTATTAAACTGATTTGAACTTAAAATTATAAATGCTGCTTAATTTCTTGTTAGAAATTTATAATTCTTCGTCTTATAGGTTTTGGATAATTTTATACCCCACCTTCTTGATGCAGTATTACTTGATTATCAGAAATGTTCTGTTCCTGCAGCTCGAGAACCAGAAGTTCTTTCAGCTATGGCAACTATTGTAAATAGGCTGGAGGTAAGATATTTAAAAAAAATTTGTTTTTTTTTAAATTATTGTTTTTATTCTTTTTATTTGTCTTGCTAATTTCTTTGATTTTGCCAGAGTTGAATGATCTCTTGGTAACAGAATATTGTTCTCATTGCTGTCAAAATACCTTGATTCAGCTTTATGATAATAATAAAAAGAGGAGAAAAATGATTTAACTTTCATTTACTTTCCAGTCAATTCGTTTTAAAGTCTAGTTTCTAGTGTATTGTCAACTTTTTTAACCCTTAGTTTACATTGAAAAGTAGAAAATCTTTTTACTTTAATAATGAAATTATGCAATGAAGGCAAAATCGATGACAATACATTTCAATCAATTAACTATGATTGCCAAATTTTCAGAAGTGTATCAACTTTCAATTTGAAGTCTGCAGTATATTTTTAAAACCATATTTGTTGTTTAAAGAAATAACTTTTGATGATTGAGTTCATGCATCAGCGTTATCCTCAAACATGCTTCAAATTAATTAGGAAATTAAATCAAACAACAATCAATTCTATCTTTTACTATCAACTTTATACATTAAATTATTTTAAATTTCTTGTTTTTGAAAAACTAATTTCTATTATCTAAATGATTTTCCACCCTTCAATTATTAGGAATATATTTTTTATTTTAAAGTAAAAATGAAAATTAGGTCATTTTGGGATAGTGAATATCTGTAAATGAATTGCTTTTTAGTTGTTAATCTGGTTGCGGAAATCGGAACTGGCTAGTTATCGAATTTTGTGAAAAATTAGTCTTTGTGTTTAGGTGGTAAGCAAGTTAGTTTTCTCAAGCAAAAATGTGCATAAAAGAAACACATCTGTCTTTGTTATTGCTGGTCGATAAGCAATAGCAGTGGATTAGTTAAAACACTTTTTGCAATATGCATATTGTTTAGTAATACAATGTGAAATTTTTTTTCTCAATGAAATAACAATTGTTTTTATAGGGTCACATTACTTCTGAGATACCAAAAATCTTTGATGCAGTATTTGAATGCACACTTGATATGATAAACAAGGTAATATATTTTAAGTATTCGAAAAATTTTATATTTCAACTCAACTGGGTGATTTATGGCTATCATAACATTTGTTTAAATTTTCTTTTATAGGATTTTGAAGAGTACCCTGAGCACAGAACAAATTTCTTTCTCCTATTGCAAGCAGCTGTCACTCATTGTTTTCCTGGTATAAGCAAAATCCTATATATTCTGAATAAAATTTTTTTATCACTGCACTTTATTTGCAATTAATTATATTTGTTCTCTTTTAGCTCTATTAAATATTCCTGCTACCCAGTTCAAATTAGTTTTGGATTCTATAATCTGGGCATTTAAGCATACTATGAGGAATGTTGCTGACACTGGTAAGAAAATTAGAGATAGTATGATACCTTGTTAGTTGTAATTTAGTTTTAATTCAATCAAAATAATGATTTTTTTAAAAGAATTGTTATCAACTTATAATTTTGCCTATTTTTTGTTTGTTTAATATTTGTAACTGTTGTATTTTACATTGTTGCTAAATTTAATGCTTTTATTAAAATACTATAAATTTCTACTTGAATTGGTAAACTTGCTTTCATCTGATTTTGTTCATCACAACTTTAAAATATTTCATGCAATTATATAAAGATCTCCTGTATTCACAGTTTATATTAAGGAATATTGAAAAAAATAAAATGATTGACTTTCAGTATATTATCACTGATCGAAAAGTGTTAAACAGTGGCATTATTGTTATTTTCTGAATGATTTAAAATTTAATTTCTAAGAATTAGATTTTATTGTTTACATTAATCTATTATCTTTATTTGTACTGTCTACTGTTACATTAGTTTATTTTTTTGTATTTGAGCTTCATTTTTGTGCAATAATCTTAATAACATGTAAACTACTAATTTTTTTCAATATGCTTGTTTGACTTAAGATGTTGCTAAAATTTAGCATCTTAATTTAAATACATGGAAGCCTTGGTTAAGTGGACACTTGTGACAAAAAGGGTGCGTTAATAATGAAGGCTCATGCCATCATTTGTCTTTAGAATAATTGCTATCATATAGAAATAAATATAAATAATGATCTATAATAACTAATTACATTGTTTGTTAAAACGTAATGGAATTACAACATTTACAGTACAAAAGAAAGATGTGATTAAAGTTAGATTTAAGTGTGTTATTTTAAATCATTTTTGGATGGATTAAACTGTTTCAGTTTCTCAAAACAAATTGGAGCTTGACATAATGTTTTCACTATTGGTTCGTTTTCAGAAAGTATCAGTTGAGAATCAGTTTCTTCATTATCACACTCAAGATCATTTATTTGTGAACATTTAAACCTTTGTTTTGATTAGATTTATATCTGGGTGAGACATTGCATTATAAAGAAAACAAACTGTCCTTTTTTTGCAACTCTTTTTTGATTAAGTTGGTGAGACATTGCATTATCAAGAAAACAAACTGTCCTTTTTTTTTTTGCAACTCTTTTTTGATTAAGTTCCAGAAATCTAATCCATGATCATCTGAGGTTGCTTTCCATTGTGTTCCAAGCTTTGATAAACTAACTAAAAGGCTCTACCTATAACTAAAAAGGCTATTGGTCTTTTGTCATACTTGTTTAAGGTAAAAACATCAGTCTTTCTTTTGACATTTTCTCTTCTTCCCACTTTAACCTTTTAAACACAAATTTTTTCTCTCCGGGTTATTCACAAGGAGAAAAAAGAAAAAAAGACACTATCTCAGCAGCATTTAATGTCCCCAGATGTGTAGTCTTTAAAAAGGAAGGTAGCATCTCGAACCACGTCCATGTTCTTAATTTCTTAGCTGCCTCTTTAGTTTGGATGTTTGCTTCTAACTTAAAAGAACACTTCTATCGAAATCCGGGTCTATTTTCCTAAACATTCTGTATTAGTTCTCATTTCCATTTTTACACCTTAATTTCATTAGTTTTTCTCTATTTTTAAATATGTCTGCAGCCCAAGTCTTTTAAATTTTAAAGTGTTACGTAAGTTTTCGGACACACTTTGCATTTTTAACGTTTAGAACACTGAAACTTCAATTTTTTCTTTTTGAAGTCAAAAGCTTTACCAGGCTTTATTGAACAAAAAGTTTGTTCAAGAATAAAAATGTTCTAAGAAATTTTATCTCAAATAATCTTTCAAAATAATTTTCAGGTGTAGCTACAGCGAAGGAAAAATGTTTTTCCTATTTATACAGTTATTCATGTTAGTCACATGATGCCAAATAGAGGCTTTGTCCTACGTCAATTTCCCAGTCAGATACAATTATTAGATTTACGTTCCCTAACATCAACCGAAGTTGATTGATAGAAAATATGATGCTTTCTTGAAAGTAAATATCCTGTGATGTATCGAAAAAAGGGAATGGCAAAACCGGCTACAGGCTCATTTGTATTCTCAGTCGATAATTTGTCAAGAGTCTGTATAAATGTTTGATTTATATGAACACCTTGATAACTGGATAACTGGATTCTCCTTTTTTAACCCAGCTGTGTTAAGTACAAATCAGAGGTCAAATTTATTAGATGTGGAAAGAAATGTTCAGTGCGGAGCTGAAAATGAGGACATTTATTGTGTCATTTCAGCTTAAGATCTCATTACCCATGATACCTCTGTAAAAAGGTCAAAACATTTCACTCTTCGAAATATTTTATTCGTTCGAAATATTTTATTATTTATAATTTTCTTGTCTTTCTTTGCAAATTTCTCTGTAATAAGGTGACGGAAGGATTGATTCTTTAGTAGCGGGGAAATAGCTTAATAGTATATTTAGTTATGAATATGGCAAAAAATGTACACACTTTAAAAAGAGGTGAAAATATGCAAATACCTATCTATTAAAATTTGGAAAAAGTGGCATTCAGTTTGAAAAAATTGAGAGTTACGCAATGGGTAATAGATGACTGTATCTGTTATGTGCAAATGGAATATAACGGTTTATTCGTTGAAGATTCATGGTGAATTTTTTTAAAAAAAAGTATGTTTTGTCGAAGTGTTTGTAGCGTGAGATTAAACTATATATTTTAAATTCCAATATAATTCTTGTTCAAATTCTTCCAGTTATTCAATTTGAGTGCTGTGATTCTTTTCTGATTAAAAAAGACTAAATCAGTCTCAGAAAACAAAGGCATTTGTTTCTTTTTTATGCAAGTGTTAAATATAATTATAATAATTTTATTAAATTTAGGTCAATTGAAATGTTTTTCTATCCTCTGTGACATTATTGGTATACTGTTTATTGTTATTAAGTTTTTTTCTTTAATTTCTTTTCCAGGTCTTCAGATTTTGTATCAATTATTACAAAATATTGCTCAAGAAGAAGCGGCAGCACAAAGTTTCTATCAGACGTTTTATACTGATATCCTTCAACACATATTTTCTGTGGTAACAGATACGTCCCATACTGCAGGTATACAGAAATTTTTCAGTTTTTCTTTTATCTTTTGACTCTTATTAACATCTTTTGTTGGTTAAATAATGTAATTGTGCCTAAATATTTATATCAAGGCCTGATACTTTAAAATGTTTTTTAAAAATAAGTAAATTTATTACATTTATTAGGCATTATTTTACTCTAAAAAGGGAAAGCTGTTACAATATCCACGCCTTCCCTTTTTTAAAAAGTGTTGTGCTTCAAAATGACACTCTGTCATCAAAACAAAAACAAAAAGAAAATTAGAAATATAATGAAAAAGATTTAATGAAAATTATTTGTATATTTTTAATCATAGAAGCTTATAGCAAGAAGCTTATAGATAAAATTATAAACAAGCAAAAGAGAGATCAGATTATAATCAGAGGGATTATCAATATCTGAAATAACCAATATTGATATAATGGTAACGTAATGCTTTTAAGTGCAATTATTAAGATGAATTATTCATACCTGCTAACTTTTACGTGTAAAATATACGCATTTCCAGTTATCTTTATGCTTATATTTTCTTATTATTTTCCCGAATATACCCATTTTAAATGGCACTTTAGTTAATCTCCGCAATTACATATCTTGTGTTAGGAATATGTTTCCTGATTGCTCAACTGCCTCTGCGGAAGAGAAGTAAAACGCAAAAATATTTCAGTGAAAGCAACCTTCAGCAAATAAACTTTAAACAGATACTGTTTATATAGGCAAGACTTTAACATTTCTTGCAGAGGAGTTATGATCTTATGTGCAACTTTATGTTATAATTATTTTTGTTTAGATCACTATTGATGAGCATTGCTTTTAAAATTTAATTCGGATCGTTTATTTTAAATATTTTTTCATTATGATAAAAGAACAAATTCTGATTGCCAAACTTTTAATGCAAAATATTCAAAGGAATTTCTGTTTTTACAACCACCAAGACATCGTTCTGTGAGATTTGCCGTTGCAATGTTACCATTTCTTGAGTTTGATATTTCTCGTTATGCTGCATCTATTCCGCGTTTAAAATCTGCTTAATTCTTCAACACAAATTAGATGGATTTTTAAATAATGATGTGAATGTAATTAACACTGAAATGTTATTTACATCATTTCTCATAGTGCATAATGTTCCACTTATGCCCTCTGAACATACAAGTCAGTTATTCTGTAGAATATAGCTAAAATCAAATATTGTCAAACAGTATGGATGTGGTGAAACAAAAACGCCTGCTGTTATTAATCAAATGGCTACTGATCATTTTGATACAATGGTTAAGTTGATGCAACATAGTTCGTTTTCAACCGCCTTTGATAGCAGTAATCATACCATAATTTGTATCCAATAGTATTCAATTACTTTGGATACACATTAAAACGCTTTCATGTTAAAGAATCACACAAGATATTGAAACACGCTTGTACTAGATGACTCTTAGGGACCTAGTTTATCAAGACTAATGGAGCAGTGTGATCCAATTTTAAGTTTTTTGAGTCTGTAAAAAACACTGACTGGAATATCAGCAACATGAGTGCAACCAAGGTCAAACACTAATGAAAGTTCTTCAGATAATAAACAACAAGAATTTGATTCAGATAAATATTCCATAATTCTAAGCAGGAAAAAAATTATATAAGTTTCTTACGAAAATAAGGCATACTGCTTTTTCTCTTCTCTAGTGTGTCTTCATCCGTTTTTTACAAGCTTTTTTTATAAAGAAACAATCTTTTAATGAAAGAAATTGTTTTTAAGTATTTTTGTTATTCATTATTTTTTAGGATTAACAATGCAAGCAAATATTTTGGCCTATATGTTCACCATAGTTGAGAATGGCAAAATTGTTGTTTCTTTGAATCCTGCTGATGCAACTGCTGGTGGAATTTCAAATGTAGTTTATATTCAAGAATTTGTAGCTCATCTTCTGAAAAATGCTTTTGGCCATTTATCAGAGTAAGTTGAATTACACATGTAATCTGAACATAATCTGTTTGTGTCTGTTGAGGGTGTTAAGCGTCAGTCATCAGGACTGAAATCAGTCTTGAGAAAAAGTCTGGTCTAAATTTATTCCTCCAGTTAATATATTTTTTCAATTTATTTTTTAAATTTTTCAAAAAATTTACTATATTGATATATTCCCTTCCTGGTGTTTTGAAATGCCTGGCAAAGTAAAATTATGATTTTTTTTAATGAAATTTTTAGAGCTAATATAATAAATTAATTATGATGAAGTGAAAAATAAGTAGATATATGAATGACTTAAAGAAAAAGTTATGTATTTATTTACAGGGTTCATACTCCTCCTGAAATTCCTGAAAAACTCCTGAAATTAACTTTTTTTTTCTAAGGGCCCTTATAACTCCTGAAATTGGCATTTTAACTCCTGAAAATTAAATTTTATCTCCTGAAAAATTTTTAACAAAAATAAAAAACTTTTCTTAAACGGAGAAAATAATTAATCCCATCCCTTTCGTCCCTGGGACAAATGAACTGTATAAAGATTGGCTGCTAAGTGTTGTTCCTGTGCCGGTTTATAATTTGAATCGAGCAATTCATTTGAATAGCCTCACTACAAAAGTTGAAATTTTATGAACTTTAAAGGTTTTAAGCTCACATTATTCCTACAAATCTTGTGAAAATGCGAATTTTCTTTTTAAAGCTATGTTTTCTGATAGCCAGATAGCAAGCAATTTCAGTTGTGGTGGAAAGAAAAACTGCCACCTCTCAGTTTTTGGTATTGCGCCATATTTTTTGTCTCTACTTAAGTCAAGAGTGAAAGAGGAAACCAATTATGTACTGCTTTTTGATNATATTAAAATTATACTAAGTATATAATTTTCCCTCTCACTTCCTGAATTTATTGTATTGTACTCCTGAAAAACTCCTTAGAAACTCCTGAAATTTACTTTCTTAGAAAGAGTATGAACCCTGTATTTAGTGATTCTTGTAAAATGATAAGCTAAGTTAACTGTTATGTTTGTTTTGTTTGCTGTAAAAGTAGATCTATAAAATAATATGTGGGCCATTCTCATGGAAAGATAAATTTTGCAGTTAATGAGCTATTTCTGAAAATTCTTCTGAACAGAGCTAAATTGTTTTAATTAGTCAAATAAGTTCAGTGTTGGAATTTTTTTTTTGATAGAGTTACACCCTTGTATGTTGTACAGTACAGAACCCGTTATCCGGAAATCAGAAAACCAAAAAACCAGAATAAAATTCGTAAATTTTCCCGCCATTTAAAAAAAAATTTTTTTTTTCCTCGTAAGATTTTAGGATTTTTCTTTCTTTTTGGAAAGATGTTTACCTTACTATCATTTTGGAAATAATCATTAGTGTATTACTTCGTTTTTTCTTCTTTTTAAGATTATTTCCAAATATTATTTTTTTAGTTGGGTTTAACAATAAAAAAACGGCTTTTTGTAGCGATTCAGAAAACCGGAAAAATCAGTTATCCGGAATAGCGATGGTCCAGATCGTTCCGGATAATCGGTTCCCTACTGTATTTATAATAAATTAAAAATTGTTATAGAAAATTAACTTATTCAAAATAGCCTGCTAGTGTGCTTGGGGAATCATCAATTATTTAAAAATGAGTTCAAACTTCAGTCACAAATAGATTGTTTAAATGTTTCATACATAGTAACAGGGGTTGCTACAAGGCCTGAATTTACCAGAGAGTTTGATTGTGGGGGAAAAGAAAAAATAATGACTAATGCCCTTTTTAGACAAAACTTCTAAAATAACCAATCTTAAAATTTACATGCATCTAGTTCTCTAATTAGCGAATGAAGTATAAAAGTGGGGCTAACATCATTTACTATTACCTGTCAAAATTCCCCTTTCAGCATGGTTAAAACTTCTATAGATTTATTAAAGTAAAACGTTTGCTTGGGCTAAATACTTTTTAGTTCAACAATCTCTTGTTTAAATATGCAAGACGTATGGCACTTTTGCAAAATATTACTGTATCAATAATCTTCATACTTTGTATCAATATCTATATGTTAAACCTTTGCTTGAAGAAATTTAGTCTTTTACAAATTTCAGAGATGCCAACTATTACGGATTTGCCGTAATTATTACGGATTTCATGACAATATTACGCTATTACGGGCTACTTCCCCAAAATTACGGAAAATTTTTTTAAGCTCATCCAAAAGTTTAATTTTTATTCTATAATTTTTCCTTTTAAGAATCATTCTCATTGAATCGTATTGGTCGATGAGGACGGTGATCCGAAATGCGTTTTTGGATGAAGTGACTGCTCCTTATAAACATGGTGCTTCTAGCTCTCTCTTTAATGACATCACGGTTTTGATCCGTCATGTCATCAGCACAGAAATAAGCGGTACTTACTGTCAGTGTAAACAAGCGATCGTTTTTGTCACGCTATTTTTTAACGAAGATTTAATGAGCAAAAAAGCCAGTATATGTGAATAATCTAGCACTCAATACAATGGAACATCAAGCAAAAAAAGCAAAGGCAGGACTGCCATTGGCGACTAAAAAGGCTACTAAAGCGACTATTTTAAAGCAATAGCAACTAGGGGGACTATTTTAATAGAAATATGAGTAAAAACAACTAATTTGCAATGAGTTGCATAAAATCGGCGACTTTTTAAGCTAATTAGCGACTAAAATTAGGAGAAACTTCTTGAGTTTCCCTCTTCCCCCACTTTTTTTTTTTTGCTGCGTTTTTTCGTTTCATCCAAACTTTATTTTTCCTCACTGATGTCAAAAGCAAGACAGACAGACAGACATGTTTAACTAATCACTAATCGCATTGGAATTTGTCTTCTCTTCGAATTGGAATTTGTCTCACTTTGTCTTCTCTTATAGAAAAAACAAAAGCATTAACAAAAAAGTGTGTTTCGAAAGGAAATTTTCTGATGCTGAGATAAGAGCTGCAAAGCAAAGTACTAAATTAGATTTACATATAACATAAATAAAAAGAAAATTTATTGAAGTTTCAGTTTTTTATTTTGTGTTCTATTATACAATTATTCATTTATGTACAATCTTAAACTCAAATTTTATCTTTTTTTAAACAGAACAGTTTTGGAATATGAATTATTAAAATAATTATATAATGAATTAATTCTTATTAATTTTTAATTTATAGTACCATCACATACTTGCCAACTTTTACGGATTATCCGTAAAATGTACGGATTTACGTCTAATTTTACGGGCCTACAGATTAACCTGAAATTTATACGGATCCCCCGTTTTTAGCGTNTCAAAGTATGCATCAAAATAAACATTAAATCTTTAATATAAAAATTATGAGGTAAAACTTTATTATTACTGAGGATTACTGAAAATCATTATAAGTTCTGCGTGATTATTACTGAAATCATAATTTTCAAGTTGGCATCTCTGAAATTTTAATGTTTAAAGTATTTTTTGTTAAAAAAAAGCATGTTTGATTGTTTATTAAATAAAAATACATTTCTCCTGAAATGTTGCATGCATAGCAGAAATAGGGTCTGAAATTTTGTTGATATTTCCTATAAAATTTTTTTTGAATTTTACTTCTAAAACTCAGAGGGAATCCTTAACTGTCTTACACCATCTGATTTTAAGACTTAAAATTTTGGAAATTGTAGTACAGTACATTCTCTATCTCAAAGTTGAAAGGGATGCTAAAAGTATTTCGAGATAGCGAGTTCAGAATTAAAATTTTTTTTTTTCTAAAATGTAGAAAAATATATTCTAATATATTACTCTAAAAAGTAGAGTCATGAAGCATGAAAATAACTACTAATAAATATGTATTTAATGACGATTGACTATAAGTCTAAATGGAACAATTATAATTTTAGTTTTAAGTAAGACAAAAATAATTAGGAATTTCGTTTACTATTTTGAAAAAATTCGACATATCAGGATTTTGAGAAAGTACCAACCCTTCGACATAGGAATTCAAGTTAACATTTTGCCAAAGGGAAAAATATTTTTTTGACGTAACAAGATTTTTGAGATATCAAAGTTCGCGATATATAGAGTATTCTGTATTTCTTTATTTGTATATTATATTTTTCATGAATTACATTCAAATTTTTATAGGTAAATTTAGATTTAATGTTCACGAATAAAAATTTCAAAACCTAAAAATTTAAGTTCTTTGTCAATAACTTTTTTTAAAGTTATATTTTTCACACCAAAAGAATGACAACAAAAAAATTTAATTTATCTGAAATAATAAAGAATAATCTTTCCTTTCTAGTTCTCAGATCAAGATCACAGTTCAAGGATTTTTCAATTTGGATCAAGATATTCCTGCATTTAAAGAGCATTTACGGGATTTCCTTGTTCAGATTCGTGTAAGTAATTTACGCTTAAGTTCTCTGCTTATGATCTGCTGTTAATTGTCAAAAAATTCAAAATAATTGTTATTGTTTCAAGTTAGTTTAATTTTGTTATGTTTGTGAGTTAATGCAGTTGAGTGTCTGTTTACATAATGCTCTATTTAATGATGTGCCCTTCTTCAGTAAGGTGTGAGTTAAATTAAGGCAGTAATTTGTGATCCTGCCTCCTTCATCATACAATGAGTCTTTTAAGGGGGAAGTTTTAAATGTGGGACATTTTAATTTTTTAAAATTGTGTTAGAATTTTAATTCTAAATTCTTAAATACGTCTGTTCTGCCTTTCAAATATTTCTAGCTTTGCAAAGTTGGTGTTGTGTTTTTATCATTTCATTGCAGAAATTAACAATCTTTAAAATTTATGTTATTTTTAGTATCCTTCTATTAGTTTATAGAGCTATAATAAAAAAAAGAAAATTCTTTCCTAAACAAACACAGTTTCATAGAAATATGACCTACCTTTATGTTTTTTTTTCCTCTTGTTTTTACACGTTCTATTTAAAGCCATATTTTTTACAAGTTAGTAAAGTTTTGCAGATTCGTATCACTAATGTACAACACAAACTACGTTTTACTTAATAGTTCAACTACTACTGCAATTTGCTGTTATTCTATGCTGTATTTATGGAAATCTCTCTTGTATCATAAGTCAGGAATCATTTTATTTTGTAGGAATTTGCTGGTGAAGATGACAGTGATTTATTCCTTGAAGAAAGGGAAGCTGCTCTTAAGGCTGCTGAAGAGGAGAAAAGAAAAATTCAAATGTCTGTTCCTGGTATTCTTAACCCTCATGAGGTGACAGAAGAAATGCAGGACTAAATCTGTGTGTATAGATTCTTTGTTGCATAAATACTGTGCTTTTATCCAACTCAGAGCATTATTATCTTTGCCATGTTCTCATCTCTTACGACTTCATCATGTGTTTGAATCCTGGACTAAGTTATATTTTTAAGGAAAAAATGAAATTTGTTCAGTTTTTTTTCTACTTTATTTGTGAAATTAAAGGGACAGAATGTGTGTTTATTGCATATTTGAGACGAGAGAGAATGCTAACATCATGTCCATATTTTGTAGATAATCAAACATTTAAATCGTTACTGAGTTTTTTTGCAGCAACTGGTGCTTGAAAGTAATTGTAAAAATAAAAATGGAAGGGGGATAAAATTATCTGTGTGCATGTTTTATAAATGGATGAGGTATGGCGAAATAGTTGTATATAAAACATCACTCATAGTATGAAACTAAATATTATATTGAGAAAGTATACAATAAAATCTCATTTTACTTGTAAAAATGCTTTTTAATGTATTTGTGAAAATGTCTGTGGGAGTGATCTCATTATCAACTTAAAACCGAAATATGCAATTTATGCCTTCCTCTTTAACTTCTGCTAACATAAATTTGTCATAAGTTGTTTTGGTTAAGAACTAAAAAATTTTGTTTCACAATATAATTTTTTTTTAAACAACAGCTACGTTACCTATTTATCACAGGTATGTTATTTTGTAATATAGTTATTTTGTGTGTATGCGTGTGTAAAATTCCCTCCATAATTTGAGTGATAGTTACTTGTGTTGCACCAAATTTTGTGTTTCATTTTATTGATTTTTTTGTCTGAAGTATTTTTAATGGAATGAGAGTATCATTATCTGCTTTTCCACTAAAAACATGACATTCATCTAGTAAACTAAGAATGGTGTATGATTGATGTTTATATAAGGTGTCTGTAGATTATGTTAAACTCTGTATTAACCATTATGTGTTCCTTACTACTATACATGCACAACCTGTTAAAAGTGAAAAAAATTAGCTTTTGAGGGGCATAATAATTTTTTATTTTTTTGCGTCAATAGGTAATATCTTATTAGTATCTGATATCTATGTATTTTCTAATTAAAAAGGTCTGTATAAATGATAAAGGCATGAAATAAATGATTTGCTCACTTGTTTTTTTTTTTTTTTTGTAAAAAGTAAATGGCAGCAAGTTTTTAAACTTTTCTTTATTTGTTATAAATAAATTACTTACATCTTCTGACTTGTAAATAAATCTTTGAACTACATTTATTTTAAACATATCTGGATTAAAAAACATTTAAAGGAATATATAAATATTTAAAATGTAAGAAAGAAATTTATTTTTAGTAATTAAGTTTAATTTTACAAATTTAGGAACCACATATTACCATTCGAGGGCCTCAGGTTGTGCACCATTTAAATAACACATTTTTGGCATAATTCATGAGACACCACACATTACTTTCATTTATTTTAAACAATAAAAATTTTGGTTTGAGTGGTAGAGTAAATGCAGGTCATAAGTTTACAATGTAGTTAATACTAGTTGCTGCTCATTTACCCCTATGGGGTATATTTATACTATGCATTCTCCTTTAAAAGGAAAACTCACCTTTTCTCTTCATTTGACATTAGTAAGTTTTTATCTTGATTACCATTTTTTTTTTCATAGTCTCCTTTTAAATTTTATCTATTTTTCACCTTTAAAGGCCCATAGCAGGATTGGCTTTGGTATGGTTTTAACTATGCTTTAAATTATCAAATCAAATAGTTATGTCTGAAAGTTACCTACATCAAATAATGTCTGAAACCTCTAATAAAATGTATTTATAAGAAAGCAGATTCAGTTAGTATGTTTTAAATACTGAAAATAGTTTTTTATTATTGCCGGATTGATTTGTTGTGTATGATTGAAATTTTTCGCAATAAAATGTAAAATGTTTAAAAATGAAATTAAAAAATTTAATGGTGCGATACGCCTGTTTGTAACTTCTTAGTAACTTGAACTAATTAGTACTCTCCAAGCATTGTCCCGCTGAACATTTATCTAAATTGAAATGCTTATGGAACAGCTGATTTAGCAGTTAAAAAAAGTAAATAAGATTCAGATTCATTTGCATTTTTTATTGATCATCATTATATCTTTTAAGATTTTTCAATAAACCTCTCTATTATAGTCTTAAATTAGTTATATTTACATGTTACCATGTAGTAAGAGATTTCTAAAAGCTAACTAAATCTAAGTTTCCAAAATAAAATTCTAATTGTTTTTATATAATTTAAATAGATTGCTTTTATAATATAGTAGTCACTTGATTACCATGATGGTTGAGAAAGGCTTTGCCTAGATAAGTAAATATCACATATAGTGGAATTCTATTCATAATTATTTGCAATACAATTAAAAAGGGGGGGGGGAAGTAAAGTTCATATCACTGCTTTATAATGAATGAAATGAAATGATTTTTCTTTTTCATTTATTCTTGGACAAATTGTTTGTTTTATTTCATTGCTTGAATTTCACAAACAAAACAGTTTCTTGATAAAGTGCATATATCAATTGTTTTTGTTCTGCAGGGAAAGATTACTAAGGTTTTTTTCTTAGCTGTTACAGATAATCCCATCACTTACAATCTGGAGTCTACTATACTATTTAAATAATCAAACCTTGAACAACATTTACTTGATGAACTTTAATGTTACAACCTTGCCAATTACATTTGTTTTATACAGATTGCCAATCCTGTTGAACAGCCCCCTAATTTTTTTTCTTTCTTTTTTTTTTTTACTTTTTCCTAGTCACAAGAGATTCTGATTGTTTTTTTTTATCTGTTAATAACCAAAGTTTAAAAATAAACTTAACTAATCTTCACTTGGGCAATTAGCAGTAATTAATTTTCTCTGCTCTCTCAAGCTGACAAAAACATCTGTACTTGAAAAAGTTCTATAAATATATCTGACTCACCAAAATTTGTTATAAGTAATGTCATGTGTTTAGTTTATAATTCACTTTTGTAAACAAGCTTGGAAATTAATAAATTATTATTTGACAGTGTAATGAATCTTTCATTTATTTTGTCTAAGTTCAATAATAAGTCTTGCACTAAAGTAGAGTGAGACTCCAACTACTATGGATTTTTCGTAGTTTCCCCACAATTTTGCTTGTTTCTGTGAACTACGTAAATTGGAACAGGTATCTACGTAAAAGTCTGGTTTTTTTATAGCTTTATTTGGTGGATGTTAACTGTTATTTTTTTTCTATTTCCCAATGGCTTTCTAAATTCTAATATGTAATACAATATAATTTAGAGTCTAAATAATATATTACTTTTTGTTTAGCCGGATTCATGACAAATTTAGTCATTTTTCGATTGCTTATGGAAATTATTTATAGCCATTTACCGAGGTTTACCAAGTTTCGATATACCTAATATGAAAGACAATCTATGCATACAGGTTTAAACATTTGGTTTTTCAAATTATGAAAATTTCAGTGCGGTAATATTTTGACACAGGAATTTGGGTTTTCACTTGGGGGCGTGACTGATTTGCGATGATTCTGTTTGATTTATGCCAAACATATTCTTAAGCCCCTATTCAGAAAAATTCTAAAAATTTAAATTGAAATAAAAAGTTTTCTTAGCCCAAAGCTTTTTTTCTTTTAATGAGCTCCAAAATTGTGTCGCATATAAAATAATCAAATACACAACTTGTATGCAACGAAGCATAACGAGTAACGGAACTCTTCTTCAAATTTTGTCGAAAAAATCGTTAAAAACAGAAAAAGAAAGTTAATTCAAGACTGCCGAACGAAAAGTCAATTAAAACCACATTTTTTTGTTAGTTCTTCGCCACCTAAAAAATGTAGTTACTCTCTAAAGTAACTAGATTACGTGATTTTTAACAGTAATCAAAAATCCTGGATGACAATTGCAAATTTTGAAGCCTATTTGAAAAAGCTAGTACGATGCAGAAGGAAAAATGAAATACCATAATCTTTGTAGACAACTACTCATTCCGAAGAGAATAAGTTTATTGTATCGGCATGGCAATTAGTAACACCATTTGTAATTGCTAGTTGTTTTCAGAAGACTGGATTCTCTGATAGAGATATAATTGACTGAAGCTGGAAAAGCTAGTGAGAATTTTTATAAGGATTGGAAGTCACTCCAAAATAAACTTAATTTCTCTGCATTGTTTGAAGAATATGTATCCTTTGATGTCGAAATTTTGCCTTGTGATGTGCTTACATTCGAAGATATTTGTGACACTACAAATGAAACAGAATTGAGTGAAACTGAAGAAGATATTGTTAAACCACCTAGTCTTTCTTATGCCAGAAAAGGGTTGGAAACTTTTTGTAAATTTATTTAAAGTGTTAAAAATATATGCGCCCCGAATGTTCAAATATTCACAGCAGTTGGACAGTTTTCAGTTAAAGGTCTGTGAATGAAACAAAAACAAACTACACAATTTTTTTCTCTCAAAAGTCTCATCAATAATTTTAAAAATGTGTGCATTGTGTAAATAACATTGGATGAAATAAAATAAAAGGTAGGTAAATTTGTTTTTATTAGCTAATAGTAAAATTAAATATTTATTCCGTTATACTGAATCTGTAATATAAGTTATAAAATTTTAAGAATGTCATTTTTACTTAATCAGGTTCTGCTGTAATGTATATATATATATATATATATATGTATATTTCATTAATGTTTTCATTAAAAACTAGATCATGCTTGTGATTTGCCAGGTTTATGTTTTGATGTAACATATAAAAGTTGAGATCTGTCAAAAACCTGGGACAAGTTTTTTTATTCTCATTGGGGACACATTATTAGATATTAAATAAGGTACAATATTTGCTGCTATGCTACTATAATTATGATATATATATCATTTATAAAAAATACAGCCAAAATTGTTGAAACTATTTTAAAAAAAAACAAAACTTGGTACTCTTCATACTTATAGGTTAATATCGTTTGCTATATAATAACTATTAAATTTATATTATTGTTAATGACTATGAGTTGTTAATTTATTATCAATCTAAATTTTGATTTAAATTTTTTTATGCCACAATTTAAGTTGAATTTTTAGATTAAGTAGAACTAAAGTGGTTGCCAGTAATTGTTTGATCTCAACTTATGATTTTTTTAAAATTCTTAATAGTTATTACTTACATTGCAGGGGAGTAGAATATGTCGAATCTTGCGAAAGAGTTTTGTGGATAATTCAGGCAGTGAAATTTTTTTTTTTTAAAAATAGCCCTACAAAATTTTTATTGTTAAAAAATATGTTGCTTTGCAAAATTTTTCCTAGATTAAAAAAAAAACATTAAATGCCAATTTGTGTATTTATGAGTTTAAATTCCTTTAGTTAATGAATTCCTTTATTATTACTATTTCAATATATTTTGATTTTTATTATTTTAACACACAAAATCACATTCAAAAATTGTAAGAAATGGAAGATTTTTTTCTTCAATAAATTTAACTTTCCAAAAATATTTAAAAAAGTATTATACTTAAAAAAAAGATACCCTAAAAATTCTGGGAAATTTCGATTTTAATTTTTTTTTTCTATCTGGGGAAATATTAGGGTCTGAGATTCTTTTGCACCTCTGCTTATATCTACAATGCATGAAAAAAAATATGGACCACCCAGAATAACTTTTGATCTTCATGTTCTAGGACTCTATCTTAATGATTCCAGGAGTGACCTACAATATGCTAATTAATAAGTGCTGATGATATTTGTTTGTCCAAAGATAATTCCATGTAAAAAATAAATTTAAGCTAGCATTTATTATTTTTTTATTATATGTAATAATAGTCTAAAAATTTTGAACTGTTAAGTAGATAATTTTTTACATCGCTTTAAAGTATATAATTTTACTTGGCAAAATATGAAATTTGAGCAAAATCAGTTAAATAGTTCCTGAGAAATTGAATTTTAAACATATGACTTTTTTAAAAGTTTCATTAATTATCAATATTTAGTATGATTATTTGAATAAATTTCCTAATTACATGTTATTTTATTATGTTATAATAGTTTTTGTATGTCCTCATTCGAATAGCTTTGATTTTCGGTCTTGTTCATACAAAACTGAAATATGAACTTTTTGTACAACGAGCTTCAAAACTGTTTGTGATCGCATGCTTCGGGAAATAGAGGAGTTAAAATGGGCGCAAATGAAAATTGATTTTACATATGATGAATAAGATTATTGTTAAGTGTATTTTGTATAAGATTGTTTTTGTATATTTATTTTCATAATTTATGAAAATTGACGTAGGATAAATTGCAATTTGAAATAATTGCAATTGCAATTTGATAAATTGCAATTTGAATAATGTTTTTGATAATAATTTTCAAAAAAAGATAAAAGAAGGAGTCTAATATTAGAATATATGATTGATTGATTTCTTTTAATTTTATATGTATATTTTCATATTTATAATAGCTAATACGTCTTTACCTCAAAATTTTGAGTTGACAATTGTCAAAAAAAAAAAAAAAAAAAAACCCCTTAATAACATAACGGTTGAAACCGTCAATTGTCAAAAACTTGCCAACCATGATAATGGCTAAAGAATCTTAAATAGCTGGGATTAAATGAAAACGATATCTGGAGCATGCGGCAAATCAAGTCGCAAATACATTTGAATCTCTACTAAAAGAAATTAAAATTAACTACTTCAGCAGTCATTTTCAACAAAATATCAAAAATTGATTCATTATTCATCAAACAGGTAACCATTATTGTTTGTAAAGGTTTTCTATTTCAAAATAAGATAATTAGTAACAAATTGATAAATATTTAATCTATGTTCTTATGTATTATATGTCATTGTCTTTAATATAATGAGAATATTTTGAAATACTACATAGGAAACAAACTAATCCTGTATGTGTGTTAAGATGGACTAACTATCAGAGTGCATTTTAATCTAACGGAAATTGATTATTTTGTCTGACAGGTAACCATTATTGTTTATTATAAAAGTTATCTAATTTTATTAGCAATTTTTACAATGTCTACCTAAACAGTTCCTGTCATTACTAATGATACATGTAATGGTTCTGTGAATCTTCTTATGTGTTAGTACTTACGCCTTAAATGTGTTAGTAAGCAAATGCAGACCTTATTCATCAGACTTGATTCCAATAGATCTTTCAAAGAGTCAAAGGTTTCTATTGAACTTCTTATGATGAGGATTGGAAAAATTCTTCCTCATAGATTGGTTGTTTTGATTTATATTAAGATTTTTTTCGTTTAAGCCAATTTTTTATCATTCAATTGAAAGAAGAGGTCAAATAATATTTCATGATTTAAATTAAAAGCAACTAAATCACTAAAAACTATTTCATTAAAAGTTTTTTCTAACTATTAATCAATATTTTCAATAGGTAATTTAAAAATATCCATTTTTGTTGGATAATTATAGTAACATGATGAAAAAGAATTTTAACTGAAGGTTTTAGTTGTTTTATGCATAACAAGTTTATGACTGTGCGAGTTCTAAACACCATTGCTTGTCAGTAAACATAAAAATGCCATGCATAACCCTCAGAAATGTCAATAAAAGTAATTGGTTATTGAGTTTAGAGTTAAATAATTCTAAATTCTATTACAATTATTTGTTGTAAAAATTTAACATTTATTGAAACTTCCATGCTTACATCTTTATTCAATGCTATTTTTTTTGGCTTAAAATCTAATATGTAGCATTACAATTGAAAAGTTTTCCAATGAAAAATTGCATGGTATAGATTAAATACAGTCTGGCAGACTTAGCAGTTCTGTGGTTTGTATGAAATTTTTAAATTTGTATTTACTTAATATGTAAAAAAAATACAGTCAGGAGCTTGCAGCTCCACATATGTGTACCTTGGTATGTATGGCAAAATTTATGACAGCGTAGTAGTCAAGTGAAGTTTCAAGTATTCAATTTTATATCTGTTTAGTAATATTTTTATGTGTATTTTACTTAATTGTTTTATATTAAGGTATTTTACTTACCTTTAATTACTTTAACTTTTTGTGTTTTTTTTCCAGAATATTGAAATTAAACCTCCAAAAATTAATTTTTATAGTCTTTTTAATAATTATTTATTTTGCGTTGTTCGCATAATTAAAATTGTATTTTAATTAATTGTTTTGTTTTAAGGCATTTTACTTACATTTAATTACTTTAACTTTTTGTATTTTTTCCCAGAGTTTTGAAATTAAACCTCCGAAAATTAAATATTTTTTTATAGTCTTTTCTTTTCAATAATTGTTTATTTTTCTTTTGCATAATTAAAATAGTTAAACTGAGGCATTGGTATTGCCTCTCTTGTAAAATAACTATATATATATTTTTTCTAAATAATTATTAAATCTATTCATCATTGTATTTAAATCTACCATAATATAATATTATGCATGCTTGTTTCTACTTTTTTGTTTATCTCATCATGAATTATGGTAGTAAAATTTCGGAACTGTATAATAATTTTTTGCTATATTACTTCATACTTCAGTAGTGAAGAAGTTAAACTGAAAGTATTTTTTGAAATAAAAGAAAACTAAAAGATTTAACGGAATTTGTTTTTTTCAAAAAAGCCAGCTTCGTTTTTTTCTTAAAAAAAAACAAAAAAAAAACATTTTATTAAAACTATAATTTAAATCATAGTTTAAGCCACATTTGTTTAATTCTCTTTACTTAGATATAAATATAGTTTAAAGTTAAGTTGTGATATTTTATTAACCATTGACATGTTATTGTAAATAGCAAATTTCATTTTTTATTTGTAACATAAATTTAAAAAAAATTACCTTAGAATTTAATTTAATATTGTTCGCATGCATTTTTATGAATTGCAATGTTGACAGTTAAAATGATCTGAATTTTTAAAGCCTTCTCATCGACACTTTCAACTGTCATTCTGTGTCCATTTATTGTATGTTTAAAGTGTGAATTTCATTTTTGGGTTGACCAATGACATTGGGTTGACCAAAGACCCTTTCAGGGGTCTGTCCAGGCCGAATTTACTACCGTTTAGCGGTACCTTCACAAATTCAACTTTAGGAAAAACGGTAGTTTCACAAATTCAATTTTGGAAAAACGGTAGTTTCACAAAATACTTTTTCTTAAAATTTCATTTTTGTATCCCTTAAGAAACGATAAATCCATATTTTTGTGTTGATTTCTTAATATAATTTTTAATTTTTCACAAATTACGTCTAAATTTTCACAAAATAGGTACCTGTCAGAAAAACCTAGACAGACCCCTGTTTGCAACACACGCACAATGTCTTTCGCATTCTTAATGGAGAAGCTAAAGCTGTCCCTCTTGAAGTATGTGAACAGTGATTAAATGAAACGTTACCAAATTTACTTCAAGGATACAGTTAAAATGATGTTTTCAATATTGATGAAATGGGTTTATTTTTTAAATGTCTTCCAAATAAGACTATGATGTTTAAGGATGAAAACTGCTCAGAGGGTAAAATGAGCAAGGAACGTTTGACTGTCCTAGTTGAAGGAAATGCGTCTGGGACAGAGAAATTGCCCTTACTTGTTATCGGAAAATACCGAAATCCCCGATGTTTCAAGAATGTAAAAACGTATCCTTTGGATTACAAGTCTAACAAAAAGTTTTGGATGACATCAGTTTTATTTGAAGACTATGTAAGAAAATTGGATCGGAAATTCTTCGCTAAAGAAAAGTGATACTCTTTATGGATAAATGCACAGCGCATAGTGATCTACCTAATTTGAAAGCAGTAAACTTGCAGTTTCTCCCGCCAAATACAACAGCAAAGTTGCAGCCGATGGACCAGGGTATCATAAAGTGCTACTAACAGTCTTATCGTAAATGGCTTGTCAGAAAAATGATCTTAAATATTGTAAGCATTTAGAAGATTTGTAATTAATAAGCATTAATTAAATAATGCGACAATATTTTGAAATTCCAAAACCGAAACTAACGGTAAGTCGAACTTCCTATATGTCGAAGTTTTTCGTCAGTCCTATCAGATTCGAGTTATCGCGAATTCACTGTAATTAGTTTTTAAATCTGATTCTAATCATGCAAAAAAAAAAGAAAAATTAAGTATTTAAATATAATTTTTATCTAAGTAACTTTTGCTGGTAATGAAATCGGAAATAAGCAGCAAAAAGCAAGATATAGAGATTAATTTTCTGCAATCTCATAAAATCTAAACATAAAATAATGTAAATAGTTTCTGAGATATTGATAAGAGGAGGCTGAAAATTAACATTTTTCTATGATTTCTATGTGCTGCGCGTTTTATTCTTTTGTAAATGTCTTAAAAATCTGAATTTCGATTATTTGTTTTAATTCATCATTTTATTGTTCTGAAATTGAATAAGGTTCTATTTTTAGTTTTAGAAACGGCTAAATGGAGAAAGTTAACTTTTTTTGAAAAGTCTATTCTATACAAAATAAATTTAGTGAGTGAAATCTATAAAAAAATAGCTTCTTTTTACAAATACTTTATTAATGAATTTTTTATATGTACATTTCCATTTTTACGCAAATATATCTTTGTATATATACATGGATAAGTAAAAATATAATCCGTCTTAGATATTTTTGCCTCAATTTTTACTTGTTTAGATCATTCAACTTGAAATTATATTCAATACAATTCATTTTCATCCATTTTTTAAATTATTTCTTTTAACATGTGTACTTATTTTTGAAATTGAAAGAGATGTGTTTCTGGACTTTTCTTTGTTAGAAGTAACAAAAGATTGTCTTCTCACTGACATACTCTCACAGCAGTTGCATTTAGGTGCAATTAAACAATGGCACATTGGCATTGGATGCTTTTTACGTTGTGTTCCACGCTATATTCAATATCACAATTTCTTTTAAAGATTTCTGTTCTAAAGCAGGGATATGGCTCTCAGCGTTCGCATGAGCTGCGTAAGAGCGGTCGCCAAGGTCGTCGCACGTTGCATTAAAACACTCATTTTCGGATCATCTATTTTCGTACCTATCGCATGTTGGGCAGCTTCAACTGTATAAAAATAGGATACGGCCACTTCTTTGAGTTTCTCTACAAGATACTGAACAGGTTCTCCTGGCGAGCTTCGTATAACGACTAATTCCCCAATCGCCGTCATACGATTCAGCAGGGCGACACAAATAGCCATGTTTTCGATCATTTTTTCAGATGATTCCATGGCACTTTTAACAAACAGTTTCGATGAAGTCACAAATTGACGTGACTCGTTCACCAACGCGTCTTTTGCGATAGTGAATTTTTCACGATCGATGGCTACCTCATTGAGTTTGGAAGCGCTTAAATTGATCTTTTTCAAATGCATGACCATCGCAGAAATGTCCTTTTGTGCTTGCTGGAATGGCCCACAGGATTGGCTGCCCGATATCACATTTCTGTCACTAAGTCCATTCATTTGTTTGCTATTTGGAATGCAACCGTTTGAAACTCTTGGATCCTTTGTGCTTTGCAAATCAGGTCTTTGCTTGTCAGCCTTTGGCAATATGAAAGCATTCGTGAAGCCATTAATGTGGTTACCTGGATTAGAGCAATCCCCATTATAGCCGCTGTCCCTTTTTCCGACTTCGCTTGTGTGATCTGGTTGTAGATTGGAAGGTTTCGGTAAAACAGCATTTTTCAATGGACCTCGATTAAAAGATCTACGTAGTCGATTCTGAAAGAGAAAAATGTAAGCATTGAGATCACAGCAAACAATTATAAAATATTTTTTTTTCTCTTAAAAAGTTAAAAGGGGAAAAAATTATTTCAATTATTTATTTAACTTTTTACAAAATATTACATTTTGGTGTTATATTTAAAAAGTTATTTAAGTCATTGAATGTAATTTGCATTGAATGAGTGTTAACATGCAATTATTTATTCACAGAGTAATTAATGAATCAAAAATATTTTCATAGAATGAATTTGCATTAAATGCTTCTTCTTTCCCCTATGAAATCAGTGCATAGCAAAGCCTACTTTTTATATATAATTTCAGAAATTGTTCTAGCTTATTCCAGCTAGCTTCTCTATTCTTTTTCACAAAAAGTCTTAATTTCTCACATAAATTATGTGTATTGATATAAGAAATTGTTGAATTACTGATTTTAACTCATTAACAGTTTTGCACGTAAAAAGTTGCATTTTAATCTACAGTCTTCTCCGCAAATCAAAACCGGTTTTCATATTTAATGGATAGGGGAGAAACATTCTCCCAATTTTGCCCATTTGCTAAAATACCAGTGGGTTAAATTATGTGTGTTGATTTAAGGAATTAAAATTTGCTAAGATCTTTTGATTTGCACTACAAGGGGTGATCAAATGAAAAGGTACGAAACGACGTAAAAACGTAACAATTAAATATTTGCATATTCCGCTATGGGAGAACGTAGCGAGACATCTCGGGATGCGATTGGAGTCTCTGACTGGGATCGGAGCATGCGCTGGTGCCCGCATGAGCAGGAGAGAGCAGAGGCTCTTATCAAAAGCGGCGTCCAAATGATGCGGCAGTCCATATGAGGACCGGATGGCGTTCGCGTTGCAAAATTCGACGATTGAGGAGCAGCGAGGTGTTATCCGATTTCCTCGAGCACAGAAAAACCATTACCTCCGATGTGTACTGTGAGACACTCTGACGCCTACGCAGATCCATCAAGAACAAAAGACCGGGGCTGCTCACGTAGGGTGTGGTTCTGCTCCACGATAACGCGCGTCCACACGTCTCCAGACTCACACATATGGAACTGGCCAAGTTCAAGTGGCAGACGTTGAACCATCCACTTTACAATCCGGACTAGTCACCCTGCGATTTCCATGTGTTTGGTCCACTGAAGAAACACCTGAAAGGGAAGCTCTTAAACTCGGACGACATACTCAAGGACGTGAAGGACTGGGTCTCGTCAAGACCCCAGGAATTCTGGGAACAAGGAATCCTGCGGCTTGTTCATCAGTGGGATCGCTGTGCACAGACCTATGGTGTATATTTTGAATAAAGTCTGCATTTGTACCCACCGTGTCGTTTCGTACCTTTTCATTTGATCACCCCTTGTATTTTTGGTTTTTTTGGACACTTTTTTGCTTTTATTCCAAGGACCAACCTCTTTTTTACATTACAGAAATTAGTAAAAGACAGGGTAGATTTCGAAATCGCTGAGTCAAGGAAGAAAATATTTACAATTTGTTTTTTCACTTTTTTGAGATTAACCAATGAGGAGTCATGAATCAACAAATTGGCCATTGAAAACCATTCATCCTGAGTAAGTTGAAGTTAACATAGTTTCCTAGTCTGTGGTATTGTAAGTTTTTCATAAAATATTGAGCTTGGCTCAGTACAACCGCATCTTACACTCACATAATTGTATTCTACATTCAATCACTTCACTTGCCTTTATAATAATTATTTGTAATGTTATTTTGCCTTGTGTGGCTGGCTATACGAAAATTACCCTTATAGTAGTATTTTATGGTTATATTTAAGATATTTTTTATATTTAAAATTATTTAAGATTTCTATTGTAAGGAAGTAAATGTTTAAAGTTATTTTAAAAGTAATAAATGGGTAAATGAAATTAAAAATATGAAAGAAGGTATATTTAGCACACCTTTAATGATTTCCAATCGTCCAATCTCAGTTTACAGTATTTTGTTAAAATTTAATGTCCGTTTTTTCTAAAATTAAATTATGTTTTATCAACGTTTTATAATCATGTTTCAACTCATAGTAGTTAAAGTTTGTGTTTAATTTTATAAAATATAAAGTTTAAATTAATTTCATTAAATTTCAAATTTTCCAACCCAATATCTTTCATATTAGTTATTACTAAATTTTTACATATTTTGCAGCAATTGTATTTAAATTAAATATGGATTGTATAAAAAATACTCAGAGAAAAATAATAATATAAGTAAAAAATATGTCCCCTTCCACCTACAGAGTTTTATGTTAGGCAGGAAATCGACATGGTATTTTAGTGTGGAAAGGGAGTAATATACAAATATGAAGCATCATAAGTATGGGAACATTTCTGTTGTCTAAATTTTTTGACTTCTTTTATATTTTAATTATTTTTAATGATATGTGAATAGCATTGGAACCATTGAAACTAATATCAGTGTTTTGTAGCAATATTTCAGTTCTTTTATGGTTTTGATCACCAAAAATGTCATTATACTACATTTGTTAACTTTTTGATAATTGTTTTTTTTTTTTTTTTCGTGAAAAGCAAAAATTTTGGTCTTGCTAGTACTTTAAAACTGAAATTTCATCCCTTACATCAATCTACAAGGAGTGATCAAATGAAAAGGTACGAAACGACGTAAAAACGTAACAGTTAAATATTTGCATATTCCGCCATGGTAGAACGTAGCGAGACATCTCAGGATGCTATTGGAGTCTCTGATTGGGATCGAAGCATGCGCAGGCGCCCGCATGCGCAGGAGTGAGCAGAGGTTCTTATCAAAAACGGCGTCCAAATGATGCGGCAGTCCGTATGAGGAACAGAAACTCGAGCACAGAAAAACCATTAACTCCTATGTGTACTGTGAGACACTCCGACGCCTACGCAGGTTCATCAAGTACAATAGAACGAGGCTGCTCACTGAGGATGTGGTTCTGCTCCTTGAACGCGCTTCCACACGTCTCCAGAGTCACACACATTGAATTGGCCAAGTTCAAGTGGGAGACGTTGGACCATCCGCCCTACAATCCGGACATGTCGTCCTGCGATTTCCATGTGTTTGGCCCACTGAAGAAACACCTGAAAGGGAAGCTCTTCAACTCTGACGACGTACTCAAGGACTCTGTGAAGGACTGGGTCTCGTCACGGCCACAGAAATTCTGGGAACAAGGAATCCTGCAGCTTGTTCATCAGTGGGATCGTCGTGCTCAGGCCTATGGTGTATATTTTGAATAAAGTCTACATTTGTACCCACCGTGTCGTTTCGTACCTTTTCATTTCATCACCTCTTGTATGAAGTTAGTACTAAATTTTTAAAGAGTTTTCGAAAATTCAATTGCTACTAAAAAATAGAATTGATGTTTGAACAATCATATATATGAACATAAGTATGGTATAGTATGAATAAAATAACTTTTTTAAGAACTATTTTTTTACTTTATTTGAATTAATTAGCATAGTATAGTATGAAATATATAATTACCATTTGAAAATTACTTCTGGAAGGATGTAAGTGATTTTCACTCAATTCATCATTTTTCGGTTCATCCTTTATACCATTACCCAAGTCTGCAATACTTGTGAAAGAAATTGATCGAACAATATTTGAAGGCTCAGAGTTAAGACCATTATTCCACAAATCATCACAACTACCAGTGAAGGATGGATTTTGTAAATTGGGTAATTCAAGAGACGTCAAATTAGAAACATCATTATTTTCAGTTCCCGGCATGTCGAGTAAAATGACTGAGCTGTCTGAACTTGTAGTTGAAGACGGAGAAGTGATGGACAACGGTGAAGTTACATCATCTACACAAGATGTTTTAAGTGTGGGCGGAACAGGAAGTCCATCCGGTCCCATTTTATTACTTCTACCAATAACATCTGATGGTCTTTCAAAGACTGGTGTTGAATCACTACTTGATGGACTGTTCCATAATCCATCCAAGTCGTCACTGACTATGGTATCACTGTATGAAGTTAAAGAGGACGTAAGAGTATCATACCCTGAGGAGTCACCACTGTGTGAGCCAGAGTCAGTATTGGAGCTCAGGTTGTCAAAATCAAGGAGAAATTGACTTCTCCTGTCAGAAGACTTTATTTCAGACCAAAACTGTTGCAGCTCTTTAAAACTACTTTCTGTTTCTTCAGTCTGGAACATTCTTTTGATATCGTCTGCTGCTGCCATAAAGCGTGCTATTACTTCATTTTGAGCTTCAGTGCTTGGGCTGGAACTTGGAGGAGGTGGGATGATGTAGGCTGATATATCCTCGTTGGATACATATCCTTCTTCCGTTTCCTTTGGAGGTGGAGGTATTGTTAAATTGGCAATAAAGGAATCAATGCTATCTAATTTAGAAATGGTTTTGTCCATAGTTTCTGGATCTACTGGAGGATAACTGTGATTTAAGGCTGGACTCGTTGAACTACTTTGACCAGTGTGTCTTTGAATTTCTCCTTAAAAAGAAAAATATTATAATTTAAAGTATAGACTTTCAAGAATGCTATTTGTTTTTAACTAATGCATCAATTTGATTTCATAAAATAAAAAAGAGACATCGAAATATGTTTATTGTTTAACAGCTAATTTTTCTTTTACAAAAATCTATCAAATCAGGCAAGGTTGGATGCTTGACATTTTTGATTTTGTTGAAATTTTTAGGATATGCTCTTTATGCTACACTATTAAGCATATGTTTTTTATTTTTGCCCAGAAAACTGAAGATCCTCTTGAATTTAAGAGAAAAACATCTAATTAAATTCTGCAATACTTTTTATGAAATGAGTAAACTAGGGCACCGAATTAAAAATCTTCGAAATAAGGCTATTTTTCTTAGACTTTGACCGTCAAAATCTACTTGTGCCAACAGTGAACCTGAAAGGTATGAATTTCTGTGAATACATACTTCTGAGTAATACTTTAAGAAATTAACATATGTGTTGTCTTCATTCGGCGTGACTCTAAAAAAGCGAGAAACGAAAATTTTGCCCAACTTGCAAAGTCATTAACTGCCTATACCAAAATACTCTAAGTATGAAATTTGTTGTAAAATTATAGCAGAAACAAAATCTATTCTCAGATCTATGGTTACTGATTCAACTTTTATATAAGAGGGCCCTAAATTTTGAAGCCCGTACTTGAGTAATTGAATACAGAACAGAGTTATGGGAAAGTTGTAAATGGTTTTAAAAAATATGATGTAGGCTCAATATATACCCGCCCCCAATGTGAGTTTTAGTCCTTATCTAGAGTTGACTGAGGGAGGATAACATACTCGTTGTTATCTAGGCAAGTGATACGCTTCTGGTAATTTTTTTACGCTAAATCAAATGAAGTCGCACATTTTCATTTTTAATAGAAAATTTAAGTTCATATGAGAATGTAGATGCATATAAACTGATTTCTCACCTACACAAGGGAAAAAATTATGAATAGCAAAATTTAGTACATTTAAAAAAATATACATAACTTTTAATTTATAATAATGCTTTAAATTTATAACTTGAAGAATGTTTTCAAAGGAATGTTAGCATTGGCAGAAGTTGTTGACATAAAAGTATTTATTGACCGAAATATAAAATTTAATAGTAACACAAAATCGGTAAGGTAACAAAAACGTTGTGTTCAAATGATTGACATAAGTTTGAACATAATTGAACAATATATCTAAAAAATAGCTTTTAAAGATTAACAATAAGTTAGTGCAAGGCTCTGCATTTATTTTCTCAATTTCATTCCCGAGATTAAAATTTCTGATTTTATATAATTAGTTATTTTTGTATTAGGAGAAAGATTTTTGTTTATAAGCATTTTGTGCGTGAGAAGAGGTCAAACTAAATATAGAGAAACGCATGGTGAGAGTCTCGAGTTATTCATATATTTTATACAACTGCTGAAATAAGTAATTTTTTCCCCTTACCTTTAGAAGTGTCTTCATTTGTGCTAGATCTTGTACCAACATTGCATTTTGCGAATTCTGTTTGGAAGACCTTGGAGTCCAAGAAATCTGCTGGAGGTGCATTAGGTGAAGATCCAGCAATTGTTCTTGTTTCCATATCCGGTGTAATAGGAGGTGGAATCATCGTCAAATCTATGATATCCGGATCTAAGCAAATAACTTCTTCCGCGATTGGTATATTCTCTTCCATTTGTAACTGTTTTAATATATCCAATATGTTGTTGCCGGAGCTTAAATTTGGTAATAAATCTGGACTATGCAGTCCAAAGCTGGAATCTCTTCGCATCTTTGAGTGGGCACCGTTTATAGAGCTTCTGAGTGGCGTCGAGCGATGTAAGGGACTTTCATTTGGAGTGCTATCAGTATCACTTTCGGAAGGAGAGATTTCACCCTCAGGTATGATGGATTTTATATCTTCAATTTTACTCGTATTGTCTGATTGCGCTAGAAGTAGCAACGAATCAGCAGCTTTCAGGTTAGCATGCTCTTCTGGGTTATGTTCAATGGAGAGATACGACTCGACGTTGCTGATGATTTGATTCATTTCTGACACCCGCTTGATCACTTCGTCGTTCTTTGCTTCATAGATGTCGACATCGACGTCTCCAGAACTGTCTTCCAGAAGCTCCATTGATATAACGGTCTGATAATCTATCCCTGGGTGACGTTCATCGATAATTGTACGATAGGGTGAATTTCTTCTGAGGTCCTCTTCAGCCAGATCTTTGCTTTTGTACTCTTGCTGTTCTTGTTGCTGGGATAATGTTTCATTCATGTTGTGATCAACAGATGAAGGTGATAATATCACAGATTTGGCTTGCTTTTGCTTTGGTGATTGCCTACACAGAGTTAAGGTCTAGAGGAAAATAAAAAGGACATTGAAAACAGCAACATTAAAATAAAGCAATTTGAAGTGAATAATTATTGAAATTAGTTGCAAATTGTTTAAAAGCTGATCTTTAATGAGATTATAACGATTTGAAGTCTGTTCCATAATTTCAAAGTACTGCGAAATAAAAAAGAGAGGAAATTCAAACATTTAACTTCTGAAGTTAAATAACATTTCATGGTTTGATAATTGTAGCTTAATTTATTTGCCAAATTAGAGATAAAATGTTGAGTTGATGTATTATTAGCTATTCTAAACCCATTAATTAAAATTTCTCCAATTATTTTCACATTTACGTCTTTTGTCTAATTGTTGTCAGTTAATTGATTAAATTTACGTTGAATATAATATAGTGTTTAATGAGGAAGTGAAATATTTCTTACAGAATGTGTTTGTAATTTCTGCACTGAATTTTTCTCTCTTTAGGTCTTCTCGCATATTTATTTCGGATTTTTCGAAATAAAATATGCGAATCCAAATCATATGTACGATCCAAATCACATTTTGTTGTCATTTAAAGGTAGATGGGAAAACTAGCTAAAAAAATACGTAATTGATTATGTTTTAATCGTATATTCTTTCAAGTGTAAGTCAGTACAATAAAAGTTAATCAATATAACTGAGTCTTATTTCGTTGAATTTGCTGAAAATTATTTTAGGACATGAAATTCGTGAGGTTTAGCATCAATGGTTCCTGGAACTGTGTAGACTCATCGGTTAATTCTTGTGACTGAAAGACAGACTTCAAAAAAACATTACACACGCAAAGCATGCTAATAAAGACAAAACTGATAGTTTCAATATGGAAGATGACTTGATTATTTTTTGCTGATCTACAAATTGAACACCAAGAAATTATGCTCTCTAAAAAGAATATGCGAAATTATGAGTTTGATAATCTCTTGGGGAGATAAATATGTTGGCATTCCAAAATTACACAAGAGATTAAAGAGATTTTTTTCTCTCTAGATTTGTTATAGTCTCTTAAAAAATGGAGTGTCCTGAAAGTTTCAGGAGTTTATTAAATAAAAAACAACAATAATAGAACGTGCGAACTTGCGTGCGAACTAAAAATTATGCAAACCCATGGTTTCATTATTATTATTATTATTTTTTTTTTTTGCATTCTAATATATCCTACCATCCTAGCCATACCATACTTATAGATCGTCCTCATTTTAATTGAAAAAAAAAGAGGTACAGCAATCTTTTTATGTGATCTGTGATATGCAATTTTATGAGAAAGTAAATATTTTTCTTTCAATCAGTGGGGGCGCCACCTACGTATAGAGACTGTCATCTTTGATATCCTGAAACGTGTTTCAAATAATACGACCCAAAGAATTTATCATTTTCTTCAAAAAAGGAACAAAAATGTTCAATATTTATTATAAATGTCATTTTAAAATTTATTCCTATGCTTATAAGAACTACAGGTTCTTTAACCATTTACAAAGAAATAATTGCTTTTAAGTTTGTTCTGCGGTCTATTCGAGAATCCTCAGTACCGAAAATTTAAGGATTAAATATTGCAGTAGTGGTCAAATTTATCATGATAGTAGAAAATCAACTTGGAAATATAATGCAATTGCGAAGAATGTTGTGTGATAGAAATCGAGATGTCTGAGCTGAAGTCACTTCACGTACTTGCCTACTTGCAATGTATCAATGATTAATCTGTTATCAATAGCAACTAGTGATCAAACAGATGTAATCTACCTTTTTTTTCGAGTTCGCACGTAATTCGTTCATGTTTGTCTATTTTATCTTAAACATCAAATGAATAGAATTAGACGAAAACAATGTCTTCAGGGAATGACATTTTCTCACTAAGAACGTTTTATGCAGCAGCCCGTTCCATGAACAATCATAATATTACGGCAATTGATAATGCCAAAGTGATCTATTTCAGTTTATAAGTTCGAACAACTCGATACCGTTGTATAAAAATTGGTCTCTAATTTAATGTGATCCCATTACAAGTGACTTTTAAAATTTATTAAACGCATACCTATTATCCCAGAAAGAAATCTGACGTTTCATTATAACTAATGAGTCAGAAGTTAAAGAAAAAATCACTGAAATTTTCAAATATTCGAAAGTGTCAATTCCGTTAAAAAGATTTTCTAAATGTTATTTTCAGTATTTAATTGTAGCGTCCATTCTTCAAGGTATGTCCCAGTTCTATAAGTTCTTTTATAAATTAAGGTTCATTTAGCAAATGTAAGTTCTGTGACACTATAAATGTTAGACTCGTTAGGCTTTTATTTTAGTATTTGGTTTATAAATACATCCGATGTCAAAAATCACCGAGGTTCTTATGTATTTATTAGAAAAAAAGTTCTTACCTCACATGGGATATAAATAGGTGGTGGTATTGCTAAATCAAGAGTTCTCAACCCAGGCGTATTTGGACGGGGTGGGTAACTCCATGGAGCTTCGTGTACCACATGCCTATTATGGAAACTAGGAACTGTAGGAAAAAAAATTCGATTAATTCTTCGTTATTTGTTTTCATTTTTTTTTGTTAAAATGCATTTTTTTATTGAATTTTCAAAGACATGAAGAGTATGTCTTCAAAAGCGTTTTCTGCTAGAAAAATATTGATATGGTATAAAATGGAAAAATGTAATAATCAATCTATAAATTTCTTTCTTTAAATGAGTTGAACTTAAGTCATGTAATGATAAGTAGATCCAACTTATTTTCACATTCTTTTAAAACAGCAAACAAAAGTTTAAAGAAAAATATAGTATATATAAAAGTAATGTTTTTCAATAAATGTGATTGTTTATTGCACGTATTTTTTAATCATCAAAACTTTTCTACTCAAATTTTGATATCTTGCATTTTTTTAAATAACTTATTATGAAAATCTTGTTATTTCTTATTAATATTAAAGAGATCGTATAGCTTCTGAATTAAATTAAAGTTGAATTTTCATAAGTTTCTATGAATGCTTTATTTATTTTTCATTCATTTCATTGGTTCACTTTATGATAAGCATAACTGGTTTCAAAAATTTGTCATAAATTTAAATTTCAAATTATCACAAAGGTGCATCCACTGTCACTCCCTAACCGCGTTGATTAAATTTATAAAAATTTACCAGCTCAATATAAATGATACGAGGAAATATGTAGTCTAGTTCGCTTGCTCATGAAAGATACGCCATCATCTCATAGTTTTTAAGATCACTGACAATATCTTTCTCAGTCATGAAAAATTGTATTTACATTAGCTTCATACTATAGAAAAATTTATTTGAAAATGCTTAAGATAAAACTAAGCGCATAGCTAATAAAAATTTCGAGTTTATGTTGTGAATAACGATTTAATTGAATCTGTATTTCTGGAACACGTACCGGTTACCTCAAAAATGGCCGATGGTCTTTTAAAAAGTAACTTTTAAAAAATATGGAAAGGGAAAGAATTGTACGGCCTGATGCGTTGTTTCGGAAACTAGATGTATTCTGTTCCATTTTCAAATTGGCAACAATTTTGTCAAGAGATGGCACTGTTAGTTAGATGAACTAAACAAACAATGTTTCTTGCTGCATGTTAGATTATTCCAACAGAAATTTCTGCTAATTTTGCTATCAGGGTAGGCCATGTTATAGCTCGCAGCAAATTGGTGGTTATTTTGAAAATATTGTTTTATAGTTTTCTCAGTTATCTGCGCATTTGTTGATGAACTTTGTGAAACATTCTTAAAGCTATAAGTTATCAGGTTTCCTAAGAATGCAGCAAACCGTATCTTATTTTCAATCACAAATCGCCGGTTGTTATTTTTTTATTTTATTTCCAATGAGCTGCACAAGTGCGCACTCATGAGCAGACCTAGTGCGTTCTCCAGAAGTGGTATCCACTCTTTCAGGACCACCACAATGGGTGAGATATCGTTGGCCATGTTAATTTGGACGTCTAGTTTCTGCCACACTAGATGGCAGCACAAAAACTCTTATTTGGACGCTAAAGTGCACTAGGAATTTAATTTTGCCAGAATAGTCGGTTGTTATTAGAGCTGTATATATACAATAAGCAACATTTATACGCCAACATTCATGGCAATTTTGATTGCCAATTATGGTAATTTTCAATTACAGTTTTGTACAGCCTACGTACCTGTTTCGACTTGAGAAAAATTTGACTTGTCATATTCTATAAGCAATTCTTTACAGATAAAAAGGCGATAATACCCTTTTAACAACAATATAAATTCTTCTGCATCTTTTTCCTCCATACTAAATGCTAGCTTCTATAGAAAATAAAATGAACATGATTATTATTCATAAAAATATACGTATAAATTTTTTTATTCATAATTTTTTACTGACTAAAATCAAAAAGTTCTATAATCGATTCTTATGAAAAGTCTTATGTTTTATTAATTTTACTGTAATGTTAAATTTTATTCATTATAAAAAATAATTATAATTAACAAAATAAATTATAACTTAATTAAAATACAATAATCATAACTATTAACTTATGAAATGTATTGTAACTAATGAATCATAAAAATAAGTTATAATTGATTAATAAAAATTAATAATTCAAGAATTTTTTTATTGGGTTTGAGTTAAACAGCAATCTAATTTTGGTAGTTAAAATTTTAAAAATATATTACAATTTAAATCGTCTTTTGCAGCTTCATTTAAATTCTTTTGCATTCTAGTGATGATTTTTCATGTTTTAATTAACGGTTTAAAAATAGCTTTAATTATGCTCCAATTTTTATACTTGGTCTACAAACTTTTAATTAATAAAACAAACGAAGTGTCTTGTTTTTAAATCCATATATATATATATATATATATATATATACGTTGATTTAATCATTGCTACTAACTTTTAATTATTAAAACGAATTAAGTGTTATGTTTTTAAATTATTCATATGTTTGGATTTAATTTAAACTATAGCTTTTAATTAATAAAACAAACTAAGAGTCAAAATCATATTAAATGTACAATATAGCATTCGAATCTTTTATGTAAATTAAAAATTGAGGAAAAATGTCATCAATCATATAAAATATAAATTTAATTTAATTAACATCAAAATTATCTTCGAAAAATAATAAAATTTTTTGTGAGTATCAAGAGTACCTTATGAGTATTAACCTTCTGAGTTACATTATGTTATGAGTTAACGTTATGAGTAACATTATGAGTTAATCAATAATGTTGACTCTGTATGAATAAAAGTTTATTTTTACCTGTCTGTCAGCATCTTTTGTTGTTAGTTCAACAAGACATGAGATTTCATCCTCTTTCTTTATTCTTGCTTCAGTTATATCTTCTATTCGGCTAAGTGTAATAGGCTGCAAAGAAATCTCATTAGTTCCATAGAATATCCGATCGCCAAAGGACGCCAACAGTTCTTAGTTGAAAAATATGTTGCAAAAGAGAAAAAAAGAAACATATATAAGTAATTTAATATGATTCCCTCTGTCTTAGGTGGGATATCCTCTAGGCAAAATTTTTTTCTTATTCACTAATTTTTTTAACAATAGGAACATTGTATAAAACTATATTTTTTTCATTAAAAAAAGATTCTAGCATTTTTATGATCTGTTAGTATTATACTATTTAACACGTTGACTGCGCACGCGTTTACAGAGAAATCTCTTTCAGGTCACGAGTACCGCTGTATGAAGCGTATTCGACTAAGTACTCCCCCCGAGATTTTAATAATGCGAGACTCTGTCTTTGATGGTCACAAGAATAATATTACGTTCCGCTTGTTTGCATGGTATCATATCTGTTTCTTTGTGTCCGTTGATTCGCCTCTGCTTCTCATCTCGCCACTTTACACGATCACTTTGAATCTTTGCCGAATAAAGAACATAACTTAGAATCTTTACTCTAATTCGTTGAAGTTTCGAAACGAAAAATGGAAAGCTTATTTTTAGTGAGTCAAATGGCAGCGAACAAGAAAGCTTTTACGAGTCTCACAATTTTCTTAATAAATCCATTTTGTATAATTTTTATAACAATTCAATAGTTTTGTTACTTCCTGTGATATATCTTTTCAAATACATACGAATATCCTTCGCAAGAAGTCAAATAAGGGTCTCCCCAATATGGGTGACGCGGCCCGATCAGAAACTTTGCTGTCACTCGAATATGGGTGACGCGGCCCGATCAGAAACTTTGCTGTCACCCGAATATGCGTGACGGCAAAGTTTCTGATCGCCGCAGTCAACTTGCCAAATCGTAATAAATTATTATAATTTTTATAAGATTACCATAATTATTCCGTGCTTAAAATTTTAACATTTATTTACAATTATAAAATCTTTTTGAGCTGGAATTTCTAACAAAAATTTATAATTGACTAAACTATGCATAATTTTTGAACACTTCATAAGCAGGAAATAAATATTTTTTAATGATCTTTAATAAAACGTATTGTTTGTGCGCGCGTGTGTGTCTCTTTTAACTACAGAAGTGTGTGCATTACGATCCAGAAATTAGGAAAATGATTGGAAAGAGAAATTTTAGCTTCAGATCCTAAAAATCAGTAAAAGTTTTTAATTATTTCCTTCAGGAGAAATTTTTCTCAATGATTTAGTATCAGCCATTGTTCTAAAATTAACTAGAGATTCTATTTTTCTTTCTTCAAATACTTAAACGATAACATCACTGATATTTGTTAGCTCATAGCTTTTTTTACTTAAAAAGTTTTTTGCTGAGTCTTAAATTTTTTTCTTTTCGTTATGTTAGATAAGCTGAAATATTAATTGTAAGCGTGGTTGCTTATGTGGACTATACATGGCAAGAGTACATTTCTAATGAAATCTGAGACTAGTTAATTTTTGTTTTATAATTCTACTTTTCAAATGTGATTTTAAAAAAACTATGCAATTTAAAATCAACAGTAATTTAGTTTAAAATAAAACAAATTACGTTCTAAAAAGTTTCATTAGTATACTTTAAGTTTAAGATCACTAAGATCAATTTATATGTGATTCAAAAGAAAAAGCCGAACAATGAAATATTTGTATAACTAATTTCTTTTCAAATAATGCAGTTCATGAGTGACTTTATCAAGTGGATTGTTTAAAAGCCTTAAAATAACAAACGCAGATGTTCGAAGTCAAAAACAACTTTTGATAAATCTAAATCAACAGTAGTTGCGTAGAAGTGTGTATTTAGCTGTTTATAAAAGTCATTTATAATTTGATTTAAAGAAGGTGTTTATATACGCTCATTTAGAACATATTTAGTAATATGATTTATTCCTTTTCAAAAGAATTTTAATCAATAAAATCTTAAGAAGCTCTAAAATTTAAAATTTCTAGTTACAAACAAAATAATCTATTTTTGGAGACGAAATATTTCATAAAATTATGAGCAAAAAGAAAACAAATTGTATTTTTTCAAATAAAAAATAAATAAATAAATAAAAACATTCTTGAGATTTTGTAATTTTCTGAATCTACAAGCAAAACACAAAAATAAACATTTCAAAATTAGTTAATAAGTTTGTCGATGTAATTATTTGCGGCAACGTTAAGCTTTTATATAATATTCAATATAAAAATCGTTAACGAAAAATCAACGTTTTCATTATTTTTATTAGAATTTTCGGTTATTTAGCATCCTTTAATTTTTAAAATATTAAATTATTCGAAACGTAAATATTTAGAGTGGTAGAAATTTAAATAAGCTGTGAGTTTTTTTTACATTTAATAGATTTAATCAAAGCAAATTAAGATAAATTAAAATAAATGTAAAAGTAAAAAGCAAACAAACTAACTTTTTTCGAAAATGAAAAAAATATATTTAATTCTGATTTTTTTAACTATTTAAATCTATTTGTAAAACACAAAATAGCAATTTAATTACTAAATTAATGACATAGTTGGTACAATGTTTATTATAGATTTGAAAACAGAATTATTTTTTGTTAGCAAGATTTTTTTTATTTATAAAATAATAATAATATAATAATTATAATTATCATTGATGAAAAATTGCCATTTAATTTTATGGAATTTTTGTAATTAGTTGCTCTAATTTTATTTTTAAATGTCAAATTTTTCGAATGAAAGTATTTAGTGGCCTTCATTTAAATATTTGCTAAATTTATAAAATTTAAGGAAGTGAATCAAAGTAAAGGAAAACAAACCAAAAGTTTGAAGTATTATTTTAAGGTATACATGCTAACTGTTCCGTTTTGGTGACAAAAATCAGAATACAAATTATTTAACAATTTGTAAAAACAATGTAATTTGAAGTTAAAAGTTTTAATTCTTAAAAATACCAGTTTTTTCTCTCCATATTTCAACATTGAGGAGGGAAAGAAAGAAGAAACAAAGACTACTTACACATGTATTCCGTATGTTTCCGATTTGACTGATACCAAATCTGGGGCTAAGCAAAAGGGTTATTTCTGGATTATTGTCCTGAAAAAGGTTTTTGATAAAAAATAAATAAATAACTGTAAACATACTAATAAATATCAAAAGAATACATGTTTTTTTCCACTATGAATTCTAGAGTTCAGTAGAAGTACTTGTTAAATGACATTTTTAAAGCGTTAATATTTTGTAGCGAACTTGTTAATTTTTTAAAAAAATATAGGGATACAAGACAAAACGGTTAAGTCTCCGAATTAAAATATAAGATGGACTGTATAAAGTATTTTTAACTGTGTTTTTTTTAAATATTTATTTAAAACAATAATTTCTGGTATGCTTTGAGCAAATCCATCAATTTATTCTACCACAATCATTAAATAAGGATTTTTAATTAACATTAGTTTTGTAAATAGTTTTCTAGCGTTTCTATAACGGGTGTCCAGAAAATGACAGAACGTTTAAAAAATCAGTTTAGAGAAATAGGAGCCAAAAATATACGTTTTTCTCGAGAAATTAAGTTATTTAAAGAGGCCTCAAGTTTCAAAATTAGTATAACGTTTGTCAACAGATGGCGCTACAATCTGGAAGAACAATAAAACAGTGATTTCTACTGAATGTCGGTCCATTTTAACTGAAACATTTACGAATGAATGTCAATTTCGTTCTCAGGCTGCGCCATCTTGTTTCTGCGAAAGAAAGTTTCTTTCAAACTACATCTGTTGATGAGATTTGTAACTAATTAAGAAACTTGGCAAAATTAAAATATTTTGTTTCGTAAGCGGAAAGCAGCAAACTTTATACATTGATCTCCTTCTGATTTTTGAAATCTGTGCTTATTTTTGATACACCCGGTTCATTCTGAAACTGATTTTAAAATAAATTCACTTTAAAATACCACTTCTTTGTTGTTCTTTTTTTAACTAAGTTATTTAATTTATAATTAAGAGTAAAGATCATGATAGATGAGTGTCTTACACTTAAATTAGTAGAGAAGCACTTAGATCCATAGCTAGGTAGTTCACTAATGATTTTCAGGTAATGTAGTTTCGCTTGTAGCGCTGTCATACGTTTCTGACCTGGTGCACACAATGCCTGATTCTGCTTTAAGAAATGGCCAAGCAGTTTCCTCAACTCTTTTCGTTTCATTGTTTCTAGCAAAGAAACGGGGACAAACCTGTCGATTCCACATTCCCTCCTAGATTTTTAAAGGGGTGATAGTTACTTTTATACATAATTAATAATAAAAAATAATTCAAAGAACATATGTAATTAAGTAAATTGAAGTTAAAATATGCTTGATGTATGCATATATATATATACGATATACACCGAAGAGCCATTACATCATGACCACCCTCCATCAATAACAATGGGCTCGTCCAGGTTTTCATGGTTTCTCGCAAAGGAACAGTGTTTTCATGAGGCACATTAGGATACATAATCCTCATAGAACAATCCCTGACGTCTGTAAGCTACTTGAACATAGTCGCAGACCAGGTTCACCCATTCATGGCAGTTCTTCCTGCGGGGGATGGTGTTCACCAACAGGATAAGGCATCGTCTCATAAGGGTCGAATCATCGAGGAACATTCCAGTGACTTTCAAGTCATGTCTTGACCCCCAAATTCACCTGACCTTAATCCAATAGAGCATTTGTAGCCCTACTTGGAAAACCAAATTCGTGCTGCCACGCTACCCCCTCGCAATGTGAGGGAATTGCAGGACCAGTTGGTGAGCGCTTGGTACCAGATACCTCAGACTACCTATCAGCACCTTGTGGAATCAATGTCACGGCGGGTGCTAGCGGTTTTGAGGGCTAAAGGTGGTCATAACGTAATGGCTCTTCGGTGTACATATGATTAAAAAACAACATATACAATACAATCTACAATAATGGAAGAGACACTTTCAGTTTTTGGCATTTTGCTTACATTTCTCAAGAAATGCTTGAAATATTATTTTGTAACTTTAGAAGAGTTTAGTTCATGCTATTTTTCATACTTAGCTATAAGATTTAAAGCTTACAGAGGTTCGGGAGACCAATAATAAATTACGAAAGAAAACAAGCCTTTTTGAACACTCTATGCCAGAAAATTAAGCAATAAGCTTGCAACTTGTATCTTCTACTTTAGTTGTTATTTTCAATAACTTCATTAAGTTTCGTCAACCTAGAGTAAATATTTATGGAGATATGAACATTTTTGTAAAACAATTAATTTCACGCGGCTGAAACCGGTTTGCACCTGTTTACGTTCGTGTATCAACTGGTTAACATTATAATGCAATATGTTAAAAATAAATACAAATAAGAAATATGTAAAAAAAACTTCCGAATAAAAGCCCATTGCATGTATGTTTAAATATAAAAGTATTGCACATAAACTCGTGCAAAACATGTAATTATTAAAAAACTACACAGTGTCTAATAATTTGGTCGATTTATTATTATATACTAATACTTTACCTGATATAATAAATATTCTATATTTTTATAATATATCGTCTAATTTATCCAATCGTTGAATTTATATAAAATTTCGTCTAATTTAATGCATTGATAAACTTGCGTAAACATGTGCAAACCTGTTTCAGTCGCGTAAAAATAATAAAGTTGTATAGTATAGAAGTAAGATTTTACATAAAATCTTATAGTGCGTCTAATAATTTGGTCAGGGACTGCGATGTTTTAAATAGTTGGTGCAATAAAGTACAGAATACCATAACCAATGACTTACTCGACATTTTTAACTGTAATTTTTCCCTGCATTCCATTACTAAGGCAATGTTGTTGAATATTGAGAGCAGTGAGACGCAAAGCGATGTCGTACTTCAGTTCTGGAGTAAATCTTTCTTCCACGACATCATTGCAACACTGGAAGGAAAAACATCTCATCACTGAAAAATTCTATACGATTCAAATACAGCAGTTAAATTAGGATCTAATTCTTCCTGTATGATTACGGTCTGAATTCATTTATACAAATATTTGCTTAAAATTGGACCACTTAAATTTAAAACATCACAAATTGAAATTATATAATTGTAAATTTCTTACTACAATTACTTCAGTAAGTTTTAATGTTTAAACAAAATACTGAGCGATTATTTGAGAGATAATCACTGGGCATCTGGCATGCAACATGGAACCAAGGTGATTGCTGACCACTCGACACAAAACTATGGATCTTAAATACTAAAACACTTCAAGCTGCACTATTTGTGATGGTTAGAGAATATTTTTCTAGCTTGTTTTAAGATCTTTATTTAGTATTCATGGTAGTCTGTATAAAATATCAAACCAATAATAACCAACAATAATGTGAAATACTGAAAATACGATTTTGAATACGATTTTCAATTGTTACCAGACCACAACAAGTAGAATTTATCGCCATATTATCGTGACCGGGAATTTATTGTAAACAAATTTACGATCACTTTCCGATTAACTTGATTTCTCCATTGTTCACTGGAGCTCTGTGTTGAATGGCAATACAAGTTTTGACCGTTTCGTAATTGCTACAAGCAAAACCAAAAAGTATTCTCTCCTCTTTTGAAAATGATGTGCTTTATGTTTTTCGCATTAAAACTGACAAAATTTTTTAGTCAACTGAAAAAAAGCACAGTTTTTAAAATTATGTATTAATTATATTTATTATTTATGCCAACCGGCCTGTGTATGGATCAGGGAACTGGCCCTGCAACAGAAAGGTTCTGGGTTCGAATCCCGGGCAAGCCATGAATGTTCTTTCATTATCTGTACTATCTGTTCTTACTGGGAGAGCAACGTTGGCCCACTCAATATGGTGCCCCTGAAAGAGTGGCCAACAAATCTGCTCTTCAGAAGCCTGTATGTCAAAAGGTCATTCTCTAGGTGGGCAATGGAATTTTTTTTTATTTATTGGAAATAATTTTAAACCTACCTGCGTAGTTTTAGGTCTTCGGTGACTGCGTGTAACAAACGATCACCAAAGGTATAATTTATTTGAACTATAACCCATCTTTGACGTACTCTCCGAAGCACTAAGATTTTTGATGCGTTTAAAGAGTATTAGAAAAGAAAAATAGAACTTTGAAATGGAAGACTATCATTTGTGAAAGATACCTGGTGCCATTAATGGAAGAATGCTTCCACATGAGAGAATTCTCATCGTTCATTCGGTGACATTGCAAAAAGAAACCCGATTTATCTCGTCTCTTTCCAACTATTCGACTTTAAAGTACAATAATATGAACCCTCTCCTGCTAGAGACTTTATGTTTCCGCGGAGTAAGCACGTTGAAAATGTATTAAACTGTGACTTTGCTCAGTTAAGAAAGTTAATTTTGAGATAAGATTAAGTTTGTAAAAGGAAGTAATAAAAGTAAGAATATATTCGTTCTCGAAATGGCTAATTTTTATGCTTATTCGGGTACAGGGGTTGGATAAAATTATGGAAACACTTCTATACTCGCTAGAAACTTTTAAAACTTCAAACGAGATTTAAATCGAATTTTTTAAATATGTTATCAAATACGATTCAAAACAAAACTGTGATTTTTTTCTGCGCCTGCGCAGTATAAAACGATTACATTTAAATGCTCATACCTTCAGCAGTTTATAAAGAATTCTTTTCAAATTACAAATTATAACATTTTTGTTATTAATTAAAAATTACTCTAAAAATTTTGCTTAATTTTATTGAATAATTCTGCAGTTATAGTAAGAAAACGTAAGGCAAAAAATTAGTTCTTTTTTTGTAAAAATGCCCATATCTTAATGAATATTCATGCAAGGTTTACGAAATTTTGTGCAGTTATCGCAAATAATAACCAAAGCAAGTGATACTCAAGTTTCATGTTAATAGCTATATTTTTTTCAGCTTAGGGTGTTTAAAAGCACTTTTTTTTTGCAATTTATTCCTAAACTTCAAGTCGCTAAAAACTTTAAAGATATGTATGAGAAATCGCATGATGTAAACACTTCTAAAGGTATAGAATTGATTTCTAAATATTTTTAAAGAAATATGAAGAAATGAGTCAGAATTGAAGGCCCGTACTCTTTACAGAATAATTGCGATTAGATTCAGGAAAAGATTAATATATTTAGATTGGTATATCTAAATGTACATAATTGATTATAGTATATCTTAATGGATTTGAGATATCTTAATGGATTCTATTTTGAGATATACTATATCTCAGGATTATAGTATATCTCAAAATAGAAATTTTGAGCAAAATCAGTTGAATAGTTCCTAAGAAATCGAATTTGAAAAATCAACTAATAATAATAGATAATAATCACTCTTTTTCCGATTTCTAATTTAATGTTAAAGATTATTTCAAATTATTAGATATCAAATATGTGAAAAAAACCCTCTAGAATATATATGAATCCGATCTTTAATATTTAACAGTTAACATTTAAAAAAAAACTATATTTGCTCGTACATAGTTAATTTTCTTTGTGTAGAAAATGAGTTTATTTAAAGCAATGTTTTTTTTACATCGAACAAAAGAAGCCACTGTGATTGTAATTAGCTATATCAAGCCTATGTCTACCCTTTTAAAAATTTACTTACTACTGTCTGCCTCATTAACATTTCATATACGCAATTTTCAAATTGATTAGTTCGCAAGCCTAAAAATTTCAAAAAAGCAATCTTTTCATTAATTAGAAATTATACTTTTGCAAACACTATTTTTACTACTTTTTTGAAAATCTACATTAGGCAAATGCGATACCTTCTAGAGTTAATGAGCAAGATGTTTTCAATTATGCTTACTTTCTGTTTTAATTAATATTTAATAAAGAAGCTTTTACGGTTGAGCTTTTTATAGTTTAGTTTCTATTTAGTTTACGATCAGCGTTTCGTTGAAACAGTTAAACAAAAGACTCGATTTGAAAATTTAATTTATTTTACCATTTTTAGATTTTAAAATATATTTAAGCTGAAAGAGTACTTATGTGCAAAGCTCCTGATTTTTTTTTCTTTAGGAAAGGGGAGATATATTTTTTCTGTTTATAAAAAATGTGATAACTATTATAAATTTAAGCCTTTTTTATTTTTTGGATCATAGTTCAGCACCTGAAAGTTATTATTTTATTTTTGGAGAGAGACTAAAATGTTTTCCCGCTTCCTTAACAACTATTAATGATTAATTAGCTGCTTATAATTCTTTGTTTTTTTTTATTTATTTTGTGATATTAGTTTATGACGCCTTGAAAATAATTGTTCTTTGAGAAGGGTAGAAAATAGTTTTTAGTTTATTTGTTAACTATCAAAGACTATTTTAACGTCTACTTTTTGGTTTTGTTAAGCGTATATTATCATTGAAACGTAACTTGCAGACATATTCTTGATACAATTTGAGTAGAAGATTTATCAAAATATAAGTGTCTAATCTAAAGCTTTGTAATTATAGTATAAATTAATAAGAAAATAAAGAAGTATTTCAGGGAAAAAAACATTGACCATAGTTTGAAAATAAATATTTGAGAGAGTTTACATTATAGAATTTCTAGTTTTTTTTCAAAAATAACTAGCAAATCTATTGATTTTAGCATATTCTTAGAAAAATTGGGTCAATGATAAAGCATTAAATCGGTAACTTAAACCGTAATATAGAACAAATTTGTTTAAGAAAATTAGGCGTAAATTTAACTCCTGAATCTCGATCATTCAAGTTTCACTAGACCAACGGGCTATTGAATTTAAAAAGGGGAATATTATTGTTCAATTTAGCGTTAATCAGGTTAAAGCAAATTTGAATGACAGTATATGTACTTCAAAATTTTTTAAGGGTGGTTCAAAACTTCTTGGTACATGATTTTGATATGCTTTGAAATATTTTTGCTTTATAACAGCTATTGAAGCACGTTGAGCATCGGTAATTTTAACAGTAATTTAGAGCAAATTTAAAAAAAATAAGGCGTAAATTGAACGACTAAATCTCGACAGTTCAAGTTTCATCCTACCAACGGGTTATTAAATTTAAAAAGTGCGATAGCATTGTTCAATTAGGAATCATAATAAGAAAAAATCAAATTTGAATGACAGTTTAATTAAACATACTTCAGAATTTTTAAGAGTGGTTTAAAACTTCCGGTACTAAATACTCGGTACCGGGTCTTGATACTAAGAGCAGGGTCTGGGTAATGAATCTTTTACCGGGTAATTGCCAGATGCACGTCTAATACATGATTTTGGTGTGCTTTTTTATGGTTTAAAACAGCGTTTCGTTTTTGGTTTACAACATATATTAGTTTTTTAAAATTTGATTATAACAGTGTTTGAAGCGAGTTGAAATATAATATCGTGCACGTGCAAATTTTGTCCAACCTAAGTATGTCATGCTTAACCAAATTATGGAGCAAATAAAACCGTAATAAATTCGAGTATAGAGTACTATAGTTCAGTAAAGACTCAATTTAACACCTAACGTAGATTTCAGTAAATTCGTAATTATGATTGAAAGTTAAACGATTTTTTTCCTTGAGTAGGGGAGAGTGTGTTCAATTGTAACAGGGTACGATTGTAACAGAGCAAAAATTTCGAGTGTCGGGTTCTAGATTTGGTTCCTAGGTGGCGCACAAGGTGTATTTAATAAATCTACATGTACACCCCTGATGGCAACCATTTTTATGTACTTTTGAAAGAGTTACATCACAAAAGATATTTTCACGCCACGCAAGTACTTTTTTTGGTATTAGAATATTATATTGTAACAAAGTAATTTTGTTTAAACAAATAAAAATTAGTAACCGAATATGTAAGTGGACACTTTAATTAACATTTCAATAAAAAAAAGATTAGTTTTGCTAATTAACTAGCATTGTTTTTAACAAATGAAGCTGAAATGGCGTCTTGGGGACAATTGTAACAATAAG